TAACTTGTTCAATTTTTTGATGAAAAAGTAAAAAGTAAATGAATTTTGAGTGGGGACTAAGTCATTTGATTGCACATGACAACAAACTTGAACGCTGAGATCGAAGTCGCACCTAGTAATATGACCACGCCTCCGCATGCTGAATTCTACAGAAAAGTAAGGATTCATTCTACAGAATTTCGAAGAAACAACGCTTTTGAGAATGATTTGATAACACTACATATTATACGACTCACTTCCTTCTATTCGAAACGTCTAAGATGCAGATAGGTCGAACTTCAGTATGGATTCAATCATTTCAAAACAATCTCTTTATTTGCCCTTAACTCAGGTCTACATCATGCAGTTAGTTGGCCGTGAAAAACCGTTGACTTAAATGCATAGTTCACTACACAGGAAAAAATCCAGCTTCAGCCATTTGCCATCTTATCTCATCCGATATAGTATCGATTATATCACCCAACTTTGACACCACGAGTTCTACATCGAATACACAAAACACGAGTGACACGTCTTAAGACTAACTGCATGCACTTGAACAAACGATATTTTGACCTGAAGGACAAAATAATTTCCACTCAAGTTCTTAATCAGATAAAAGATAAATGCATTAGCTATATATATATAAAAAACGAACCTGCTAGAATAGGTTTTACAGCTTCAAGAAGTTTCACGGCCGATAGATCGGTTAGTATAGTTTAGGCCGGCACGTCTGTTCCGGTTATAAACTCACAGTGACCATATTTACTCTACTTGGACCCCGCTCTACTACGGCTAGGATATCTCAGTGCTTTAACGTTAACGTCACTAAACCTTTAGGTCAATAAAACGGTCTTTGTACGAAGAAACTAGAACGGAAAATCGACCACAGATGAAACGGGTTTTAGCGATGGACGTGATGTATAATTTATACTTCGTATTTACCTTTTCCCCTTTTGCAACAGTAGCGTTTCATTATCCTCTGTTTTTATACAGGACACATGGCCGTTTAAGGGGCTAAAAAACCTTACTGAATACTCATAAAACCCTCTTTATATTGTCAGCTAGTTAGAATATTCGTCATAACTTTAGAAATAACCGTCTCGACACAAGTTCCTCGATGAATCGGCTTCTGCTAGAGCTAGTCCACTAATGTGATCGCTTCAATTTGCCTCAAAGACGAGTTGTGAAGATGCCAGGATGTCTGGTTAAGAGCAACCTTAAGACAGTTATCAAAAAAAATTCACTTCTATTAATTAAATCTTTCTGATTTCAATTTTTCCTTGTGCTGGTAATGTGTACTGATTTGTTTGCTGCTAGTAAGACCAAAATCACCGTTCAGTGCAGTTAAATATACTTCATTGTTATTCACCCGTCGTAATTTAACGAAAATCATGATGATGTTGCAATGTTGTTCAAACTAGAAGTTTGAATTACCCAAAGTTAAGTGATATTTTCCATGTTTTGTAAGTGTGTTTACAAAATTTAAACGTTCTCTCCTGTACAAAAGAATTTAAACTGTCCAGCCAGTATATTTAATATCATCACTGAAGTCTCTGTGGTGAACTTTAGACTCACGACGAAGGAGGGAGTTGATGACTTTACCCCCTATCGTACGAGAAGAGTTTAAGCACTACATTAAGAAAGCGAATAAATGTTACCAAAGTCGACCACTATTTGCGAAAAGTCGTTACCTGATAAATTATTTTCTTACCATGACCACGAGGTAGTTAAAGTTAATGAACGAGTTGTATGAGGTGGACACAACAACGTGATTGATATCGATCGGGTGAGGTGGTTATGACTCTAAATGAACGCGTGGGATTTTAACGATGGACAGTTTCGGAAGTTTATGCTTGAAAACAGTGGGACCCTTTTCTATAACAGTAATCATTAAGTCTGATATTTAGAAAGGAGGCAATTTTTCAGCCTTCAATCAACAAGAAATATAGTGGTCAGCCGAAAGGCCTTAATCCGAAGAAGTCGCTGAGCTTCAAACGCGGAAGTGGAACCAAAACAAACCTATCGAGTTTACTCCAAAGAGCTGTTGTCTTTCTGTGATGTACTCATTGCTGTCTCGATGCACTTACAAGCGTGGAAGCTTTATGTAGAATTATGAGCTTACTAACCTTCTGTGCTAGGGATTGAGACTGACGTCTTCAAACGGGCGTCATCTACTCCGCAAGTTTTCGTGATGAAAGAACCATGCTTGCTCTCGCCGAAGGCCGTTGATTTTTGTACCTGCAAGATTCGTTGTTCAAAACCTCTTGCAGAAATCGACATGGCAGCTCTGCCGAGCACACCACGGGTCCATGCGCTTCTAGTTGTCTCTAGAAGATCTACTTTTTCCCGTTTGTTTGATATGTCCTTTATGGAATGACTTACATCTATTGTTAAGCGATATTTGAAATTTCCTGTTGCCAATGAGCGGCTTTAGCGTGACATCCTGTTGTTGTAGTTGACTTCAGTGATCGAGTTAACGCTCTGTCTTCAGCATTTCGTCTTAACTAATTTCTTTTAGAATTTTTTTTCGTCGTAAGTTGTAACCTTCATGGCTAACAGCAGTGAGTAAACTTTGGTACTCGAAAACAATTTAGAAATATTTGCAACAGTAAACTTTTTTAAACCGTGGATTAAGGTAGATTATATAGACTTGCTGTTGCTTTCAGGCGCAGTGTACTTATAGTACATTCGATTCTGTTGACGCCTTGTTACAATTTGTATCGGCACTCGCACTGATGCACCGTACTTGTACAACTGAATTGAAATAAATGTTCAGACAGCCATTTTACAGTTTATAGTATTGCAACTTTTCACCTTGTGAACATTCGGTGACTGCGGCAGAAAATTTCACTTTAGAATAAATTTCACTTTATAAGCAGACTAAAACGTGTCCTACAGCATATGGAACGATGTTGACTCTTTCTGACGACTACCCAGTAATTGCGTTCAATTTGGTCCGAGCCAGAGGCTTGGAAATCCCAAAGTTCCTTTGAGGCGCTCAAGAAACGATAAAGCTGATCAAAGTTTGTTGTTCAACAGTTGGGCCGGCTCATTTAAGCGTGACGTACAATTCCTAGAATTTTCGTCTTCCGCTTTTTCTCGGAAACAGTGAATATTGTAATACAATTAACGTTCATTCGCCTCAACAACAAAACGTCATACAAGTTACAGTCCTGAAAGAAAGAAAAAAAATCAAGTAACAAAGTAATATGCATGCTACGCAAGTTGCAAAACAAGCAAATTTTCGTATTTTTTCCCGAATCAATCAGTCTAAATACATCATTTAACACTAAAGGCATTTTCCACTATCGCGAAAAACTTCGGAAAAGACGCGAAATATAATCCTCTACACAGTGAACGGTTTGGACGTTAGACATTCTTTTTTACACTACATTTCTCAATTCTTAAATCCAAAAGAGATAGCTTTTAGCACGCGTTACAACTACATGCACGTTCTACTTTAAAAATTTCACGCTTTGGCTAAGCTTCGTAGTTGTTTATAGTATACAGTTTGAGCCTTGGTCGTTCGAGGCAGCGGCCGAGCGGCGGAAGTTAAAACGGATACGGATACTTACGGATACGCGTAAGTCACGCGATTTCAAACATCACGCGAATCCCTAGGATTCTTATAGCGGACGTTTCATGAAACAGCGGCAACAATCATTCTTAGCATGGCATGGCATGGCATCATAAACTATGAGGTTAGAAAAGCTGGGCTTTTTTACTTAAAAAGCTACTTAAAACAAGAAAGAATAATGCAAATGCAGCTAATTTGACCCACGCGCTTTCAACGGTCCAGTTTCCACGTTTTTATGCAGCAAGTGCCCTAGAAGAATTAGACTTTCAAAAAGTCCTTCGTCCGATTTAATATGGCGAGGGACGAAGCTCGGCAGCTTTGCAACCTAAAACTCTCCCTCCGCTCGCTAAGAAGCCCGTGACGTCGACTTTTAGCAAGTCTACAAGTGTCTTTGATGGGTTTTTATTTTGGGTCGGCTTTATTAGCGAAATTAGCAGGCAGCCATAACAAGGGCTCACGGGATTAGTTAGGAAAACAATCAGCGAAGTTAGCCATGGAACCTCTTCTCAAAACGAAAGAGCTGCGAGAAAAAGGGTCCCAATAAAATAAGAAGTTTTAAGGAGGTGCGAGGCTACTGAAAGAAATTAACCCAGAAGCACTGTTTATCGGTCGACGAGAGATGCATAGGCGAAATGAATAGCCCCGGTGTTCTTGATTTTGGGCTTTTGCTTAAGGGTGCGGGTAACATCGAATCCTATGATTTCTTTTCGTAACTGCAACAAGAAAATAATGCGTTTCAAGGAAATTTCACAGGCCACAATTGCCAATCTGAAATTGACGAAATTTTTATTAACGTTTCCAGCAAAGTCAGTTGCAAAGTTTGGGAATTCGGCAGGCCTCCAGAACGGGACTACAAAAATTCTCTCTTTCACTTTTATTTCCTTTGTGAAATACTTTGAAAAGTTTGTGACTGCGAGTGTAGAAGAGTAGAACTTTGTAGTTTCGTCGCATCTAAGAAGTGTAATTGGATCTGGGAGTATTTGCCACTAGTTTTGGTCTTTAACAGGGCACGCAAAAAGGGAAGTTGTTTTAACCATGACAAAAGGAAAGCACTCAAGCAGGGCGATGCCCTAGACCCGGTCGAGGTTCTGTATCTTGTTCCCCGCTTCGCAGTTTAAGTTCGTATGAGAAGAACGAACAAAGAGTATCTTTGGAAAATGCTGGCAAGGTTGGCGAAATCAAAGGAAAATAGTTCTTTAGAAAACGTTTGCTTCGTTAGCTTGATTACGAGGCTTAACAAAAATAGAGGTATTTGATATGTCATTTACAGTTTATTGAAAAAACGAAAAAACAAAATAAAGGGAGAAAAAAGAAAGAAAGAAAAATAAATAAAACAATCCAAAAAAAGATAATAATTGTTTTCTTTCTGTTATACTTAGAAAGGCAATATTTCAAGTTTTCCTCAAAAGTGTTCCTCAATGCCTCTTCATGCCAAACTTTCCTCAGCAACCATAAGTAATACAATCTATGGCCAGGCATTTTGAGGAACTGGAGGTAGAAGTCCTCTCCAGAATTTTGGGAATTTATGTAGGCTAAATGGAGGTCATGAGCCATCAATTCTATGTCTTTCCAAGAATTTATCAAAAGCAGACACGGTGGCATTTCTTTCCGAAACTCTGTGAATGTGCAGGTCTCGGAATAGAACCTCTCCATTGGGCACAATGTACAAAGTACAACAGCAACTTTTTCCAGATGGAACACATATTTTAATCAGCATCATGGACACCTTTTCTCTGACTGTCCTGTAAGGAAAGAATATCAATGCAATAAGAAGAAAGGAATAACCATACAATACAATAATTATATTAGAAGTAACCATAAATAGCAAGTAACAATTTTATCAGAAAGTTAAGATATTTATCATGCCCTTCTCTTTTTCAAATTTAAAGTCTCCTTAAGAGGAAGGAAGCCTAAAGGGAACAGGATCTTCTTGCAATAATAGAACTTTTAATGTTGATGCTGATAATGATGATGCTGGTGATGATGATGATGATGATGATGATGCTGATAATGATGATGATGATGATGATGATGATGGTGATGATGATGATGATGATGATGATGATGATGATGATGATGATGATGATGATGATGATGATGATGATGATGATGATGATGATGATGATGATGATGATGATGATGATGATGATGATGATGATGCTGATAATGATGATGATGATGGTGATGATGATGATGATGATGATGATGATGATGATGATGATGATGATGATGATGATGATGATGATGATGATGATGATGATGATGATGATGCTGATGATGATGATGATGATGATGATGATGATGATGATGATGATGGTGATGATGATGATGATGATGATGATGATGATGATGATGATGATGATGATGATTATGGTGGTGGTGGTTGTGGAGGTGTTAATAGGGAGCTTAAGCAACTACGACGACCACCACAACGACGACCTCAAAAAACAATAGGTTTAATGATCAAAACAACTGCTCTGCACCTGCATAATGCTTTTAAGTACATTTCTTTGACGTCCACTGCATGACTATGACATGAAGCCTCCTAATTTGACGTTTTATAGAGGACGTAGACATACAATGATGAATTTTCCTTCCTCTTTTTGAACCTGAATAAAATCCTTTAAGGATTCAACTCTAGGAAAAGTCACCTGCATTTGGCATATTGAGCGGGTCCAAATAGGCGCAATTAAGTTTGAAAGAACACAAATTCATTGTTTTAACGACGGTTTCACTGCCATCGTCGTCGTCCTTGCTTAAGGTCCCTAATGATGATGATGGTGGTGGTGGTGGTGGTATTGGTAGTAGAGGTGTTAATGATGATGATAATGATGATGATGACCAACATTACAGGTCAAGTTATGACATATAATATTGCTGTGGATATGTTCCCATTATTTATTATTAAAATCAGTTAAAGAGAAACCATGATGTTGCAATCCTTTAGGATATGTAGTCTGCCACAAAAAGCTCTGTAGCCAATGATTCCCTCTGACACCAAATTCTGTCTAAAACACCAGAGAACATTTTGAAAAAAAATTGGCCCTCACAAAAACAATTTGCCCCTCAACCCCAACCAGAGGATAACCGATAGAGTTAAACTGTCTAACATATCAAACAAAATCAGCACTCCATTTAATATGAAAGTTGGAAACTTCCACTTTAAAATATACCAGTTTAGTGGAGACTACAGTTATTTCAAAGTACCTTCTGGATTTCTTCAGGGAATTCCATCAGGTTATTTTCAACACAAGAAACACAAAATCTCTTTGTGTAGAAAATACTGCATGTCTAAAAAGTAGAGAAGAAGAGCTAATTTAAAATTTTCAACTAAGCATATTAGTAAAATGGTTGGTCTCTCTTTTAAGTATCACTGCAACATAAATCACCAGTACAGGGGTAATTTTCAGTGGGGAAATGAACATTACTATAAACCCGGGGGTATTCCCTTATATAAGCCATATAGGTAAATGCCGCCCCATCAGGTAGAGGTTTTGCGCTGTTATGGTCTAAAAACCGGTATACACTAGGCCCATTTTGGTCTGGAATCGGGTATGGCTTTTGAGGGACCTATATGGAGTGTATGAACGCATTTATCGCTTCCATCCCAAATCAGTAAGAAAGAAAGAGAAATATGCAAATTCCAAATGGATTGGAATAATTTTTTTGTTTGTGCTCTAATCTAAGTAATGATAACAAAATTTCTGCCTAAAGGTCTGAAAACGGGTACCGGATTTTAGAGATCTAGTCTAAAAACAGGTGTGGAAAATTAAATTTTTTGGTCTGATATTGGGTCAGGATTTGAAGAACCGGGCAGCACACCCCCATCAAGAATTCCCAGGAGTACCACCCCTGGGTACAAACCAAATCCCACTCAGCCAGATGAGCCTTTCTTTCACTTGCTTGATTTTGGCATACTTGAGAAAGACTCTGCAGGAATGGAATAAGATCTTTGTGGAGCAGGAAACCAGGCCTAATAGTTGTGCCCTAGGGCCATCAGGCTCAGTTACAGAGATGCCAACCTCTGGAGATCTAAAATCTGAAGAATCTATCTCTTGCAGACCCGGTATTATGTAGTTTATACTACTACGTGAGAAATTTCTGCAATTTGATTGGCTTAGAGCAGTGGTATTTCAGCTGAATTTGAAATACCTACATATGACAGTGTGCAAAGAAAATCGTGTCCGATAGCCCGGGGCTAGTGGATTTTGCTAGTGGGCAAGCGATTTTTGTTCTTAACTTGCCCGACGGGCAAGTGCTGTTTTTTGGGGAAATTCAAATTACGAAAGGATTTTTATCAATCCTGCTAATAAAAAAGGGTTTTGGAGCTAGTTGAATTGACTTGTGGGCTAGTACATGCTAGCTGCAGCTTGCCCGAGTGGCAGGCTGTAAAACTGACTTTCTTTGCACCCTGTATGAAAATTACAAACCTTTTGCGGGTAGTAGTATAAACAAATAATAGCATGATTTGTACGTGATATTTGGCATAAATACCACTAGTGATATTTCAAAATTGTCTCAAATTTCACTCGCCTAACGGCTCGTGAAATTACGTATAACAATTTCGAAATATCACTCGTCGTATTTATGCCAAATATCACTACAAATCATGCTATTACCTGTACTAATCCCTACCGGGGCCACGCAAATGTCTTTTGAGCACAAACAACACTGTCCACCAAGAGTCAAGTGCCCTGTAGTTGGCGAGAAGGGGTCATGGATAACATACGCATCTTCCAAAAGTCTACGAGAAAAATTCATTGCTATGAGTTCATGGTCTCTCTTGTCAGTCCCTAAAAATTACGTATTGACACAAAACAAAAGATCATACATCACAGACTTAGAAAAAGGAGGCCTCTTTCCAAAATATTCATAATAGCATTCAAAACCACAAGAGGAGCATTTAAAAGTTACTTTGTCAGGGTTTTCACAAGGTTCTTCGTTCGCCATTTTGATTTAGTTGCGCCCGTAATGCTCATTAACAGCGGCCACGTAAGTACTCATTTAAAGTAACACAGGGTGTCTATTCCAAGCTTGGTATCCGGAATCCGGAAACAGAATCACGAAAAGGGAAACGGAAATGAAAAGGGAAACGGAAACGGAAACGGAAACTGTGAAAGGTTTCAAACGATCGATTTTTTAAAAAAAGGCAATGACAATACATTGAATAAACAGATAAAATAAATATATAAATCAATGAATTACTTGGCATGCATGGGCAGAGGCGACTGCTGTGACGAGAGGAGTAGATTCCGGTGAAAAGACTCTTCATACCACTTCGGCAATGAATGCTAATTTAATGAATGCAAAGCGAGGAGAAAAACGTCAGCTGAGAAGACGTCACTGACAACTAGTTCCTTTAGAAGGAGGTAAGTTTTATGGAGAGAGACTTCTTGAAGACAAGGCGTCGTCGTCAAGTTTTTCCTAAGTGTATTTTCTGGGTTGTCTTCAAAAATCTTATTTTATATATCCAAGACAACTTACTCAAGAGAACTATGGCATTGTGGGGTCCAAAGGAAAAAGAGAATTGTGCATGCCTTTGCTTGAGTCCGCAACTGATTTCATCAAAACAATGTGTCATGTTTAATAAGCCTTTTCAAAACGTAAAATACGGACGTCAACGCAAACTCAATTACACCAGTATTCCATCAGCATTCAGCTTGGCAAAAAGTACAACTTATTGTTAATACGCTTGAACTGTGGTCACGTCACGAGTCGGTCACGTAGTGGGGGCAATCACGTAGTGTGGTTAAATTGTAAAATTACTTTTATCGGCCTTGTAGTGCAATAAATAAAACTATGGCACACCTTTAAAAGACATATTAACAAGAATATATTTAAGGGAACTGCAAAGACAAACTAAAACAAATTCTCTTTGGATTGTACTAAATTATGCAATGTGAAATTCTTTAATTTTCTATCATTGATATTTGATTCCGTATAGTCCGTTTCCGGATTCTATGTTTTAGTGCTGCCGCTTTGGAAAATCGTTGTAGCCATGAAAAGTTTAAGGGTAAGATCCACAGGTTTTCGTTGAACTGCAGATTCAAACAGACAACCTGTCCAACAGGACAACTGAGTTTGAAGTAAGCGGGTAATGCATTAGCCTGAATTTCAGACGTCCCCTCGAGGCCGCATACCGAGGGGACGTCTGATATTCAGGCTAGGAAGTTATTTCATTAGAAAGCATAGAATTCTTGCATTCGAAGCCTTAGCCGCCGGGACTAAGTCCAGTATTTTTTTCATTCCCGTATTATGCAAGCGGCCAATCTGTTACCCCGATAATGCCTGGTCGCAATTGTTAACATTGTCGTTTAGCAATGAAAATTGGCAGGTTTGGATTATGTCCTCAACCTAATAGTAATAACGTGTAACGATGTCGTCAGAAGTCACTTGTAACACCGCAGGCGTATCGTAAGCACGTCGCACTCATTCAATAAAATTGTACCGTGTAAATCAGCCCGTAGACAGCTGACAGCTTTACCCCGATTGTGAGACTCCAACAACAACGGACCAAAACTAACACCCTAGGCTGAACGATAGCCTGAAATTCAGGCCCCAGAGGACACTCATACAGTCTTAAAAGCGCAAGTGAGATTACAGATTTAAAATGAACCGGAACATCCTTATCATGCTAAAACGTGACGCTAGATGCAGGCTTTATAGATCTTTATTATATCAAAACGGTTTCCAACTTTGAAGAACTTATTTTCAGTTTATCCATGTAAAATTTTAATTCGCCTTAAAGAGTGAGTATAACGTTATCTGTCCTCGTCATATGCCGCTCTTAACAATTTTTAACATTCTAACGTTTTGTCTGTAATCGTAACGTCTACGCTACTTTCAAAAGACCTCCCTTAAGTTGGTGCAAACTTCTGGCAGTCCGTCGGAAACATCCTCTGGCGTGAAGGTTAATGTTCACTTGTTTGCAGCGCTAACTGGCTGATATCAAACTGGTCACTGGAAAATGTCTTTTCGGTGCATCACATGTTATGTTTTATAACTACGTTAAGACATGCTCTTTGATCTTGATCGAATTAAAAGTTAAAAACTCTCGCTGTATGACTCGGCATCGACTCGTTTAGTTTCCCCATCATGGCTTCCATTCTCGTCTCCCTAGGAAGAAAAATAACAGCGTTGCAGGTTGGCAGTCAATGGATTTGACTGAAATGAAGGCTGAAGTGTAAAAAGCCTCAACACTTCCCTGACTTTATGATTTAAACGCTATCTCAAGCCTAGAATCAACTTTTCATGCAAAGGATCTGATTGTAGTAGACTTGGCTTTTATAATTAATTTGTACATTCAGTATAAATACCTGTTTATGATAAATAAATGAAAACTGAAATATACTGGAAAATGTAAAGCCCCGGAAATATTGGCAAAAGTGAGGACAGTGGTTCTTAACCTTTTTAATAATTTAAAAACAAAAACAAGCAAAAAAACAAAAACATACACCAACACGTATTTGGAAACTTAATAAAGTAAACAAACGAATAAATAAATAAGCAAATAAATATGCAAATATCAAACAATATATAGAGGATACTACACGGTGGCGCGAAGATATGAATTTTATTTTCGAGTGGCAAAACAATATTTTACGAACGAGCGCAGCTAGTGGGTAAAATATTGTTTTGCCACGTTTCATAATGGCGTCATACGGAAAACCGCGAGTTTAATGTTCTTTTCATTTTTAGACAAAAAGACATCGATAAAATAATAGGGGGAAATGACGGAAATTACGTCATCGATAAACTCAATAGGTTTATTATGGAAAATAAATCAGTCGGGTCCCGGATGTAGTTTTTATGAATTTTACGAGTGGTATATTTTCCAGTAAAACACTCGTGTCTATATAATAAAATAAAATAACTAAGTCCTCGTTTCTGCATCCTCAATTTTCCCTTCAAAATCATTGTCCTTATAATCCACTGCTTCGCATAGCCAAACTCCCTGATATGCTGACCTTTCAAAATGGCGTCAGACGGAAAGATAACGAGTTTATGCGTATACAAGGTGCGTATTGTCTGCTAAGTGTGTGAGCACAACACCGTTTTGTGCCGAAACCCAGGCACTAGTGTTCTATCACCAAGAGTAAACATAACCTTTCTGAAAAATTCTTTATACCTCCTCCTCATCATCGTCGTCATCCTCCTCCACTTCCTGCTCTTCTTCTTCTTCTTCATCCCCTTCTTCTGCAGGTTCTTCTGCTGCTGCCTGCTGTGAGGATATTTCCTGCCCATGTAAATCCCTGTTTTTCAGATTTCCAAGCCAAAACGCTTCATGACACTTGTTAAGTGTAAGCATTGCCTGAAAGAAACGCCAAGCCTTAGCTCTGTACTTAAATCTTGTCGCTCTACAGTACTCTGGGAAAACATTTCTAGCCTTCGAGTGAGTAGCCTGCGAAGGGCGGGCTTCAGTAAAAGTAAAAGGCACATAGTGTGCAACATAGAATGTCAACACCAAAGTTGCTATAAACTTTGCCCTTTAAGTTACGTTTAGGGTAAGGGTTTTAAGGGGTAACTATACACGTGTGACTTTGCATACCTTCACTCTAAAGACAAAAGTCTCCAGACATTTCTTGACAGCAGGCACATGGTTAGTTAGAGATAAATCTTTGGTCACCTAGAAATCAAGAAAAAAAATATAGAAGTGAGGTGGATTTTAACCAAAAGAAATTGATTATGAACTACTAACCTTACTGTGACCACAAAAATGTTGAAGGGATCTTGTACTCTGCTGCAGGTTTTTTAGTAACCCATGAACGTCATCCTTTTATGGAAAGAGAAAAGAATTTATTAAGCACCATAATTGTAACAGCAATGGTAATAAAGATTATGACGATCATGATCATGGTGTTGATAGTGAGAGTAATTATGGCAATGAGACATCAAGTTTTATTACATTAATGACGATGTTGACGCTAATGAGGATGATGACGATGACGACGATAGTGATGATGATGAGGTTGATGATGATAAGGATGATGGTGATGATGATGACGATGATGGTGGTGGTGTTGACGATGATGATTATGAGGATGATGATGATAAGAATAATGATGATGATACTGATGATGATGGTAATTGGTGATGAATGATGATGACGACGAAGACGACAAAGACGATGATGATGATGACGATGACGATGCTGATGATGATGATGATGGTGATGACGTTGATGATAAGGATGACGATGATGATTATGAGGATGATGATGATAAGAATAATGATGATGATACTGATGATGATGGTGATGATGGTGGATGATGATGACGACAAAGACGACAACGACGATGATGATGATGACGGTGATGACGATGTTGTTGTTGATGATGACGGTGATGACGATGTTGTTGTTGATGATGACGGTGATGACGATGTTGTTGTTGTTGATGATGATGATGATGATGACGATGAGAAAGGTACACCTATGGATACGAAACTCACCTTATGAGTCCTCAACATCACATCCAGTACTGGCATTCCCAGTCTTAAGAATGTCTCCACATATAAACGTCCATACTGTGTAAAAAAGCAGTTACATGTAAACGTCCATACGCGATGGAATGAAAATAAATGAATAAATAAATACATAAATAAATAAATAAATAAATAAATAAATAAAATAACAACAATAATAATAATAGTAATAACAATAATAAATATGTACTGCAATGTAAGCACTGTCTGACACCACAAATCGCCGTAAAAATGAACCTGTCAGCTCTCAAAACCAGCAGGTGTAATTTTTATGTGAACCAAGAGAGGATAATCTATAATCTCTTGTCTGAACGGAATCCTGTGGTGCAATCGTGCAAATGATCCGCAGCACTCCTGCATAGTAGTTTTTAAGTTTCAGCATTCGTGAATGTTGTTTCCTTGTTTCCGTACGCACTTGAAAGACAGTTAAAGACATAACAACGCCTAGTAAAAGAAATTAGTATACCTTTAACGAGGCTCCAATGATAGACCTCTGATCAAATGCCTATGGAAAAAAAATGTGCCAGCAACTTTTCAAACATTTCAGATCGACTTCTGGTCTAGATAAAAAAAAGGCAAAGCAACCATATTTCACGTCGATAACTGGACTTGAGATACGGTAAGCTCATTTACCCTTCTCTCTCTCCATCAATGCTCCATTTTTAGGGTATTTAAAGCTATTTAAAGCTACACAGAAAGGGAAGGGGTCCAGACAAGGATATGATGTAACCGGCTGGGGATCGAACTCGGGATCTCGGGCACCAAAGGCCACACACTAACCAAATGTGCCATCCTAGCTCCTACTAATCACGTTACAGCTCCTACTAGTAACACTACAGAGACGATAACTAAACAAAGGAACTACTTATGAGCTTTATAGGTTTCTGACAGTATTAACTTGTATCTGTGCGTTTTTTGGTCGTTTTGGAAGGGATGCGCATTGGCTCGAAGACGGTTTCTCCGTTCGATTTCAAAATACAATCGAAAGAAGAGTCGAAAGCTGGAAAGGTTGTCTTTCAAAGTCTTATCTATTCACTCTTACCAGGAGCAATTTTCGACAGTAAAGAGTAGGTTAAGAGAGGACGTGTATAGCTTGAGGGGGAGGGGGCGAAAGCCAGCTACCCAACCCCTCGCGCTCTGAAATGATAAACGCGTCCAGCTCGCTCGTTGATGGAATAAAATCATGAAAATGGCGGGCTGTGGACAGTCTAACAGTCAAATGTATCTTCGCGCCACCCCAAAATGATCGATAGGAAAGCCAACATTTGTCAACAATAGCCCTTCCTTAAAATGCACTATGCCAACTCAAATGCTTACAAGTGATAGATTGCCTTTATATAATTTTAAACAATAGCTTTTGTTAGCCTACCTTCACCAAATTGATCATAATGTGAAAGATTCTGACAGAAATGTTTAATTTGACAAGCCTTTCTTTGTGGCTCTAAAAGAAATAAAAGGCTTATAATTATTGACACATTAAAACCTCGCGACTAAGAACCTGCATTTTTCCAAGTTAGCCTAAACAGGTTCTTATATAAACGTTAGTATGCACAAGTTTAGGCTATTTAGGTTCTTAAATAGGCCCTTATGTTCTGAAGAAAATAAAATACAATATAGCTAAGCATATTTAGTGGTTCAGCTTATTCCTCATAAAAAATATACATACATATTAGAAGTTATGTAAAAATCACCATAAAAAGAGGAACTAACAAATTGACCTCAAGAATTTTGAAGTCCTACTTCCAAAGAGGATTCTGAATGTTGACTTAATGTCTCAACGTCTTTACTTGCGCGTGAATTGGATTAATTTGAGGAAGAGTTGCGCAGTGTCGCCAGCCTCCGTATCATGTCCTGAGAGAGGCCTAGCGGCTGGACGTAGTTTAGACGGCTGGAGATAAAGCAGGATGCAGTCTATGGCCACCAGGAGAGGAGGTACATACATGCTGGTACACTGATAGCTCGAAGGACTGAGTTACACTACTCTTATGAAGTAATACAGTATTCAAGCATTACCTCTGGAGAGTCGGTCCTTTTGAGTGGCTCAGAATGTGTTTGCTTGACGTTTGCGATCAACTCTTCCATCATTGCTCGATAATAACACGCCAGGGATGATCTAGGCAGTGTAAGGACAAACATAGTTTATAAGGGAGGATGATGAAATGAGAAAGATGAAATGCTTATCATGTCATACGTGTGAAATAAAAATCAACCGAAGCCTCGGCCGGCGTCGATGTTCATCTTGAGAAGAATGCCTCCATCTCCAATAAAATTCATCAAAATAAAGCAACGCTGTTAAAATCTCTGATTGCAAAGGAAAGAGACCTTTTTAGAGGAGATTGATTGTACACAAACGTTGTGAGCAATATGCTATCTCGTGGTACCGCGAGCACAATCTCAATCAGAAAACTGCAGAGAATTAATAACGGAATATGCAATAACGAACTCATGATGGCGTAGCTCAGAAGACGGTTGTTGGGAAAGAAGCACGCAAGGAGTGCGTAGGATCACCATCATGAGAAACGCTGACAGTTGGTGTAAAACAAATTTACCTTACCGAGAGTAATGGTAAGGTATTTGCCACTGTAAAAAAGAGGAAACTGGGACGAGTTAACCTTCGCAAAGACTTCTGGGACAAGGAAAAATGGCCAATAGCTGACAGGCACGTTCTCAGTAGCGATCCCAGAAACCATTGCGGAACGCATTTCGGCTCCAGTCTCCTTGTTGTATCTATAGTGACGAATTCATGTCTCTGCCTTTATTGATGCTTTAGTTTGATGGCAAACCATCCCTTCGAAAGCCAAATAGACATTAACAATTTCACCACATACTGCTAAACACGTTTTGATTCCAAGGCTCTTACTACGTGCATATATACCTTGTAAGAGTTGGGTAGGTTGTGGAGCTAGCATTTTTGTCTTCATCTTCGATGAGTTCTGTGACTGCTCCACCTGCGATTTCTTCTATCGTAGCTAAAGTGTCTTCAGCAAAGGTCAAATGAAACCTATGAACAAAGACAAAAAAAATGAGATTAACTCAACAAATTGGAAACCTTCGACTTTGCCGTAACTGACAGGGTCCTATCTAGCATTTATCGTTTGGAGGAGAAATCCCGAGTAGGCGAAGGCCACGAGCTTCCTGGGGGGGCGGGGGTTGCTGAGATGCAATCTGGTGCATTTTTGAGATACAAATTTGAGAAATGTTACAGTGTGTGCACTGACTTCGTCACTTCTGGATGATTTTTCCAATACAGTTAGTTGGGAAGCTGGGCATTTTTGGGGGGGGAAGCTTCTACCCATCAAATACTCTAGATAGAACCCTGACTGACAGTCGATACTGTGAAAATGGACGTTCTTGTTTCCTTTACAAAAGTGCACCACACTTAAGTACTAAGTATGCAGCAGAATGGGCACATACAGCCTTTACTAATTAGTCGACCCTCTCAAACTGTTTGGCATGGTGATTATCCATCTAACTTAAGACTAAAATTAAGGATGGTCCTTTTTGCACGAAAAGCGTGCGTGAGCTGTTCGTCTAAGATGCTATACACTGAGCCAAGCAAGCAAGAAAAAAGTTAGCCAGAGAAAACAGCTGTCATTTCGCGACGCCATAACTGGTTTCCCCGCGAAATGACGTCATTTTGACGTACGATCTGGATATCACTTGGACGTGCCGGATGGGAATTTCACCAATCAAAAGCACGGCCAAATCTGACGGAAATTTCTGAACTTTCATTCGTGAAATTTTGTAATACAAATAGCACCTTGTGTAAAAAAGTTTTTTACTGAATGGTCACATCAATTGTGCCCATATCCTTAGAGTTAAACCCATCAGTCTGGCAGTGAAAGGGTTAAACCTCAGTCAGTCAGTAACCCTTACGCACAGTCAGCTTTAGATACCTTAGTAAGAACTGTAGCGATTCGTTGTGTTTGGCTCCACTTTCTCTTTCACCGTCTGACCTCAGCCACTCCCGTTTAAGAAACGTTCCTGTTAGCTCAGCTTTAAAAAAATAATAAACGTATCACTCTGTGTCAGGTCCCCGCAGCTCGAAGACTGGCTAATTTCAAGTTAGGACAAATCTTTCTTCCCTAGGAATTTTGTAACCACAGCTGAGGAGAATAACTAGCGAAAAATGCGCCTTCTTAAAGTCGCGACTGAAACTTAACAGACGTTTCCATGCTGGAAGGGCCAGCACACTCAGTTGTTTATTCTTTGCGGAGCTTTTTCCCCCTCGTTTCTAACTTACATTCTCGACTCGGCTTGCTTACTTCTTTTTACGAAAGCCGAGGAGGATCTTCCGACTTCCCACTTCCGGCTTTCAACTAGTCGGAAGTCAGAAGCTGGAAGACCCTCCTCAGCTTTGGTAAACTTTACGGTGCTTGCAAAGTCGTTGGTTTTTCACCGACTGTGGTCCATGACAAAAGAACTTCTATTGTCAACAACTGTAAATTATCTTACCCAGTGCAGTTCTCATGCTGTTGTTGCCGCCTTGTTGTCTCTCACTTAACACTGCCAGCAGCTTGGTGAGACTGACTGCAGTTGTTATGTTGGGTATACTGCCAGAGAACTGCTCAAGGTAGTGAAAGCTCTGCCTGCAAGAACAAGCAAAGAACACATTTGCAATCCCTGTTATGAAAACTATACGCGCGAGCAACATACTTCAAAGTTGATTTTTGATATATTACAATCTGTTTACTGACTTGCAGTTAGCTAAGATTATCGAGTCAACTTGAAAAGAGTTTGAAAAAGAGATTAACAAAGTAACCGTTTTACAAAGGAGAGAAATGCATAAGTAATGTGTTTCCATATTAAATAAAAAAGGAAAATTTCAAGTTTCTCCGTCAGTTTTTAGTTTACTATTTACTTCACTAATTTTGTTTATTAAAGACTGGTGTTCTTGTTTTAATTGCTTTGTTTTCTCCCCAGTCATTGCTTCACAGGCTACAAAATCATAACAAAATTCAAAAGTTCGCGGAGCTGTTTTAGACGTGACCGCTCAGCTCAAGCGCACGTGTTTCATATTCACAGTGCAATCGTCAGGCTTACTCTACTCTTCAGCCAGTGACAGTGACTGTGATACACAGTTACACATCTGTTGTTGTTACATAGCTGGAAATCAATCCCCAACAGGGTCACATGACATCAATAAAAATGGTCCCCGCCAAAAGTCGCTGAGCTGACATCATTGCAAAAATCGATGACGTAGTTTGTAAAAGAGCAATGTTACCCGCAAGTTTCTTCCCGCAAACCCGTCCCAAGTGAAAAGGAGATACGTACTCAATCAGCTCTTTATCTTAAAATATGTACGCTAGGCCATAGTGTCTTATTAAAACAAAAAGTTTCTCACGTTTATCAGACGTCTTTTTGTCGTAAGAACTATTTAGTATATGGACAAATATGCGAGGAATTCCTATCATACTTACTTGAGTAATTCTTGGAATCCTGGCTGGGACTTGCTAGACAGTTTTATTCGGGAAGACAACACAAATAATGCTTTCTTCAGAAGTGCCTGATGTTCAGTAATAACAAAACCATTCCTTAAAAGGAAAATGTATTTAAGATGATTTCACGAGAGAAATTGTTTTCACTACAGTTTGCAGCACGTTCAACAATTTTATAGAATCTGACCTGCGATTGCTAAGGGCAGTTATGGTGAGGTGTTGGTATTACCTTTCAAATAACGCCTCTTCAGCAGTACTTTCACATGGTACCATTTATTTAGTATGTAGTTCTAACTTTTGAGTCTGTGGATGTTACCATTCAAATGAAACCTCTTCAGCAGTACTTTCACATCATACTATTTGTTTAGTACGTAGTTCTAGAACAATTGAGTCTGTGGATGAAATCCTACGGTGTTACCATTCAAATGAAACCTCTTCAGAAGTACTTTCACAAGGTACTCTTTATTAAGTATGCATGCAGTTCTAACTTTTGGGGTTGTGGACGAAATCCTGTAGTGTGAAAATTCAAATCAAACGTCTTTGGTAGCACTTTCACACGGTAATATTTATTTAGTATGTAGTTCTAACTTTTAAAGTCTGTGAACGAATTCTTGTAGTTAGAACACTCAAACGAAACGTCTTCAACCCTTCACGGAACCATTTATTTCATTAACTAGTTAAAGGGCTTGCTAAACACAACTTTGGAACTCCGAAAAGACATGGCGTTGTACGGGAAACTATATGACACAAACCAAGCAAAAAGGGTCTGGAGACAGTTGAAGAGCAGGTGAAAACATGAAGCCATGGTCTTTGCTTCCAATGTATTATGACCAGGACCATCTACCACGCCATCGTTTTCAGCCATTAAAGCCTGCAAATCAAAACATAAACGTGTACACCAATAAACAGGATTGTACTTTTTGACCTGTCCACATTCCTACTACATATCCCAGTATCACAAACCCGATAGCTTGAGACTGGTTATCCAAGCCAAGGTAGAAAACTAAGCCTGCTAAAACGAAGTTGATTCGATTTTATACGTTGGTCTCCATGATTACAAGGCGCTGACTACAGATCGTTACATTCGCACCTGAAAGAAAGCACTCGTAGCCTCCAAATGTTCACAGAGGGATGGTAGCAGTTCCACCACATATTTAGCTACTTCCTTTGACGAGTATCTTGATAAGTTAGAGAAGCCCACCAGTTTATCCTGACGAACCTGCAAGTCAACACCAAATAATAAAAACATGCATTATTAGAGCGCTTTCGAATGAAATTGTCATTTTATTAGCCTTGTCTTGCAAATTGTTTATAGAACGGTGCGCTTTAACGCAGAGCCATTCTTTTACTTACACCATTTTCGCGCACTCGAGAAACACTCAACATAAGTCGAGTACGTTCATTATTGAGCATGTGTTGCTTGTGGATGAGATACAATTTTCTACCCAGGTCTAGTCAGGGTGCTGGTTAAATCTTGACTGTTTAGGTACTGCATTTCTACGCTTTGCAAACGACAAAAATTGTTCCTGACTCTCGATGCCATTTTAAACGCCCTAGCCTGTTTGTGTAGGACGACGATTTATCCACTGCTTGTGACCTCATGAAGAGTTACTTCAAAAGAGAACCTTTATGCTAAACTTGTGCAGCTGAAAGAAAGCTCTTAAACCCCTCAAATATGAGAAAGATTGGCGAAAAATGACTTACAGTCAAATAATGAGAGAATTTGCAAAGCGACCAGACTTGAAAATTTCGAGGAAAATCTAGTCTCGCTATCCGCCCTTTAGCAACTGCAACGCTAAAATGGAGTTTGGGTGCCTGGAGTATCCAGTGGCTTCCACTATTGGTAACCAGCCCCTAGACTGAAATAATGCCCCCACGACTGGCACAACAGCGCAAACCAGCCATGAGCCGCCACACGAAAGGAAAGGAACAGGCACCCGTCACACTGAAAACATCAGTGGAGAAAAAAATAACAAAGCCTAGGGGGAGGAGGGGGGAGAATATGACTGACAGAACCCAGAACGAAGGAAAACTGAACGCGCCAATGAATCACATGATCAATGTAACCAGCTACTGGGCATGCGCATGCCAAAGACCGCTGACCCCAGGCACTAAGGCGCTCTTAGTTGTTAACTCCTTTAAATTGCATGTAAATGCATTTTAAGTTAGTGTTTGCCGTCTTTCATCAAGTCTCTTGTACTAAGTATGGAAATACTAACTTTGAGGAAGCTCCTTCTCGATGACGCAGAAGCAGACAGCGAGTATTGCAGCTTCCTGGAGAGATCATCTAAGAGGAATTCAAGCTGAGGGGCTTGAAGTTGAAGAATTGTCGTTTCCTGTGCAAAGTAAGAAAAAAGGAAAAGTCGAATTAAGAATAGAGTCGAACAGATCAGATTGTTTGTGCAACTGCTGATAAGGGCTGGATGAAAAAAATTCAGTACAAACCTCTGTATTCATTTCAGAATCCAGAACAGCGCGAGACACCAACTCACATTTTAAGATACCAAATGCCTTTAAATCCAACTCTCTGAAAAAAAAAGTTCACGAACTCATCAGTAAATATAGTTTAAAAGCGACAGGCGACGAATCTCGTGCAGTGCCACGTGCATTGATCATGTCACATAACGACTCCTGCTTATTGTCTCTTAATTTTTCCTTGAGAATCACTTTGCTTAAAAATTCCTTTCAATCACTAGAATGTCGGTGAAATTATTACCCGGCATCACTGAGCGAAAACATTGCAAAATCAATGACGTGTTTACCTAGAACAGTTCTAACTTTGGAGACAGTGGACGAAATCCTATGGTATCACCATTCAAATAACGCCTCGTCAGTAGTACTTTCATATGGTACTATTTATTTAGTATGTAGTTCTAACTTTTGAGGCTGTGGATGAAATCTTAGGGTATTACCATTCCAATAACACCTTTTTGGCAGTACTTTCACATAGTACTACATAATTATTTAGTATGTGGTTCTAAACTTTTGAGTCCGTGGAAGAAATCCTATATTTAAAAACACCTCATTTCTGTGTCATGGATTGGTACTATTTGTCTTTCGATATTTCACCTGAGACATGCCCGATACTGTGACATGGACACAGTAGCTGCTTTGTCTTTGTCTTTTTCTTTTACTTCTTTCGTCTTGTCTTTCTGAGTATCACTTTCGTTATCATTTACATGTTCTTTTTCTATATCTTTTATCTGCGAAGAGAGCAAGTTAAATAAAAAATAAAGCAACTTTTCAGATCATCGTGTACGATCTTTGCGACAAATAGCATCATAAAATCGAAGACAATTCACTATTACCTTCTCTAATGAATCATCAGGCTTTTCATTGTCACCCCTGAAAATGGAGAGAAAGATAAAGTGAAGTTGTTTTGAGCACAAGTTGGGAAAAGAAACAAGTCATAATTTTTCCTTCTTTATAAGGTCTGGAAGTATCGTACGCCCCGACCGATGCCCAAGGTTTCCATTCCCAAAATAAGACCTTATTATGGTAAATTTGATGACAATAAACGCATTATATATCTTGTGAATATTTCCTTTCTCTCACAAACCTTTAGCGGAACAAAATCAACAAAGGCACTGTCCTCTTTGAGCAGAATAGAATAGCTCAAGCTCACTGAGAGGAAACGCGAGCTGTGCAAGTCTTAGGTAATCTTCTTGCGACCTCACCAAGAAATTCACCAGTGTCCTGAATGCGGCAGCGCCTTCCGTGCCCTTGTTGGACGGATCAGCCACAGCCGGTCACACTGCACTAAATCCCTCTACGCGTCGTGTTCTTCATCACCGTCGACAACGACGGATAAAGTAAAACGAACCGCACAACCCAGAAATGCGTGCCAGTACCTGACGCACGAACACAACAATATACTCCAGGCAGTGAGAGCATTATACAGCTGCACTTGTTAGGGCTAATCAGCATGGCATAGCCATCAGGCCCTTTTACAGCCATAAAGCCGTGTTCAGGTACCTTTTGCGCAAACCCATATACATTGCCGAGACTTCACTAGCAGAAGCTTGGTGCGAAGCTGTCGCTCCGCTTAATGGAATCCTTTGCACCCGCCTCGGCAGTATCGGACACCATCGTAACGTCGAGATTAATCAGCACAGGCGAAAAAGAATGAATTGTCCGTAAGAGTACTTTTAACTCACCGTTCTACCTTAGAAAACGTACCCTTTCTTCGTTTTCTTTCCTTTCTTGGCCTTTGCTGTATTTCCAACAGGTCCAACTGTTGCACCGAGGGATTCATCAAAGTCAAATGTAGCTAAAGGAGGCTTGAATGATGGGGTCACTGAGAAAAGATAAATAGATAAGACACTTTCTACCCTGCGAACAGAGTCTCCTAGTTAAGATCGAAGCCACTCTGCTAGCAGGGTAATGCGCGGCAACAACTTAGAAGAATCACCGCTTGAAACTGAGTAAATATCAGCTAACCTGCTAGACATTTCTCTAGAACTTTGTACAGGTTTGTGATGGTCTGTAGTCTCGTGATACTTTTCCCCCTCATTTCAGGATCCTCTTGAGGTGCAAACGCATTCAAAACCTGCCAAACAAAAAATAAATAAGTAAATATTTCCATTATTTACCCTCGGCAGTATTTATAGCACTTATGCTAGTGGGGCTGAGCAAATGACTGAAACAAATAATTCAAATCAAACTTAACAGGGTTAAGAATCCCAACTGGCCGGAAGCAAACCAGTTGGCTATTTACAAGCGTGGCCGAGGATTTGAACTCGGGACTACCGTGAACACGTCCAGCAAGTGGTCAGAGCAGGACTTGAACTCTGAGCCTCCAAATTGCAAGTCCAGCGCTTTAACCGCTCAGCCACGCTGCCTCCACGATTAAAGAAGCTCATCAAACTTTCGATATAGGGATCTGGATCAGTATAGGTAGATTTAAACAACAACAACAACAACTTTATTTCAAACTCTTTGTTCCAAAAATTCATACACAACCCGCAAGTAGCAAAGGCTATTCTAGGCGGTTCGTGTTAAAATAATTAAATAGATTCGTAAAATAAAATGTAAATAAAAAAAATGGTAAGAGGAAAAACGAAGATTAATTAAGTAAGACAATAGAGCACAATTAATTGCACACGAAAAAGGGTAAATTAAGTTCAGTCACATGCTTTACAAGCATATTAAATATGATACTAAAAGAAGTTCAGTTGCAGGAGACGGGTGAGCGATTCAAGATGTTTGTCATGATTTATAGTGGATTAGTATCAGTATTTTCAGGTTTTCATTGAGAGTGTTTACGCCTTGAAAAGCAGCTACAGGAACTGACACGAAATGCAGAAGCGCACGCAATAGCTAAAATCATTATGTGTCCCCTATTCACTACTTTCACATAGACCATAATGCACTTTGTTTACCCCCGAAAATTTTGCATAAAAAAGTTACTTCAACAGAACAAAATAATGGGTTCACGCCAGTTTAATCCATGAGAACTCTTCTGGAGTGTTTTTATCCGCTTATTTGCTATTGAAAAAAATTTTCAACTTGTATCTGACGTTTACGGGTGACTCTGAATCTCTCCAATGTTGCACAGTTTGTCCGGCAACCAAAGAACTGCGTCAAATCCACTTTGACATTGGGAATGTAGCGCCGAATAAAAAGTACAACGCAAACAACAGTCAATAAAAACGTACCTCCCTGAACCAATTCACAGTGTGAAACAGCGTTCCGCAGACAACTTCTCGATCTGCTTGATCTAACGTGTCAATCTCTTCGATCATTTCTTCTTTAAAGCTAACCAATGGGCACCCTAAAACAACGCCATATATTTAGAAAGCTGAGGCTAAGGTCCCCGCGCTGACTCTATATCCTTTGCCTCTGTGTTATCTCTAATAAGTAAACGCGATTTCTCATCAATAGTACGCACGCAACTTCTAAATCAGCAAACGTCTTGCAAAGAAAACCAATGAACCCACAAGTGAATAAAACCTTGAAGGCTCATAAGTGCTCTTTTTTTTCCCAAAAGACTTCAATTTCACTTGCTTTATTAACGAAATTTTTCTGTAACTTTTCACGACAACTAGTTACGGTAAAATCAGGACACATTATTCAGCCCCAACCTTTTAAAGACACCTTGCAGCTTAAGCGTAAAAGTAAGAGAGGAAATCTGAGGAAATTTCTCTAACGATAAATACTCGCATCTTGCGTGTAATTGCTCGTGTAAAATTTTACACGCATGTATTTTACGTGTATTTTGCGTGTAAATCCGCCATACTGCACGTAATTTACACGCGTGTAAATGCTGCAATACCCGTGGCCTGTATGGTATTTTTAACATTTAATCGAAACTGCGAAGATTATAACGACCAAAAAGATATTTACCCAAGAGAGCATCAATTCCCTCAAGGTCTCCCTTGTGCTGACTTTCTTCGCATACTCGTAACAAGCGAAAGTGAGGTGCAAGGCATATTAAAGGCACTGGCACACTGAAAAACAACAACATACAATAACTCATATCTCGTATAACTGTCTACAAAGACGATCACAACGAGAAATGAACAGTTTCAGTACAGTTTAATCCGTTTGCCTGACCAGCCTACATGTTTTCTAGTTGGACTTCGTCCACACAGGGCTCGACGAAAAAGACTTGATAGATATAAGACGTCTGATGTCAGATTTCTGTTTTCAGATGTCTGATTTCAGACGTCTGATATCAGATTCTGATGTCAGATATCAGAAATAGGACATCAAACATAGGACTTAGTATAGGACATAAGACATCTGATATCTGACATCAGACATAGGACTTCGGACATAAGACATCAGATATAAGACATCAGACACAGGACATCAGACATCAGACATCAGGCTTGGGACATCAGACATAAGACGTCAAACACAGACATCAGCTCGTCCTTTGGGTAAGCAGTTCTCTGCACACTTTGCTTGCCAAATGATTTCCTGCTACATGATTTTATAAAAAGGTGACTTTTTTGGATCCTTGCCCATTGGGCAAGTAAGCTTGAAAAGTTTTAGCTTGCCCAGCTAGAAAATCTACTTGTCTCTGACTACCGGACGGGACTTTGTTCAAGCCCTGTATAACAAGAAACATTGTTCGTTTAGAGCGATTTTCGTATGACCTTGAAAAGAAAACGAGCTAACAAAACAGAAACAACAAACGAGCGGAAATAGAACCATTTGATTGGTTTATCGAGCGGATATAAACAAGCGTGGCTCTTGGTTTCCCAAGAACTTTCTAGAAATCACTTGATACTTCGCTTGGACGTCATACTACAACACGATTGGCCAATCGAACAATGACTACTCCATATTAGGGTTTTCTTTCGCAGGAAAACGAAGAGTCCAAGTTTTGATCTTTCAATCCAATTGCCTGATAAAACAAATAACGAACACTTACCGAAACCATTTTTCAAGGTCATACGAAAATCGCTCTATCAAACAGTGCTTAATACACGTCCTTTCGGAATAATAACCTCCAATTTTACATGCTATACTGTAACTCACTTATCACATTTTTCTTTGTTAACTTCATTGTTTCTTGAAGCTAGCAGCAATGGAAGGATATTAACAGCAATACTTCCTTCCTCAGCTTCATCCAAAGCATATGACAACTCCACCGGAACAGTATCACTGGAAAACAAACAATCAAAAGACACTTGACTTTGCTTGCACGAAAAACTCTGAACGTGTAGACTACAAGTAGGTTAATGTTTAATTAATTGTAAGTATAGGTAATAGCATGATTAGTAGTGATATTTGGCATAAATACCACAAGTGATATTTCAAAATTGTTATACGTAATTTCACGAGCTGTTAGGCGAGTGAAATTTGAGAAAATTTTGAAATATCACGAGTGGTATTTATGCCAAATATCACTACAAATCATGCTATTATTTGTTTATACTACTACCCACAAAAGGTTTGTAATTTTCAGATGTAGGTATTTCAAATTAAGCTGAAATACCAATGCTCTAAGCCAATCAAATTGAAGAAATTTCTCATGTAATAGTATAATTATTGTAATTTGTTTACCCCCGGAGCACTTTGGAGTTGTTAACAACTCCGTGAGTACCTTGTTAATGGCGCCTCTCTATCAACCAAAAAGTCATCCTGAAAATCAGCTACAACTGTCTCACTGATCCACGACTGAAAAATACAACAATCACGTTAAGAACGAATACAGCAGCGCGGCTATATTTTACACTTATACTACTGGGGCCAGTTGTTCGAAGGCCGATTAGCACTTAACCCGGGGTTAAATTTAACCCGGGTTTCTTTTTCTGGTATTCTAAAGCATTTTATCGGATAATTTTCTCTGTTATTTTTAGAGCTTCCAATCATCAACTTGTACACAAAAAGAATTAAAAGTGAAATGCTTTTTAAGCTTTCAAATCTGAATTCAAATCTCGCGCTAACCCTGGGTTATCGTAACCCAGCTTTGAACAACTCCCCCTGCTCGTCACTATTCAAATCCTCTACAAATGAGGATACGTTTAACTAAGGGTTAAAGTTGAACTCCTGAACAAATCTCGATAAAACACACGCGTGATGTACGGCTCGAGTAGGTCGACTAGTGCGCCTATTCTTTTGAACCTTATTCAGTTTGTAAGACAAATAGAAATTGCAATAGCCTGGGAAAACAGCTTACATTTGCGACGCCACCAAGGAGATTTCCCTACGAAATGACGTCTGAACAACGAGCGCAGAAATTTTATAAATGACGCGACACTACCGGGGTCTGGGTAGTGACGCGTCATCAGTATGAAATTTGTGCGCTCGTTTCTCAAACGTCATTTCGCGGGGAAACCAGTAATAGCGTCGCGAATTGTCGCCAGTTTCTAAGGCTACAACTTCAATTGTTTGATGAGACACTGTGTCATAGAAAATTTGAGCGTACCTCAATTTTAGGATCAATTCCTCCAAGCTGAACAATTCGTGCCAGCTCATCATAAAAGAGAGCAGCTGCTTCAGGTGTGTCCTTGATGCTGTTTCTTATCATATCCAACATGCTGACAATCTGACAAAGGCAAAAAAAAAAGAAATTTAAAGAAATAGTTAATTTTAACTCAGAGCAAAGAACGTACTGTCCGATAGCCCGGGGCAAGTGGATTTTGCTATCGGGCTAGTGAATTCTGTTAACTTTCCCGACGGGCAAAGAAAGTTTTTTAGGGAATTCAAATTACAAAAGAACAGAGTTACTGTAATCAATCCTTTTCCTTTTCGGGCCAGTTGAAATGACTTCTGGGCTAGAACATGCTAGCTACAGCTTGCCCGAAAGGCAAGCGACGCGACACAGGCCATAAATATGCAAGTTTTACTTTTTAATCAGATAACATAATTTGTAATTGCATCCTCTCTAGGCTTTCTGCAAGTAGAATGGGAAACAACAACCAAACTTGAAACATCAAGACTTGCCTGTTTGTATACTTCATTTGAAAGAGTGGATTTCTGTTGTGATTCTGTATCCATTGTTTCTTCAGAACCTTCGTCGTCAGTTCTTAACAGCAAGGCAAAATGACAAAATGAAAAAAACACTCAAACGTTCAAATTACAATCACGGATCCATATAGGGCGTTTTCTTTCATGTGGCCAGTAGCTATGCCTGATAAAACAGCCGACATTCCGCGATACCACCACTGGTTTCAGCGAAATAACTTCTGACGACCGAGCGCAGAAATTCCATACTATCCAGATCTGGATAGTGCTTCTGATTGGTGGAAGCAAATTTCCCACGCGGCACAACCAATCAGAAGCACTAACTAGGTCTGGCAAGCGACACGTCATCAGTATGGAATTTTTGCGCTTGTTTCTCAGACTCCGGCGTCATTTCGCAGGGAAACCAGTGGTGGCGTAGCCGGAAATGTCGGCTGTTTTAACACGCTATAAATTTATTGGAACAGAAGAAAGTCAGGTTCGACTCCCACAGGATCAGTTTGGGACACGAAAATCGCCGTCATTCGATTGTTTTGATATTCAATATGGCGGACGAGACGTCATGTAAAAACGCTCTATAAGAGACTGGGACACTGCCACCCTACCCCTCCCCAATAAACCCAACGTTAACTTTTAACTCTCCCTTTAGACGAAAGGTTGGGTTGTGAGTGGGGAAGGTGGAGAGTTTGGTGCGCTAGCAATGGTGATTTTCGAGCTTAAAAGTTTTCACCTCGGTTTTTTTGGTATGGTCCATTCTAATACAACCTCAACGGGAAAAGCCTATTTTGGGGAAGATGACCACTGTGTTGTAGTTTTAAAACTTTGAAGCGTAATTATCTCCGAAACTTGTGAAACTGGTCAGTCTTGATGAACTCTAGTGAGATGCAAAAGAAAAGTGAAGCAAATTCGTGTGTAGCAAACCTTTTCTTGGCCATGCTGCGTACTACCATAATTGCTCCAATTATACCAATTCTCTTGTACCTAATATGAGACACACAAAATATATCTCTTATACAATCAGAGCGCGCATACTATCTTAGTTATTTTATAAATAATGAAGGAGTAACCAAAGCAGTGTCTGACGAAATTTGAGAGCAGGTGTTGGGGCCTTAAGTGTCACCTTGCACGAAGCAGAAGGTGAAGAGAATATACCAGTCTCACAGTACACAATCTTTGCATCTGGACAAGGACAGTTTAGAGCATTATTTACTGTATGGTCGCTTACTTGGCAGAGTTGCTTGAAAGCTGTTTCCTGATCACGATATGCATATCATCCTAAAAAGAAAATGACAACGACTTTGCAAGAATAGTAGTCAGGGGTTTCAATAAGCACCGACGACCGACGAAACGCGTCGGCTACTTCAATTTTTATTGAAACCCCTGAGTAGTACTGGCACGCTCATATGGAAGATTGTTGAAAGGTAGAAATAACTTGAGTAGCTTGTTTATTCACCAAAATAGTAATACAGCTCTCTTCATCACTGTTACACACTACAGTAAACATCCAGAAGAAATGTAGAACTTCCTATCTGATTTTCTTACATCAAGTAACATATTGGTAACTCTATCTTTGTATTCAGCAGATTTATAAAAAATTATCAAAGCAAGAAACACACTAACAGGTGGTGGGAGGGAAAACACTGCAGCTTTCTCCCAGTCTGAAGGATGGACTAGAAAGGATACAATCCCAGGGAAAGGGCTAACAGATGCATTTTATAGATGTAAAAGAGACAAGAAAACTTTCTAGTTTAGTGATTTGTTCCTATTAAAAGACCGAGCATTTAAAGCAATTAAAAGGGATGTAGTACTGTTCTAAACCAGGTCTGTGAAAGGCGTACTATCTGTCAGTAGAAGGTATATGGAAGGGCTACCTTTCTGTCAAAGATCGTATATAAAAGGGTAAGGGGTTGGACCTCGGGGAAGAGCCTCCCTGTATAAAACTTCGGTGAGTACTCCCCCCACCGCCCCCACCCACCCCCATCGACCCCCAGTCGATGTACATAGGACTGTATAAGACTCCAAATAAAGCATTGTCTTGTCTTGTCTTGTCTACAATACATTAAAGCTCTTGCACCATTTTTATTACAAATTACCTGGATAAGACCTCCATCTTGTTGATTGGTAAAAGCCAGTGTGCTAAGCATGCTGAAAAGCTTCCTAATTTGTGTTACAGTAAGGTTGTCTAAATAATCCAGAATGCCCTGAGAGAAGAAAAGACTTCTGATTAAAAAAGGCAACAGGGAAAGCTTTCTAGACATTAAAATTTTTATATTCTGCATTCCAAATCTTAACATTTCAATCTTCTGCATGCCAAAATTTTTGTATGCAAAATTTGCACTTTTTAATTTCCATCTCAAGCCTTAGTTTGATGCGGATAGTTAGTGGAGGAGGCTGGTCATGAAAAGCGGCAAACATCTAACATAAGCCAACGGTGATGCAATTTAAGTTGGAAGCTCCCTGACAGTGCATAATCCTTTGTATTCTGTTCACAAATTGTGAACAAATAAATCAATGTGACATTTTCATTGGACAATGGGATCAAAATGATAGGAATGCTGATTAATGTTGTGCAAAGTGAGGTCTGTGAAACTCAGAGTCACAGAAAACGACAATTAATCTCAAGAATCTCAACTCTTTAACAGCGTACAAAGAAAGCAGTGTCCGATAGCCCGGGGCTAGTGGATTTTGCTATCGGAATTGTGAATTCTGTTTTTAACATGCTTGACGGGCAAGAGATCTTTTTTGAGGAATTCGAATAATAGAAGAACTGTGACATCAATTCTACTCCTCAAAAAGCTTTTGGGGCTAGTTGAAATGACGTCTGGACTAGTAAATGTTAGCTTCAGCTTGCCTGAATGGCAAGCTGTAAAAATGATTTTCTTTGCACCCTGCTTTAAAAACATTCATCTTGCGGTTTCAACATTATTTTCTCTTTTGTTAGGGTTAGGTTACCAAAATATTTACAAAACACCAACAAGTGCACCGCAATGTACACTGATCAAATCCCTCTTTTTCGCAATTAGCTTGAGCTATCCCCACGATCTCTTCAAACACGTTTTCAAAAGTGTATTTCAAAAACACTCAGTTTTCTAAAGATAACGGTCGAACATTAACATTGTCCACTTTTACACTGAATTTCCAACCATAAAAACTTCATCCCAAAATATCTCTATAATGCTCTCAAAGATTTCTCTCAAACTTCACAAACATCGTGGCAGTTATTGGAGGGAAAAAAACCCCATTAACGATTTTCAAAAAAAGTTCCAAAAGCCGAGAAATATGTCTGTAAAGGAAATTGGTGATGACATCATTTCGTCGCTATGACAACTCTGATGTCATTGTAACCCTGCTCATAGCAAATTTTTATCTTTATCTGATACAGCCACGATGGTCATTTTTCCAAATCTTTGCAAATGAAGACTTAGAGGTATTGACCCTGAAAACCTCCATTGAGCCACCTAGTCTACCATTTGCTTGACTAATATCTCCTGTTGTTTTACATACTTTGATAAATATGGCAAAAGGTGCCATGACATCTGGGTGTGATTCAACAAGATCTGACAACACATCTAATGAAGCATCAGCCTCCGCGGCATATCCACTTCCTATGTGAGTCACCAGTGTACCTACTATTTCCTGCAGTCAAAACAAGTGAGATGAATGTTTGGTTATTGTCTGTAACTACCAAATTAATAGTAAGACAAGGTTTGCAAGCATATAGTGAGCACCCAAGTCCCACACACAGTTCATAAATCACAACATACGCATAAGCATCTAGATGACACTGTTGTTAAAACCACTTAATGTATTGTGAGTGAAATTTTGAAGCTCATTGCAGGGTTGTCAAATGTGCCAGCGACTGGCACTATCACCACTAGTAATGTGGGTTTCCCAGGTCTTACAACAACAAATGCTTTATTTGCATGACCATAAATAAATTATAGTATTGCAAAAGCTATTAGTCTAAATTTAAGAACTAATGCAACTAATTAGTACGTAAAAAACATTACAAAACGTTACAGTTATCATTTATTTATTCATTGATATTAATTTGGTTCTTAATTCGAAGCATTGCGAGATAAATGAAACTAATTGACAGTTAATCAAATAACCAGAAGAATTCATAAGAAGAGATATTCAAGTATTGCAGGGTTCGCAAATACGCCAAATTTGGCGTATTTTACGCCAAAATTGATCAGATGACTCCACAGAGGTTACGGAGGGAGTCACTTCGACTTCAGAAATTTTCGGTAACAAACAGGGAGCCACTTCGACTCCAGAAATTTTCGGTAACACACACAGTTTTGTCCCTACCTTTTTCGCAACAAATGCAATTTACGTTAATTGTAAACGTTGCAAACCTTAATTAAATCATCAAAATTAACGAATGATACTGCACGACAAAACAGGAAGAGGGTAAATTACGACCAAAGTTTACTCGATGACCGCCATCATGGATTTGAGCTTTCTAGGTCAGTGGACCCCCACAGCTACACCGTGTATCCATCACGATAGTTATTCATGCCAGGACCACGTGCTGTAAAGTCTGAAAATGGCTTTTTTCGATGTGATACTTGACTCCAAATTTTCCAAAATGACTCCAAAATTTGTGAAGCGGAAGTCACAGTGACTCCACTCATCAATAAAATTTGCAATCCCTGTATTGTGTAAAGTGATTTGAAGTCAGGTATTTTACTTTCTAGTTTCAAGAAAAATGTGTATCTGATCTGAGAACAAGCCTTACAATCTAGCAAGAAAAGATAGGGGAACACATATCACTAGGGATATGTGTTTCCCAGGTGGAGGAACACATATCACTATGGATGTGTGTCTCCAGTCCCAGGTGGGGGACACATATCACTAGTGATATGTGTTTCCCAGGTGGGGGAACACATATCACTAGTGATATGTGCTTCCCAGGTGGGGGAACACATATCACTAGGGATATGTGTTTCCCAGGTGGGGTAACACATATCACTAGTGATATGGGTTTCCCAGGTGGGGGAACAAATATCACTAAGGATGGGTGTTTCCCAGGTAAAGGAACACATATCACTAGGGATATGTGTTTCCCAGGTGGGGGAAATTATATCACTAGAAATATGTGTTTCCCAGGTGGGGGAACACATATCACCAGGGATATGTGTTTCCCAGGAAGAGGCGGAGGACTCCCATGCCTTTTGCTTTTTGCCTATTCTCCTGATACTTGAAATCTTTTTGACAACTCTGCATTGAATAGCTGGAGTTTTAGTGTCTAGAACAAATTTGAAATTTTACATAGTGTACTAGGCTATGCAATGGCTTGAACAGTACTTGATTGTTCAATTAATTCTATGGCCAGCTGGTGCATTTATTAGCCAGCCACATCTTTCGCATCCGTCTTCTTAGTCCAAACTACAAAGTGACAACAAAGTAACATCCTTTCTTAACTACTGCATACATACACATGTAACATTACCTGCTGACAATAGAGATCAAATGATACAAATGATAACTTGTACATCGCACATGCGTACAAACAGATGGAAGGATCTGGAGATCTCAGAAGAATCTCAGCCAATGACAACAAATCTGAGAAATAGTCTCTCAGGATCTGCAAACAGAATCATAGTTAAGCCATTTAACTGCATTCCTTTACAGGAACTGTGCTCTGGCAGCACCTGGTGGCCCCAGGCTTCTTGCTTTTGCTCTTGGGTGACTAGAATTTTTTTTAATGCAAATAAAGACCTCCTAATCAGAGACACTAGAGAGGTTAAGCATCACATTTACTTCAAACGGCAAACGCAAATTTGTACCAAGTGACCAAGCTTCCCATTTACTTGTCATTTACTCTTCATTACTTCTACAAATAACTAACTTAGTTTCATGCAGTGTCTTATCCAGAAGAATTGTTTTGCGCTGCTTTTATTTGCTCATTTTCTATTTTGAGAATTCTCAAATTGAATCTGACGTTTGCCATTTGCCGTATACGTGATGCTTAAAATCTCTTCTTATACCTAAGAATTAGTCTTGCAATACAATGTACACAGTGCTAGAACAAAAGTTGAATTCCAGTTTGTCCTTTGCGCAAGCAGCTCTCACATTATAACTGCCCAGGGCGACTTCTTGCTCATCTTAGTTAAAGATTTTCATAGAAGATGACCTGCCTAGACTCTTGCCTACTGTGCATGCCAACTAAAAAAAGCTTCCCAGCAAGAAAATGTTTTTGTCCCAGACTAGAGCCCTGATACAGATTATTGTTATTCAATATCATTGAAGTATTGTTCACAAACCTTGTCCTAACAAAGTTTGTACAGAGTTTACAGACACAACTGACAAATTAATTTTTTGTCCAATCAAAAGGAGTTCCGGGTATTAAAACTGTCCTTTACAGATAGTAGCCCTTTCCATAAAGACTGTTTTTACAAAACATTCAAGAACTCTAACCTGTGAATGCGAATTAAAAGCAGCAGTCAACATTTCTTCTGTAAAGTGGCCATTTTTTATTTTATTCCTGATCAGGCTCTCGACAGATTTCTTTCGATTTGCAGTAGAGTGAAGAATGAGCAATACAAATAGGTCCACAACTTTGTGCTTTGCTGCAGCATTCACAGACTCAATTGCCTGAATAGAAAACCATCAAATTGTGAGTTCTTTAAAAACATAAACCATAATCGATATAATGTAAACTTAAGGGTTCCAGTTTCTAGGAATTCAAACCATGTTAGTTGTTGTTATTGACTATTATTTACATAGCTGCAAATACCATTAGTCAGTGATGGGTATCCTGTGCCAGGCTCTCAGAAAGTAGGGATGCTGCACAAACAAGGTCAAGTGCCTGAGTCTCTCCCCAGTTCCAGTCTGTTTTTTGAATCGGTTTTCAAGATCTCTGTGCATTACAATTATGTACCATCTTAGAGCCTGAAACAGGCTTGTCATGGGACAATGTCTGACCAACTTTTTTCCATAACAATGGTCATCTACATCATACATGATAACGTCAGTGTGGAAACTCGCCCTCCCAAGCTACACAATTTACTCCAATTCTCTCCCTGTTTCATCCCTGACATTATGGGCCTCCCATCTGAGCTTTTTGAGGTTCTGCAATACACGCATTTCTAGTAATAGATCTGGTGTGCAGACTAGTTCTTTACTTACCTTGATCCATCCTTCTGCTACAGATCTTTGGAAACGTATTCCAGAACGGATAGCATCCAGTGTCAACAACTCTCCATCCTTGGTTTTGCTCAAGACAGACCTTCAGAGAAAAATTAATCAAAAAATTTAAGCACACCCAGAAGCTCTAAAAGCTAGGGCCTTTCTTATACCAACAGGAGGCTTGACTTGGCACATAACCGAAGTTAATATTTTTTATCTCTCTTTCTGCTAAAACTTTTCTTGATCAGTCAATGCTATTTTCTTTTATGTCATAACTTATCTACATGTTGACTGGAAGCTAAACTCAATAAACAACCCTCTATGTGTTAGTGGTTAGGTATCCAAGCATCAGACTCCCTTTAGGGGTTCTTAGAATTTTCCTTCCTGAGCTTTTAATGTTGTTGTTGTTGTTCAAGTTGCTTGGGAACATTTCTCAACACCCTTATAATTGCTAAAATTTACTTATTATTACTTATTATTTTCAAGAGTGCATGGGAAAAGTCTTCCACCCTCATCAACTTCAATCAATTGATCAAGATAATCACCTTCTGAATTGAAATAATAGGAGAATTTAACATTGCATCAACAGTCACCCAGGGCCTTATTTAACTCACCTCTTCAACTAAGACAAAAAACTATAAGCAAGCAAATAATAAAACAAATAACAATAACGATAGTCTAACATGGACATGAAACAGGAAAAACTAAGATGAATACCCTTCATTAGAGCGCCTTTGTTCTGCTGGAGTTGAGCAAGCTGCAGGAGGAAGAGTGGATGAAGCAAAGTCCAGATTTACTCTCAGTTCACTTACAACCTGAAAATCAACGGCAAAAATTGACAGACATTTCCTTTCTGCACATGTCTAAACCTCTGAAGCTAGTACCTGTATTTTGCATTAAGAACAGAAGTCTACGTAAGTGGTCCAGTCACTTGGAAATGGCTTTTTGGCAATTTTGGATCATTATAGCCAAACAGTGATCATTTATTTAGTAACATATACTAACTCTAGCATTTGAATCAGTTTGAATGAAATCCTGCGGTGTGATCAGGGCTGAAAATAATGAACGGCAGGTCGCCGGTCTTGATGACCGGCCAAAATTTTTTTAGCCAGGACAAACTGCAATTATGGCCAATCAAATCACAGTGATCATTCAAATGAAACTGCTTCACCATGCTACATGTACTAATTGGTTTTAGCAGTAATTTAATGAAATACATTTTGAGATTTTACTTGTCGTTTCGGTACTCTTATTGCAGTAACCATGAAGCAAGGTTAAGGACAATGTTTACTCTTACCTCAAATGCATCACTGTCACCAATAGATTGAAGAATAAATTTTACAACCACAGGTAAGTCATCCATTTCAGTAGAAGGCAGCATTTTTATGACCGATACTCGGACCTATTAAAATGAAAAAGTAAAAATAAGAGTTTCAATTAACAACATAAAAATCAATTCTCAAGTTCCATTGTCTACAACATCTACATTCTTTTGATGCCTAATCTTACAGTGTCTAAAATACGATGTAAATTAGTCTTACCTCTGCCAAAAGATCTGGTCGCAAGCAAAGATTAGAGAGAGCGTCAAGAATAGCAACAGTAAGCCCAGAGTTTTGGGAAAGAAGATCACTGAAAAAAAACAAAAATCTGTAAGTATTTTTAATAATATAAGGAATGACCTATAACAATGTCTTCTGAAACCTGTCTGTAGCTATTCAAACTTGACAGCAAAACAAAAAACCTGCTTTACCCTGATTTTCATTAAATTTTTAATAATATGATATGTCTACCTTAATGGATGTTGCTGCATACATGTACTTCCGAAGTTATTGAGCCCGCTAATCAAATTCAAGGCACTGTAGACAAAATCCTATGGTGTGACTGTTTTATGAAACTCCATTTTTGTGGTAGTCCATCTCTTGTGATTGTTTAAATGATTTTAACCTAGTTTGGCACTATTGTGAATGAGAGAGTGAATAATGTTCCTTGTACCTCAGTTCTCTAGCAACTCCGGTGTGTTCTGAATCATCTAGCACTTCTGGAATACATGTGATGATTTCATGCTGTACTTCCAGTGATGTTATGCTGACCATTTCCAACATCTTTTCTGTCAACTCCTAAACACAAAATAATAATACTAATAATAATAATAATAATAATAATAATAATAATAATAATAATAATAACAACAATAACAACAACAATAACAATAACAATAAAAGTTTTTTGTACAGTGTAGATTATCTGATTGTTTTCCAAGGTTTTTTCAGTTGCTAAATGTCAATTGGATAAATAAATTATTAATGATCATAAAAAGGTATGTGTATGGTTTTAACTTTTATCTGTTTTCCAGTAATTTATTACATACATGTACATGTCTCCTTCTAAAGATTTCAAAGACGACAATCATTATTACCTTACTCTGTATAATACAATCAAGCCATCGGAACTGATTAAGTACCAAGCGAGGAACATTGAAGTCATCCGCACCACTAATGAAAACATCAATCAAAATAATATCACCATCATTGTAATGCTACATGTAGCTGTACAGTTGTTGTAAAAATCATAATTTGAAGAAATAAAGATTTCCTTTGATACATTTATCATCAATCACTTAAGGAGGGCAAGGAGAGGGGAGGAGCAAGACAGGCCCTTATTTAAGAAGATGGTTGCTTTGTAGTAAGTTTGGTCATGGAAGTACAGGGCACTTCAATATTTGGGCAAAGGTGCTTATTTGAATGGGAGGACTTATTTTATGGTATGAAACACAATGGGCGGTGCATTCTAAAAACAATACCAAAGAATTCTTAAATTTTTCACACACCTTTCGTCATCACCCATAAACTCAGGGAGTTTTTCCAGCAGCATGTTTGCAATCTTAGGCTATCATAAGGTGACAACAGGAGAAATGCTCATTAATAATTAAAGATGAATATTATTAAGGCAGCAGAGAAAAGCTGCGCTAATCGATACACCTGCAAACATGCCCTAATAAAATGTATAAATATATTAACTGATTTTGCCTTTAGGCAACTGTCAACTGGCAAATTTTAGTTTTTGCACAAAAGTAAAGCCCATAATTTTATCTAGAACACAGCCTTGGAAACAAAGGGTCTAGAAGTTACACAATGTTAATCTCCATAATATTATTGGATACTGTAAATTATCTTTTCCTTTAAATTTAAAGTAAAATTACCAAAAATAATTTATTGTATTTTAGTTTTTATCATGACATTGGAGTGACTGAAAAAAAGAAAACATGCAGCAAAAAAGCTTACCTGGAGAATATCAATGCCCAAAAGTATTCTGATTAAACTTTCCTGAATTCCTCCATATCTTGGAAGAGAATAACATACATTTACATTTGAACTACAAACGTTTTTTCCTGCCGCCAAAAACAAAGTTATTTGCCTGACTGAATAAATTATGTAAATCAGTCTAGTATATAAGTTGGTAAAGTTATTCTCAAAAATGGATGAACACAAAACAGGCTTGTAGAGATGATTTTGTTTTCCATATGTATAGTAAATAAATATTCAAGTTCAAACCCTTACATTTATAAGTACCTAATGGTCTTCTGAAACATGAACACAAGAACCATTACAAGAAATAAATATACCCACCCCTCATGGTCTTCTGACATGGAAACTGGAAGTAAACTTAAACGGAATCTGTTGGAGGTTAAAGAAGAAAAAATGTATGACATTGTTCTGTCAATAATACATGTACATGTAATGGGCAAGACCGACAGAAAGAAAAATCTACAATCTCAGACAAAAATAGTTGGGATACTTCCACTGAACACAGTTTTTTTCCATCTTTCCTATCTTCTCTCCCTCCCAATGTTGCTTATTGCAGTTCACTCACCAAATCTTGTCCACTAACATTGGAAGGGCCAGAAGACAGTAAAGTGTCCCAACAATTTTTAGCTTGAAAACAACAGGAAAAATTTCTATCAAATATAATTCCCAGAATATGACCTGGGTTCCTCTCAATTTTTTCTATTATTGTTTCTCTACCTCTCAGAATTCTCTATCCTTTGCTGTAGTCCTTCAAGGAAGTCATCTATAACCTGCATACCAAGAAAATAACCACATGTAACAACTGATTAAAATGTTTTGGTATATAGCTGACATTTTAATTACCTCAGGATAACTGTGATGACTTTTCAGCAAACTCTTAAGTTTCTTCTGGAATAGTGAACGATCAACCTCTGAAAATAAAATATAAAACCAGAATCAGATGACTGAATTGCTGTCTCCTGCCTATTGTTATAAAACTAAAGAAAAAATAATAATAGTAGGTTGAAAACCATTCACAAACTGTTCTGCCTAAACATGGTATAAACACTGTGTCTAAAAGCCAACCCAACTTGTTATCAACTTCTATTTCACTACAAATAAATTGTTGAAGCTAGGCTCTAAGAAAAATAGAAGGGAAGTGTGCTGAATCTGTGAAATCTGGGTGCTTGAAATAATTATGATTTTTCCTGGTCGCCAGAGGGTAAAAGTAAGGTGCCAGGGGTCACTGGTTGCTACTTTCATTTTGTAAGCAATAGCTAAAACAATATAGTTTCTACGTCCACAAATCAGTGCCCCTGACCAGATTCCGGAGAGATCTTATGTCATCGGTATAGAAATTCTGCTGTTTAGGCACAGACATTTCTCCGGTGAAACGTCCCTTGTCGTACAGAGTGAGGAGAGAGGGCTGTATTAGCAGGATTATTCTTACCTAATTCATCATGTGCCTGGCCTTCATTGAGATGAAGCCCTGCTTCTTGGACCATCTTACTAAACAAAGTAACTTCCTCTTCAGGTACTCCATTTGTTTTCTGATTATCTTGTACATGTTTTGAGCGTTTGGCTATTTTGAAAAAAGATCAGAAATATCAAGTGGTAAACAATACCTTCTCCTTGCTTATCAAATTTACAGGGGCGTGTGATTATATCCAGGATACTTGTATGCAAAAACGGGAAAATGGGAAAATGAGCTATTGCATTTAACCTATTAAACCCCCCCAACAACACCCCCTTCTCCAAACTGATCTCCATACATTTTTCTTTTAGCCCCTTGAAAGAATTTTAATAGATCAAGGCATTTTCAAACTTATCAAATAATTAATTCACATAACAAATTTCTTGTTTAAATGTATGGATAAATTTTGATTGGTTTTACATCTTTTGTTTACTTTTTTCATTTCATTTTTCTTTTAGCCCCTGAAGAAGTTTTGTCTTTCAAACTGAATTATTGCGCAAATTTGTTTAAATTAATAAATTATCTTGACTGGGAGATCCTGCACCACCGTACTCAACGGTTTGTCGCTGTGGACCTGTTGATATTTCATATTTTGGAAGGCTGTCCACAGGTCAGAAAAAAATTGCTGTCTTTAGTTCCTTAAAACAAACATGCAGGTACAGCTGAAAAAATCTAAAGGGGTGCCCCCCTTGTCTTCTAATAGTTCCTCCAAAAAAAACATGGTTTATTGGTGTTGAACTGATGAGCTGTACCCCCCCCTACAAAAATTCCTCGAGATCACATGAGATCATCAAGGAGTAGCTCACTCCAATTTATACCAGCTGGCCCTCCATACAACCTCGTTTATATGCTATTCCAGGATATTTACATGCATGTCGGACCGCTTTACAAGACAACGGTTTGCAAAAGAAAATGAAGCCAGGTATTCTGCAGTTTAGCCGAAATCAAGATGCAACACGCGACTAGCATAGCTTAAGTAGTTAAATTAAATAAATAAATATTGAAAAAGATGATAAGCTTTTATAAATCTTGTATTTTCGAGACAACTTTACCTGAAGGCTCGGTAGTGTTGGGTTTTGAAGTTTTGCGCTTTGATCGCACCATCATTAACTCCACTTGAATGATATCCTAACCTCTCATTTCAAACCCATCTCAGTGCAAGTAGATTTCCTGCTTTTAGAAAGCAACTAACATGAATTTTAGCAGATTTACAGGGATCCATCTAAATCCAAGTTTCCCGCTTTTTTCCACGCTTTTTGAATTCGCATTTCACGCATGCGCGAAAGTCCGCTGACAATGAGCTGACAATGTAAATGGCGTCCATTTCGTTCTATCCGCAACCGCGTCGTTGCAAACATATTTGAACAACTTACTTCAGACTTACTTCATTTTTGTTGATTTTCCTCATCATCTCATAAAGGATCAAAGGTGAATTTCAGTGTCCTTTACTTGTAGAGTAATGTTTAACCACCAGCTACTTAAGACGTGTGAAAAAGTTCATGTTGACTTCTTTAATTAGATTATCTTTTGTTTCGAACGCTGGGACTTTAAGGTAAAAAGGCCTTTTCACCGTAATCGACAACGAACAGCTGGGTGTTTTAGCTTTTTATCGCGTCTTGTAACATTTGTTTTAAGGAATCATCTTTTTAGTGTCGTGATTTAATGGAACGCGATCGTAGCATAGAAGTCACGCGCATCAGCTGAGCGGTCGGCTAGTACTACTGTAAATTGTTTACCAAACTAGTCTTTTATTTAATGATAGAATGTGGAGAATAAATATCTTCCTTAAGTTTTAGACGTAATTATTCCTTGTAGGCATCAAAGTGTCAATAGCCACGATGACATCTAAACCTAACCAAAAGGAAAACAGTTCGGAAACTGATCATGCTGCTGGCGATGAAGAAAAAGCAAAGAAAGAAGAACTGGTAGAGGCCAGAATGAGGATGATTAGGAAGAAAAATGAAGAACTCTTGAGAAGACAAAAGGAGATTGAAGAAGATCGCAAAAATGCTGACATGTATAGTGAAATGGCAGCTAAGAAAAATCCAGGTAGTTTTCCTTCTACAGGAGTTAACAAGGAAGTTGCTGGCACTGGATTGGGCAGAGGTAGAGGAAGAGGGTTAATGTTGAGAGAAATGAGAAAGGAGACTCTAAAAGCCAAACAGTGGGAGGCTAAAAGAAGGGAAAATATCCAGAAGGAAGAAGAAGAGAGGAAAAAGAAAGCAGAGTCTTCTAGTCGGACCTCCAGGTTTCTTGTAGATAACGATCGAGTTGATATGTCCAAGACATCAGGAAGAAATGAGCGGTCATGGGGCGGAGCCAGTTTTAATCAAGTCATTAATCGAGTGCAAAGAGAAAAGGAAGGCTTTCGGCCAGGTCGTAATAAAGGTAACATAGAGCTGACTATGTCAGGTAAAGAGAGACGAGAATATTCTCAGTGGAAAGAGGAAAGGTCAAGAATTGACGAGGAGAGGAAAGCACGTCAGAAAAAGACAGGAAATTGGAGTCGTGCTTGGGATCAAACCAAATCGTGGGACTCAAGAAAGAAAATGTGGGTGAATGAGAATGACAATGATGATAGTTTTAGAAATACAAGACGGCGAGATAGTGATGATGCTGATGACTGGGGAAGTGATAACAGGAACAGAAGAAGAGATCATGGACGACAAGAATGGGACAGAAGAGGTCCCAGGAGTAATTCTAGATTTGCACAGCACGATGATCGCGAGGTGTGGGGTGAAACATGTGAAAAGAAAGTTGTTGCTCACACAGATAGTAGTGGAGGCAAGCCAGTCAAAGAAGAAGATTGGGGTGATACAGGTGAAAACAAAAGTGTTGAACTGTCAAATTCTGGCAGAATGATGGCCTGTGAAGAAGACTGGGGTGACGACTCAACTGAAAATACAAAGGACATTAACCATACTGATCCAGCAAATGGAATGCCAGTGACAGAAGAATGCGGGCAAATAAAGGAAAGCAAAGTTATAAAGCACATAGATTCTGGGAGGATTCAGCTAGCAGATGAAAAAGGTGATAAAATAACTAAAGAGGCACTGGCTGAACCAAAGGCGCTTGGATCTACAACTGAAGAAGAAGCTGTCATGAGCCACCCACCTGACAAAACAATGAGTAATCCAAGTCTTGGTGAGAAACAATTATGCACAACTGAAAGTAAAGAAATAACTAACACACCCATGGAGGAACACACCCATCATGGTGTTGATCCTAAGCCACAACGAGAATTTGTTAAACAAAGAAGAAGACTACTTGATTCAGATGGCAGTGATCAGGTTAAAGACAGTAAAGAACTTGCTCCAGTGAAAGAATTTACACAAGACAGAACGTTATTTGATAAAAAAGATCGTAGTGAGGTAGTCACAGTCACACATGAGCATGCTGATGTTAAACATGGTGATCAGGATGAAATTTCTTCAACAAGTGAAATCACAGAAATGAAATTAAGTCACCACGACAGGGAAGGAAATGGAGAGAAAAATCCTATAGATGCTGAAAACAGAGATAGTGTACCAAAAAATGTGCTTGATGATAAAAATCAAGGTACTACAATACCAAATGTTCTTCCCACAGAAAAAGAAAAAACTGATAAAGTTGATGGAACTATAACTCACAAATCTGGTGCTGAAAAGGCTCATCTGCCAAAAATTAACACCAAGGTTGAAAAGAAAGTGACATTTGACTCAGAAGAAAATGAAAATTTCAAAGAAACCAATGCAGAGGATTCACCATCATTAATTGGTGACATTCCTCCTACCCCGGACTTTTTAAAAATTGATCACAATTTAGATTGGGGTGACATTGAAGTTGATGCTGATGAGTCTGAAGCAATTGAGCCTAAATGGTGACTATTTTAGACTCAGATAACAATGCACCTGTTTTTAATACATAATATTTACTTTCTATCAGCTTTCATCTATTCCAAACAAGCAAAAGAATACAAAAAATAGTAAAAATAGGGAAATAAAATAAACTAAATTCTTTGTCAGTAGTAATATTTATAGTATTTTTCAACTAAACTTTTTGACCAAAATCATAATTCCATTTTTAACAAAAAAATAACGTAACAGTTATAGATGTACATATCAATCCAAGCTTTTTCTTGTGACTCACAGTCATTAAAGTACACAAATCTCACTGTGAAGGTGTTGCTATATCTTTTGCCTCTTTTTTGGACAGGGCAGTTTCTCTGTGGGTCACTTTTCTGAGCTCCAGTATTAAGCATGAACCATCTCTAGTTAACTCCCTGTGACTCAAACTTCAGTACTGAACTTGAAGTTTGTGCTGACTTTTCTTGTTGATTTCCCCTGCATTTCCTTATACAGCGGCAGTTACTTGACCCTCAGTTATTCAAACCCCTGCTAACTCAGACACACAGGGCTCAAACTTCTTTGATTCAGACAATGGATGAGACCAAAGTATCACCATTACCATTAATAGCAAGGGGTCCATGTCATAAAAAAGGCCGATTGTATGATGCTTGCGAGCATCTTTGTGTCCATGGAAACTGTCTGTATAGAGAGGTGCCCATAACAAGGAGGTATTGTAAGGGATTGCATAAAGTTTGGTGTGTTTGGGACCATGGTAACCGTCTGTAAATAGAGATGTGTGCAATGTTTGTAAAGAGGGGTTCCACTGTGAATTTGCTTTCCCTCAGGGCCAAGTTGTTCAAAGCTGTGTTAAGATAACCCTGGGTTAGTGCAAAATTTTAATTCAGATTTGAAATCTTAAGAAGGCAAATTCAGTTTAATTCTTTTAGTCCTGAAAAATTGATGATTGGCTGCTCAAAAAAGAATGAGAAGATTTTGTGAGAAAATGCTTTTGAATGAAAGTAAAGGAAATCTGCATTAAGATTTAACCCCAGGTTAGTGAGAATCGGCCTTTGAACAACTGGGCCCAAGGGATTTTTTTTATAATTTTACCCTTTAGAACTCGAACTCCTTTGAGGAAGTGTTGTAAATAACATCATTATTATTTTAGACATTACTGAACATAATATTTCCTTGTGTTAAAAATTGTCAGTAAGTTAGCTTCTCAAGATCTCTCTTGGACAACGGAAAAACCATGAGAAAAGCTAAGAAAGGGAATTTTTAAGACTTCTTTGAGATGCCAAAGTACTAAAAAAAACAAGAAGTTCAAATCCAATAAATGTCTCCTGGTTACCAATAATTATCATTAGGTCACTGTGTGGTCAATTCTTTCTTGACAGACACCTCTGTATGAAGAACACAGCTCAATCGGCAAAACTAAAATACAGCAAGTTTATCAGATGTGCAGTTTCTGAGGGTTTTGTTTTCTCACAGATGGATTAAAAAATAACAAGAACACAATTCTCCAAAGATGGTGAATAATTTTTATTGACAACATCGGTGCGATTCACAGCCAAAATCTTCCATTTTTCTTTAGTTGTGCATTCAGGACAAAACTCATGCTTATATAGAGTAACTCAATGTGTGTTGTGCTAGGCTTTCAAAATCCACTTCATAATCCATGAATTACAAGGCTCCTGCCTCCTGTAACATTGGCTTAAGCTTTCCACTGTCTTGCAGACCTTTGACAGCATCTCCCCCTCCAACAAACTTGCCACCGATGAACACCCTTGGAACCTGAGAAAAGTAGTGTCATCATTCATGTTAGCTTGCAAGCAAGCTCTCCTATTTGGGCAAGCGAAGCAAGCTGCGCGAGAATGCACGAGCGAGAGGAGCCCCTTGCGCGTCTACTTTTTACGATATCCCCAAATGGAGAGCTTACTCGCAGGCTACCTTCGCCTTTGGCATGATACTTCTTACAACAAATGGTTCATAAAAATAAAATAAATAATAAATGATGATTTAAAGGTAGCATATCCACATAGTGGTTCTTTGTTTACCTGAATGATGGTCAAATTGGAATTTGAGAAAGTTTGGTTTTTATTTGAGGAGAGGAGAAAACCGGAGTACCCAGGGAAAAAACTCTCAGCGCAAAGAAGAGAACCAGCAACACACTCAACCCACATGTGGCATCAACACCAGGATTTGAAGCCGGCCATATAGGTGGGAGGCGAATGCTCTCACCACTGCGCCACCCTTGCCCTATTACCTTTATTACAATTTATATTTTATTTTCCTTTTTTATTATTCATCAAAACTTACTATGAACTAAATCAGGGATTTCATAGGTTAAACTAATATAACGTCTGGGTTTCCTAGCATGCGAAAACATCTGTTTCTCCTCGCTCTTCGCCGCTGGGGACGTTTCGCACGGAGGAACATCTGCATCTCAGCAGCAGAAATTCCATACTGATGACGTAAATCAATGTTTACATAATAAATCCGGTAGTCATGGGTTTCCAAATGTGAATTTGTTCAATTTTACGTTTCTCCTGGTCTATTTTGGTAAAGTGTTGTGTTCATCTGACAACGAGCTCCAGCAAAACTCAAATGCTTCTTATAGAGAATACTATATTCCAAGAATATTGACTGTTTTGTTAGAGATTCTTCGCGTGACCTTCGAGGCCTTTTGTCTTTTGTCTGTCATTCATAAACTATAGTTAAAACAATGTAACTACTCCGTCGACCAATCAGCACTCCTGAGCAGATTCCGGACAGATTTTACGTCATCAGTATGGAATTTATGCCGCTGAGTCACAGACGTTCCTACGCGCGAAACGTCCCCAGCGGCGAAGATTGAGTAAATATCTTCCTTACTATATAGCTGGAAGTTTTACCTTACTGCGCAAGCCTCCTTATCACGTGGTTGCACTGGCACTTTCACAAAAAAGTTAATTTTCGATATCCAAAGAAATATGCGTGATTATTGTGATAGAACTTGTAATTTATATAAAAAAAGCTTCATTTGCTTCAGGAAATACTTCGAAAACAATAGCTCGAAAATAATAAAAAGCCCTAGACACATTTTTAGTATGCACGTGGAACACGTCTATTAATTACAGAGATTAATATGAATAACTTCACCAAAATGCTTAGAGGCACCAGTTAAAATAAACCGAAATTGAGCAAGGTTACTTATTTGAGTACAAGAAACAGTGTTAATACATAAATACGGAAAAGCGAACCGCATTATCTCTAGCTGTTAAAAAAACTTCAGCCTACCGTTCTACCCCCAGTAATTTCTTTGAGGGCGTCCTGATATGCATCTCCGTTTTCGATCTCATCCAACTCTATTACAAGATAATTTTTCAATCCTGCATCATCCAGAGCACCCTTGGCCATCGTGCAAAAGGGACAGTAGGTTTTAGAGTAGACTACTACCTTGTTATCCTTGATTTTAACGTTGATTTCGTTGACTTTGGACATTTTGCCGGTTTCGAGTCTTGATCGTCTCGACAGACGTCTTTAGTGTACGAGCCCGCGTTTCACAGGCCTGCGGCCCCATTATAAAATAATGAAAGAATGAAAGAAGTAAACAGGAAGAAATAGATGGGAAAGAAGGAAGTCAGCGCCAAAAGCTAATACAAAGCTTATGGTGAATTCTTTTTTTTCCAGACCCTATTTACTGAAGGCGCATTCTTTCTATCAATTTTTTCGCTGACAGTGCAAGGAGGCACAGAAAAACCAATGAACCGCTACTGTCAACATTACCACAAAATGGGGATGTCTGTCTGCCTGTGCATGGCTCTCGGTCAGTGCAGACGAGCTAAAAAAGGGGGCAATCCTCACGCGGTTATCGCGCCACTTCCCCACTATCTTAAGGTTTTGAGGGCTCCCCGAACACTCACGGATTCGTTCGTTTTTTTTCCCTAGTTATATCGCGTCAAAACGCAACGCCCCTCACGCATGACGAATTAGGTACACAACACAGAGCTCGTGAAAACAACACTGTATTAACTGATCATTTTACAAGGCTAAATAGCGATACATAAGTAAATAAAGTCATTAAATTTTCTTGACGTTTATGATATTTGTCCATGATTTACAGAGCTCCCGCATTCTCCAACAATGGTTTAAGCTTTCCAGTATCTTGCAGTTTCTTGACATCATCTCCTCCACCAACAAACTTGCCTCCAATGAACACCCTTGGAACCTTGAAATCAAACATAACATATATAAGCTAAGTAACACCTGTTCACGAGTCCAGTGGGTAGTAGAGCCGGGTGTAAGCCGATCGCGGGAAAAGAGTCACATACCATCGCGTGACAGTATGGTGCATTCCACGGGCGACAATGAACGACGTCATTTTAATACTCTTCTGCGGCGAAGCAGCGGATGTGAAAAGAGGGTATCAGTGGTGATCTATTGCTCATTAGGAAGTCTACCCCTTCTCCCCCGAAAACTTCTAGCTTTATTTCTGAAACTAAGAGAGAGTCAACTCATTTTATTTTGTTGAAACTTAGGATACTTTTTGGCTTTCCGATTCCCTGAACATGAGATCGTCGAATGAAACGGATAATCTTAAAGCCTTCTCATCGCCCATCGTTATAATTATATTAAAAACGCACGTGCTTTAACTCGGAACAAAGCAATTATAGAAAGAAAGTATTTGGAACATCATAGTCTAAATTCGAAAATAAAAATAATAAAATTTTTAACGGGAGCCCTAACGTGGTTCATACCGATCTGCCTCCTGTAATCTGCAACAAGGCATCTTGAATCGCATCGCCATCATCTCGTTGATCTAACTCCAACAGAACGTATTCTTTCAAGCCAGCGTCGGCAAGCGCCTCCTTAGCCTTCTTGCAATAAGGGCAGTAGGACTTGGAGAACACGCACACTTTGTTTCCACTCACTTGAAGGTTCACGAACTCCGTTTTTCCTGCCATCTTCAACGAATTTTGGGCACTGAAGGTTTAAGTTTTTCAGTTTTAATAAGGATACTGCGAGTGAAGGCGTTTTTATACGTTTGTCCGCTCTCAAGTGCTTAATGCGACGTGACCAATCACCAAACTGCTGTGTCATGACGTCTTGCTGCGTCATGTACAAGTGCACTTAATATGCAAGTCACGCAAACACATTGCGGCGAGCGCGAACAGCGTAAAAAATTTTGAAACTCTAGCCGTCGTAACCACATGATGTGAATTAATAAACCTTTATTTTACTCTGACTCAGGGTGGTTTAATTTCAATCTTTTTTGTCTCTTCTCTGGCTTCCGCACAAAAAAAAAACCGATCATCGTGAAAAATATGCTCTGTCATGTTTTGTCTTAATGACGATTATCACTTGGCCACTTCTTCAAAGTCACGCGATCACGCGAACATTCGATGCTATCTCAGAAGAAAGTCACGCCATCATGCAAACATTGCATTATGTGGGCAAACAGAAAATACTTTGTCATGTTCCTCTAAACACTTATCAATTAAAACAGGTGATGAAGGTATTTTCAAGTGTTTCCGTTGCGTCCTATGACGGAAATTTCTCCAAAGCCATAGCACATATTCTATTACATTTCAGCCGTACACGATATGATAAATGTATTTGATTCACATATAGGTCATTTCCCTTTGAGTGGCCATGTTCCTTGAGAATATATTTGAGAGATTTAACTACCATCAAAGTTTCCATCCTGTCTTCGTCTTGAAGGTTGCTGAAATGAAAACACAGAACAAGCCTTTACCCCAGTCGTGTTTTAAAATACAATGGAAATTTTTACTGTCACAGATAGACTGATGCAAAATTGCCTTTTAATAGAACTTCAAAGTTTTGAAAAACTAGGCCAGTGAAATCTATGATTTATGAGGGTTCACTAGTTTTCAAAGAAATGTATACGTATACGAGGAAGGCAGTGGGGCGGGGGGCAAGCCATCTGGCATACAATTTTTCTCATCTGGAAATTTCGGGCTCCAGTATTTCCAAGAGTTTGAAACTTGACAATTTAATAACACTAGATTGGTAAATCAATCATTTATATAGACTTCGTTTCAATGAAAAGCAATCTCAGTTGCACTGATTTTCCGTGATAAAGGGTAAAATGGTGTATTTCATGGTTCGTTCCCCTTCACTGCTCCCTTTCAAAAGCGTTGTCAAAGAAGCACGTATGTTTGAATATGAAAGTATCAAGCTAGAGGAGAGTGAAATTTCGTGGCACGCAAAGAGAAAAGTATACCACACAGGGTCATAATACAAAAAAAAGCATGTCGAGGACGTCAACTACGCTCTCTAACCAATTCCCGTGCCAGTTTTTCATGCTCAGCATGACGCGTGTTTTTTTTTTTTTTTCATTTTCCTTTTTGCTGCCCCCCGGTATCTTAACTCATTCGCCCCTGGATATTTTGCCAAAGAAACGCTCTTCGAAACTGGTATCACGCCAAAAAGAAGCAAAACTTCCCAATTACCGTAAAATCATAATCTACGCTAGCATCTCCCTTAAAAACTAGGGGGTTCCTTGCCAGATTCCCTGGGAAACGCCTGGGGACAAGATTAGATTGATGCTGCATACTTTTTGTTCCTAGTGCCAATTATTAATCCAAAAGCTTTTTGAGTTCGGAAGAAGGCTACGTGATGGGAATGACTGTTTGGACAAAACAGTGACACTGTAGCTCAGCCCTCTGGCTTTTTCAGCCTCCTGGTGTCTTATTTCGAAGAAGTTTTCATAGGTAGTGGAACAAGATAATCATAGGTACATGTTTTTTTTTCAATTTTCCTATGGCCTGTTTAACTGATTTATTACGGGTTAAGGCATGGGTTGGGAGATCTCCCCTCCCCCCTATCCTATCCCCTATCCTGTCCTATTTAGACATCATTAAACATCAAAGTAGTCTACACCCATTGGTGATGTCACAAGTGGTACAACTGAAGTGGTGCTACTCGCACAGTACAGGTCATTATTGGGGTGTGAATGTTCTTTTTTCTGTTGGGAGTGAGAGAAACCCTCACTCGCAGGGTTCTTAAATAAACAAACAGGCTAATTAAACCATGTAATAGTCTAAAAAGAGAATATTAATGCATTAAAATTCATGGGAAATTATTTAAAGGGTTGACTTTCAAGCTTAGGTCTGGTAGTCTGGACAGCACAGCAAGAAAGTGTGACCAAAGATTAGTATTTTAATCTCTCTCCCTTAAATACTTATTTCAGTTGCCACTGGAGTGAACAGTGTGTAAATATCATTATTTTGTTGTCTATATTAAAATACTGCTCCCAATAAATAATATATAGTTTATCAGATATGTATACAACAAGTATGTTTTGCACCACCATATATATTCAGCCTATAGTACCTGTAATATTATTTTATTCCTGTGTCACCTATCACTGTGCTCTTGGGTTCCGATAATATTGATAAATTAATAATATTATTACTAATATCCAATAACATTGAAACTATAAAAATTAATGACAGTAATTAATATTTACATTATTTTATTATACATTAGCTGTATTTAATAAAAATAAATAAATAATAATAATAACCTAAATTTTGTGGAAAAAATCTTACCATAATTGGAATATCAGCACTTTCCTGCTCAAATTTGCTTTAAAGTTAGCCCACAAGAGAAGACACATGTGAAGCAAAGGCTGAAAAAGGCATCTGCTTTCACAGGCTACTTCAAATGATGACTGAGAATATTAAATATAGCTGTGAAAGTTATTGGCTCTTATTGCCTTTCTTCCTTTAAAAAAGAAAACCATTGACCTTTCCCCTACTTTACCAATCTTGATTTTATCAATTCTGAGACTTTTGCACAGTTTGAAAGGAGTTCAAATCACCAAGCAAAACATTATCAGCAAAAAAAAGCTGCAAAAGTAGGCGTAAAAATAATAAAGCTCATAAAAAAATAATGTTATTGCTGACAGTTTTATCAACTTGCCTTCCTAGAGTCAAGTACTATCTTTTCCTGTATGGATGTTTTATTAAATTAAAGGTTGGTTTCAAAGGGCCTCTTCACATGAGACCCGTTGACCAGGCTGGCTCCGTTTCAGAGATCTTGCCTTTCCTCTAAATCCTTTGTAAAATTTTTGATGTGTTCAAATGAGAGGGTGGGCCGGCTCGGTTCCTGAGATCTCAGTTTTCAGACTGGAATCTTGGTGACCGGGCTGTAGATTTTGCCATATGAACACTTCACCCTGGTTACCGGGATGAATTCTGGTAGCCCAGATGACATCGTCTTGCATTGCTTGCTGTATGTGTTTTCGACATCATAAGCATGCCATTTAACTGCAGCAATACAGCTTTACGGGTTGCCAAAGCTATGGTAGGTGCAAAAGTTATAATCTTTGTGTTTTGTCATGTTTGCTTTGTTTCTCGAATTTTGCACCACAACTCATCCCCAGGATCTTTGGCCTTTTTTCATCTTGGAAACCAGGCTGAAATTTCTCATATGAACCCAAGGCAAAATTGGTCCTAGTAACCGGGCCAGCCCATTCAACCGCGCTCATGTGAAGAGGCCCTAATGAATATGATCACCAAGACTCAAGTGCAGAAACAGCTCCAGTCGTTTGAGCTACCATAGCAATTATAGAAAAACCAGCCTTGAAATAGAACTGAAGTCTTTACTCTGTTTACTCCTAGTTTTGTTGCTTGTGAATAAAATATAAACTATTACTTGAAATGTTTTCGAGCATTTGCGGCTAAGTTATTCAGCCAGTAGGGCGATTATGTAACTGCAACAGTCAATAAAACATTCTTTAAGCTTGATGTAACAACAATTTTTGGTTAACGGCAGACTTCCTCTTAAAGATACAAGAAAAATTAACAGAACGACATCAAAACGTGGCGATGCATGCATTGGTACATGGTCGTATGGGCCGGCATGGGGAAGAGACTGAAGTTGTAAAAATAAGGATTAAAATATCTACAAGCTAAGCACTAATATTTAGCTCTTAACTATAAAAACTATACGGGCATAAAATTTCTTGAACGCGGAAAGTCAGACATACTTTTCACTCGCCTTGGCTCGGGCACACTTTGAAGTTCGATATCTTCAACAGGATAAACCCTTCCTGATGTGTGATTTGATATCGCTCTGAGCTGCGATAGACTCCTTGTCATCCATCGGAGGGTTGATTCCGTTTCTTCGCTTTTATTCGGGCGTTCTAGAAGGTTTTTCTCAATTATACATCGCATAACTTGGGGCAGTTCGCTTGTGTCACGCGGTATTCCTTCCACAGCGTTCCGAAACTCTGAAATTATACTCCCGCTGTCTTCGGGTCGTACTTTCGAAGCTAACTGTTCTAAAGCAAGGCGTTCGATTTGTGGAATTTCAAAGGATTTTGAAGGTGTACTAATGAGCCAAGAGTAGTCCGCTATGTTTGACAATCTCCTTTTTTCCCGTTCAACATCACGATTGATCCTCTCAACATCCTTGATTTGCGATTCAAGCTCCATCATCAATGCTTCGCATACAACATCACTTTCCGCTTTCACTGGCAGTGAATCTTTGGCTTTCAGTTTAAGCCCAAGGCTAGTTAAGGACAGCATCAATTTAAGTTTGCTTCAGGAGCAAAAAATCCAGTGATCGCCCTCCGATCTCCAAGATGCGTATTTATTTCAGCTGTTTATTTTTTGTGTCAAGTGCCAGTGAGCAATTCCCTTATTTATTCGACGTAGTCAAAAACACCTGATTGCGTGCGTTAATTGGCTCGTTCGATAATTAGATCCCAGTCTCTAAATAGAATAAAACGGACGCGTTTAAAACGTGATTTACCCGGTAGATAGCATTAACCACCTTTTGAACAACTGGGGCCTGCAAAAGGTATATTTGATACTGTATAAGTGTTTCGAATAAGTTCCTTTATTGAAATAAAAACTTTTTCAGTTCCAAAATTCATACCAAAAATGGAGGCATTCAAACTTTAAAGTCAATGTAGACATCGTGACCCGTTTTGTGCTTTATACCGCTTTGTCTTTTTGTAGATTGAAGTACAAGCTTTCAACATCTTTGTTCCTTGATTCATTCGAAAATAAGAAGCGTTTATTCTCCTCTGTTAATTTCTTGCAGACAGTTGTGGAACGAATTTGCTCTTATGACAGGCTACAAGCTGTTTTAGATTTATATTATAAAATAATGGGAAAATTGAATAACTTTTTAACGTGCAAAAATGATTTTGAGACAATACGAGACAATACGAGCTATAAATCGTGCGGCTCAGTGTCTAAATAAAGATGATATCGGCGATTATATTATTTTGACAACCCTTTTTCTTTGCGAATGCTTGCGAATACTCTCAGTAATCTGCTGTATATTTGTATCATCTTCGAGACCTAAAAGGCAAATGAAATCAAGAGATGAAATACAAAATAAAAAATAAAACAAAACGAAACTTTGCTTACGATATATTCCAATCTGTGTCTGGTATCGTGAGCCTTTGACCGGCCAGCTTACTTTACAGCGGAGCTCATAGCAAAGGAAATGTGGTAATCTACCCATCTCAGAAAATTTGGTAATCACGTGACCGTACACCGAGCGAGCGAGCGACCGTCCATACGCATCACAGGCATGCAACTCAAGGTTTTATATGGAACACATAAGCGCCCGGACTTTTAGAAAGAATAAACAACAACGAAGTCGTGTCTTTTTCGGAGTTATTTTTTAACAGAGAAAGAGCTATAGCGAGTCATTGAAAATAAAGGAGACGAATTTCGTAGGAAGAAAAGAATGGAAATTCAAAGCGGCGGTGAGAAAATGAGAAGTGCTAGCACCCAGCAGGGAGCGGATAGCAAGGTGAAAATGAGCGGCAGTGAAAAATAAAAGGGAACATGAACACAGGAAACAAAATATTGGGTAAGTTCATACGACAATTCCTCCCTAAAAATAATGTGTAACTAGGAAGTTTGTCGTTTTAGTCGTACAAAACAGCGTTGTAGTCGTGCAAAACAACGGCAAGGGAAAGACAAAAAAGCGTGCTGGGCGTGCAAATTTGTTTTTTGCTAATTAGAAGAAAAAGTGTACTGCACGTGCAATTTGTTTTTTGCTAATTAGATCCATTAGTCTTGAAGCCATTTTTACTGTCCTCCCTGTTTAGCATTACATTATTTAATTTTTTTTGTTTATAAGTATTATTAACCAGAGCTTCGCTTTTAGCCCATGGCTAAATCTATATATTATTTCTCACTGGGCCTCAAGAAAGAACTAACTCAAAATCACACCAAAAAAGTCAGTAAAGAATTAATGCACACTTCTCTCCCCATTGCTCACCTTCAAAGAGCTCGGACGCATCAAAAGATAGTTTTCTTTTGGCTGCCAGCTGGTTCCGCTTGAAAGAAGTCTTGGAACCCTGAAAAACGTACAAAAAATCCGCCAGGTTAAAAAAGTGTTCTATAGTTTTGGTTACAACATCTCTTTCAGAAGGGGTTGGAAAATGATTCTGTTTTGCTCTCTGATAGTCTAATCATTGGAATTGTTGACAGTGTTCAGCCCGTTCTCTATTAAAATTTCAATAAAGTTATTTTCTTTTTAATTGATTTACCTATATACGTAGATTTTTTGTTCATTTTATTCATAATCTATCTATTTTTCACATAACCATTAGTTCCTGAGATATCCGACATGAACGTTAGATTGCAGTTTAAGTCTCGCGCATGTTTCGCGCAGTAGAGAAAGAGAATGGGGCCCACTATTTTGGCCCCTGCTACTCGTTCTTCTTCTGCGTCCCTACTCCACCCCTGAACTGATTGAATTGCCTAATAACGGAGGCTACTGCACGGAGACCAAAGAAAATTTGCGACAAAAGAGGATAGCGGATTATCAAAAATACAACCAAATGGTTACCTGGAAAACATTCTTTGCAACTTTAGATCTTGGGATGCCATTTTCTATTACAGCTATGACTGGACGGTTTGGTGTGGTGGGAACAAGACTGTAGCCATCAGTGTTATCCTTTCCCTCCTTGTAATGTTTTGAGGCGGGGCTTGTCTTTCCATGCAGACTGGAAGAACGTTTCTTGACTGAAGGTAAGTAGCTATTGATTTTAGATTTGCTCCGTTTTTGGTTTTTAACGTCATTCGAATCTGCAGTGCTCACGGTCGTTTTGTCTTCAATTGCATTCTTCAAGGACGTCATGGTCTTTGACCTCGTTCTGTGAGTGTTTGCTACGCTTTGGGAGGCTGTCTTTAGGGATACGGGTTTGGACCTCTGGATCTCACAAATTTCATCCTCCGGAGACGAGGTTAAGTCAAAGACGAATATGTCAAAAGGATCTTCCTTTCGAGGGCCCTTAGCGCAAGGTCTGCTTGCTGTAAGGAAAAAAATTATTAGTTATGATAGATGTATACTACCACTTTAAAACAATTAAAGAAAGTAGTGTGAAACTGAATGGGCCCTTCCAGGGACACATTACAATAAGTCACGAATCATCATGATCTCTGACAACTAGTCCACTGTCAGTAAATGTTTTTAGTTTTGTAAGCCGAGAACATCACTTGAGACTGTAAAGTCATAAAGCCATAGGTATAATAAGAAGAAAATAAAAACTGCGTTCACACTCAGTGTACAGGACGAATTCTCGACCGCCTAAAAATTTAACCGGACACTTTGTTTACACGAGACCGTTTACTGAATGTTTTCGATCTGTTTACACGGAATTTTGAGTGGCTAGGCGTCTAAATTTTCTTTCGGTTAAGGTGGTTCCGTGTCAACGGAAACGCACAAACTTGCAATAGGTCGAAAATTTGTCGTCATGTGACATGTGGACGTAGCCCTAAGAGCTGGTACCTTTCATTTTTTCTGTTTCAAGTTCCCTCTTGACGCGAATCTGCGGGTGAACAGCAGCTATGGGGGATTGCTTTGGCCAGGCAGCGTTTGTCAAGGTAGGAACACGAACACCTGGAGAGGTGGAGGGTCTGATAACATTCTCCTCGGAGTATTTCGCAGACGCACGGACAGCTTCCAACTCTGATGGTAACGCCGCCTGATCACCTGAGGATAAATCGGGAGTACCATAAACTTTCGCCTATAAGCCCCGCTCCAGTTATAGGTCCATCTACCCGTAAAGAAGAAAATACCTCCGGTTATAAGCCCACCCAGACCCTCGGACAAGCCCCCCTGTTTATAAGCCCTCCTAAAGCCTTTTACAAAGTTGTATAAACCAAGGGCTTATAAGCGGAAGTTTACCGTACTCTGACAGTCGATTTCATGCTCTTTATGCCTTTCCATTTAATGAGGGTAGCACTTCACAGTAGAATACTGACAAACCTATGTCCCTCCCATTTCATTCCGCATACCTTGTTGCAAGACGTGACGCTCTGCTACGTTAGTGCACTGATGCAGATGAGAAGACTGCTGATTATCGTGTGAAACAGGACGCATAGGAGCAATCGCCGCAGTGGGATGAACATTCGGCTGATGTTGAGTGCCTGAAGCTATACCTGTTTGGTACTGGATGTTCACGCTAGGAACAACTGCGTCTGCTTCAGACGCATGAGATAGTGACGGTTGTGGGTGATACTGACAGTCTAGGGACGGCATTAACTGTCTGTTGTTAGAGCCTTGTAGTTGATAATTGAAGGGTATTGATCCTGCGATGTTCTGGATTGATGGATGAGGCACTGGTTGAGTCTCTGGAGCCATGTGATGCAATCTCACGTTGGGGACCTGTCAATTTGTATAATCAGATCAAGCAGAAGTTTTCAGTCGGCTCAAAAACCTACCTATAGTGCAGTTCTTTTGATTTGTTTGTGAACTCGTTTTTTCTTTTTCATTCCAACTGCACAGGGGCTTCGCTCCATGTGAGAAAATCTGAATTCCGGAATCCTGGGAATTGTTGCGCGTGGAATTCGTAAAGCTCAAGGAATCCGGAATCCCGCTAAGGATTGGAATCCGCAATCCAATATTTCAAGTTCCACGGACAGGAAAGCCGATACCCATCCCAGTACCTGGAATCCGGAATCCACAGCACGGAATTCAGAATCCAAGACGGTTGGATTACCTTTAATACATGGATATAGGGGGAAGGAGATTAAGTTGATAAAAAGTCTAAATACGAACTTTGTTTTCAACTGTCCTACAAGGGTTAGCGCCGTCCTGTGTGGCAAGCAGGGACCTTACGAACCGACAACGACGACGTCCATGAAAACGTCATTGAAAAATAGGCTTCCCATCTTTTCACTTTTTTTTCGCGATTATCCCTAAGGGCCCAGTTAATTAAAAGAAGGGACTTTGGGGTTGGAGCTAAAGAGAAGGGACCGCGCCCGAATTCAAACAGAGATGGTAGAATTTATCGCCTTTCCGTTAGGTAAACTTTTAAATTTTGGTCATTTCTTGTCGTTGTTGTGCAGGGACTGCAAAGAAATGTACAAAAAGGCGTGATGCACGTGCAGAGTTGTTGTTTTGCCTTTTTATCCTACTGCTTTTTTTCGGTCCCGTTGCTGTCGCCGTCGTGCCAGGTCCCTAGCGTTCGAGAGAAGGGGAAGGGAATTCACGCAGACTATTCGAGTGCTTCCTAATGGAGTAGGGTAGCTATAGGTTCAACATTGGTGTTTCATCACCTCAGTAGATAGGTTCAACAGTGGTTCATTACCTCAGTACTGTTCCAAGCAAACTGATTTCGAAAAGCTCTGTTCGGCGGGTTTTGAGAAACATACTCTATGATGTCATCTTTCACACACTTAGCAGATTGGTTAAGGATGGCATTTCCCAAAGTGGAGGATCGTTGAAGAAGAAGTCCTTTTTCCGTGGACGCTTGTCTACTGCTGATCTCGTCTAGTTTCTGCAGAACCTTGTCTTCTCTTTCCATGTGTTTCTCGTGTTTTTCGGTTAATTTCTCTTCTCTTGTGAGGCAATCTTTCAGTTGAGATTGAAGTATCTTGATTTGCAAATCTTGCTCTGCGATCCTTTCATTTTGCTGAGTGAGAGAATAAACAGAATTACTAGCAAAAAAACCAGGGCTGTCGACGATAATACTTTACGACCATCCGCAATCGACTGAATCTGTTCGTTCACCAATTTCTTCTAGTTTTTCAGCCTACACCTTCGTCTAATCTGACAGTAAATGTCTCTCAACTTAGATTTTAACTTTGAAAATGGGTGTAGATTTCACAATGGGTTGGGAATTCTAGATCGTCTCATTTAACCTGAATCTATGGTACGGTTGTCAACTCTCAATCAAGCTCACCATTTAGTACACGCAACGACTGGCATTCATGCCGTTACTTTTTCCTTCTTTTATTCGTATATATATTGGTAGCAATTAATTACCATCGATCGTTACCTTGGCTATAATTTCCTTCAGATCTTCGTTTTCCTTAAGATCCTTCCTGAGACATCCAAAGCTCTCCAGCAAGTCATCTTTCACTATGATTAATTCAGTAATCCGCAAGATCATTATCAATTTCCTACTAAGATTATTAGACAGAAAACGAGAATACAGCAGCATGAATAGTTGTAGATTTGCTTACATTTTTTTATAAGATCAGCGGACTGGCTTGCAGCTGTAGCTACTTGCTCTGCCTTGGAGGCCAGTGTAGAATCGATGCTGTCCTTGAAAGAATCCATGGCAGTTTTCACCTGAAATTTTGTTCAATGACAAGTTTTTGGTGTTCAATTCTGGTTTAAGAGAGTCCTTTAAGAGATCACAACGCCCTGGTATGGAAAAAGATCACGCAGCATTGTTTCATGCATAGCAAACAAACGCTTTCTTTTTTAGGTATCTCATTATATTTCTCCTAACTTCAGCCACAATTTAAAAAATCTCCTTGCAGTGTAGAGGGAAAAGTAACATCCAGAAATTCTTGCATTGCCCTCTATATATATCATGTCAGTAAATATCGTTAAAGCTGTGAAACAGAGGTGAATGGTTTCCCTAGAATTTGTTTCTAATTGCCTTGGATACCGAACCTAAGTGCGATCAACAAGGAGCATCTGGCACAACACGTTCATGTCCCCCTTCTCTTGTTCACAGCTCAGCAGACTTGTTGGTTTATAAGGGGTTTATACTCAAACGAAAATTAAATAAGCTTTAATTCTCCCTTTCCGGAACTTACCTCTTTTGTATAGTCTTTAAGCAGTGATATGAAACTGTCAAGAACATCCCTGTAGTGAAATAAAAAGAGAAAACTTTAAAAGAAAAAGAAATAAAGTTTAATGTAGACGTCACAGAAGTAATTTAACCATCAGTTCGCCGGCAAAATTTATGTTTGCTTACCTGTCATCTCTCTCTGCTGTCTGTTTCTTCTGAATTTCTATCATTTCCTTATAACTTTTTACCGTCTGTGGAGGTTTCTGCATCTTCTGGGACTGACGTTCAGATTCAGAAAATAGCGGTGGCTTTGTCATGTACTTCATGTAATACTTCACTGGTTCGTCCTAGATGCAAGGTACTGTTCAGATTATGTCGGAGACATAAACATTTATTGCTTTTCTTAAAAGCCCACATTTTTTTTCAGTTTTTTTCCTACTTAGCATGAGCCTTTCCAAGGGCCTAAAAACACTAGACCTTTAATCGCTCATGTGATCCCTGTACAATAGCCACTAACACCCAGTTCCACTCAACTCGCTCAACCCCAGTAAGGCAGAGCCCCTAAACAAATGATGAAAAGAGAGAGAGAGAGAGACAACTTTTTAATAGCACAATTAATAGCTTTGAGTGAAAGCAAGGCTCAAGAAGCTTTTCTGTACATAAAACCTTTCATGGTTAAGGCTATGTTTTGCCCCTCCCGGTAACTTCATCTACAATTCACTGATTCAACCTCATTTTGACTACTGCAGTGTGGTTTGGGGTAATTGTGGTAAGACCCTTGGTGCCAAATTATAAAAACTACAAAATCGGGCGGCACGAAGCTAGGGTTCTAAGATTCCAGCTCTATGATAGTTTATTTGGAATCTAAATAACTTCTTCATGATCAAACAAGCCAAACAGTACCTCTAATAATTGCTGTGAATTCGACGGTTGCGACCAAACGTCAAAGGAGCTAAGACCCTTTAGCTGGCTCATTCTGGATTGTGAAAACATATCTGAAGAACTGTTTTGTGAGCCTTGAGAACCGGCTATTTGACTCAGCTGTTCGCTGTCCCACAAATCTCGACTGTAAAAAGGTAAAATAGAAACTGAATAGTTAGAAGCCTGTCCTTTTTCATCTATAATTTTGAAACAGCTCTCGTTTCACAATCATTGACTTGCTTTCTCCACCCAGCCAGAAAAAAAGCCCCTTTTCAAGGGTCGAGGAACATGCATCGCAAACCAACGTTTATGCATATGTAGCATGTTTTGCAAGTATATAAGATTAAATTTAAAGCAACAAAAGGATTTTAGTACTCAGCTCGTCTCAATGCTACACACTAACCTCAAAGATGAAAGCTAATTTTGCATTCTTTAATAAATAAAAAAATGCTAACGGAACGACTTTTAATTGGTTGAATTGCAGATCAATCAGTTGAAAGTGCCTTACTTTGGGTTCTATTTATCTCGGTATAAGAACCTGTTTAACAGTTTTTTTTGTCTTGCAACTTTTGTTGCTCTAGATTCTGCTGTGACCTCTTTGTTTTCTTTGGTTCTTATAACACCGACGATGAGCCCTAAGCCCTAACTTTACAGTTTTTTTTAAACTTAAGTTGACATTCGTAGTTTAAGAATACTAGAAAGTGCAGGATATTCCCTGAGATTAATGAACTTTTTAACAAGCTTGCTCTACTTACCAAGGATTTGAATTGTACAGTTCACGGGCAGGAAAAACGTTTTGCATCTTCCCTGGCTTCTTTGGTGATCAGAGTCCTAGCGCCTCTGAAGAAAAGAAATTCCTTGGAAGACTTTGAGTACTGTCAAAATATTCAGTAATAATAATAATAATCTTTATAAGCTGAAATCAAAGGGATTGTAAATAAAACCTTCAAAACCCCCCTAGGAAACAATGAAGATGGCAGCCGCGCCAAGTTTCCCGCCTTTTTTCCACCAGTGTTCAGCACTGTGGGAGGGGAGGGAGAGGAGAGACACTGCTTGTGTAGTGAAAAGGCTAACTTGTATTGTGGCAAGTCTAAGAATGCGCAAATATACTTTTTTCTACCACAAGTTTGTCTTGCAAGGAGTTTTTAGTAAACGGAATGACTGTAAGTCGTATATCGGTATTTCAATATACATTTTTTTCAGAAGCTTATGGGCTCCTTATTTTTTTTAATCGCTTTGACACGCGCGCACGAGTGAAAACTATTTCGTACGGAATTGAAAATATTTAAAAACAAAACAAAATAAAACAAGCAAATCTAACTTTAAAAACATTTTTACATTACCCTCAGGTTCGCGGAATTTTTGGGGGAAGCAGTCAAAATTCAAAATTCTGCAAACATTGATGCTTTTATTAAAATTGACATCTGGCGCGCTGAAGCGAAACGAAATTCAATTGGTTGATTACTCATGGGACTGTCAATTAATCACTAATTAAAGGCGCTGTGTCACGCTGAATGGGTTCCGTGGTAACCGAACACAACAACTTCAGTGTTACATCTAAGCGTAGAGAGATTCTTAAAATTGAGACTTAAAAATTAGAGGTTTAACGCTGTTAAAACATCAGATGGGTCGAATATGACAAATATGGATGATATTCGAGGAACATGGGTAAGTATTGGCCTCAATGGTCGTGTTTTGTTATTTCAAAAGCTTGATTGCCCGACCGCCGACTGAAAATTGTCTAACACATCTCGAATTATCTAGTTTCCTACAGGTTTTCACGGACACTTTCGCAGCAAATCACGTTCAGAGTTTACAATTCCTTATCGGCAAAGAGCGAAGCCTTGTCCGCCAAGAAAATTTCTTAATTACGCGACGGTAAGTGTATTAATGGCGATTTATGTCAGCTGGTATTCACAGCTGTAATGAAGAAGGGTAAACAAAGTTTAAGCGACACCATGATGGAATACCTTCTGATCTGTCATGATCAGCGAGTATTTCGTCTTTGAAATGAAGTTCCCTATCGTTCCCCCACGCGCGCTACGTGTATTTAAACTTTCTTTCAAGAAGACATGTTTTTATGTTCCTGTCACATTGCACAACTATCAAAATATGTTCTGCCTATGGCTGTCACGGCTCATGGTATAGCTCAGCTGTTTAGCTAGACGGGGCTATAGTATAGATTGCTTTTCTAAAACGGAAGCGAAAACTTACTACCAAAAAAAAAACCAAGTTTTGACAGATTTTGAAATTCAATCAATTTGTAAAGAACCGATCACAATATTGAAGTTGTCTTCATCTTGCCCAAGAACGGACGCGATAAATAATTAACGACCATTTGAATGTATCTACACGTTAAAATATTATTGTGACTGGTTGACATCATCAATGATAAGCCACTATCCTAATTAATATAAATTCAGAAGAAAGTAATATTTTTCTCTAGTTTCTCCCCCAGATGGTCCATTGCAACTCCTGGTTAGAATACTAGTGTTAATAAAGGTCTGCTGAAAAGCAGAGCATAGTCGTCCGGGACGTTTTTGATGAATGCTACCCACCAGTTAAGAAAGTCTCTTAAGTCCATTCAAAGATTTTTTATTTACCCACTCCCTGGTCTGTTAGTTACAGAAGCAAGGATTAGTACAGTTGGTTAGTGCACAGCTTTTTGTGCAAGGGGTCCTGATTCTGATTCCCATGCGTGACCTTAAATCCTTGTTTTATTGACTTCATTTCCTTGTAGCATAAAACAGCTGTAAATATACCGGTGCATGTAAAACTGGTGGAAAGAGAGGGGTAAAATGTGCACACTATCAGCTTCAGGTTTCTTAGTAAGGTGATGACGTTTTCAAGATACGTGGTAAATAAAATAAGAATGCTTTACCTCTCTACCTTGGTGATTCTCCTGTGAAGATGACTGTTGGGCTTTTCTGAAATTTTCCCTTCAGGGTACATGTGCCAGTGTATCCTTTTCTGGGGCATATTCCCCTTCACCCCAAAGAAGTACTTCTTATAAAACAGCAAGAAAACAAACACCGACTAATTTTATAGACATAACAAAACCTTCAGCAATATCTCAGTCACTTATGCCAACGTAATTTCAAAGAAAGCAGCTTGCTTAAATTGAGTCAAACCCAGTCTCCTTGAAAAAGGTACTGATACTGATATCCTCCTTCATGAGGATTTCTTCACCAATAAGAATTACAGCATATGAGTAACAGGGGCAGATCTAGGGGGAGGGTGCAGGGGGTGTGCACCCCCCCTGAGATGACCTGTGGTTTTCTAATACAACTGGTATTCTGCAAAAAAAAAAACTATGTGGTTTATTGATGTTGAAGTAGAGCAAGAGACGAGTGCACCCCCTCCTAAAAAAAATCCTGGATCCTCCCCTGAGCAAATTGTCCATGCAATCTTTGAAATTCTACTAGAGATCAGTGAGCAATTTAAGCCTTTAAGTTAACTTAATTAAACATGTTTAAACAGGAGAGGTCTAACAGGCATCTCTTCTCAAGACATGACAACAGACATGCACACAGTGATATGGGAGATCTTGAAACATATTTTGGAATGGTAAGTCACGTGTCATATTTTGTGCCTTAGGTTGACCTCAAAAAGTAAAATGTGAGGTGTTTCTTTGTTCCTTTTGTTTCCATTTCAATAGTAAGTCTGAAAAAACAGCTTTCATTTCGCAACGACACCACTCAGGTTTCCAGGTGAAATAAACTCATAGAAATGGATGCTAGTAAAATGGAGAATGAGCACGGGGACCAGGAAAATGAAAAATGGAACAAAACCTAACTTGAACCCTAGCCCTATCAGTAACTTTATTTCCAGTTCTCTGCTGTTGTTCCCATTTTTCAGTTTCCCATTCCCGGTGCTCATTCCCCACTCCCCGTTCCCTGCTATAGTGATAGTAGCTTGCACCACAGACAGAAATTAACTTCTGGTTAAGTATGTCTAAGAAACAGCACCAAAATCCTTCGGGGTTATACTCTAGCTTTCAGGTCTTCAAATTCCATGACTTTCTATGACTATTTCTGTCATGACCTTTTTAAGTTTTCCATGACCGTCGGTTTAGCTGTCCGTTTCGAAGATTTTCAAATTTTCCTTGTTTTAGCATATTTTTTGAGCTTAAACAGTTCAAAAGACACAAACTCTGGTGTCCACCAAAATACGTCCCGTTCGCGCTGTTTAACTACTTCTCTTGATCTTAAGTTGTCCTTGGCGAGCTTTGTCATCTGTAGTATCTAATCTACCAAACAGAACTTTCATTTTCCATGACTTTCAAGGACCGACAATTAAATTCCATGACTTTCTAGGTTTTCCATGACCTGTACAAACCCTGTCCTCGTTCTGGGCCCACACCTGTCTACCAGGATTTGAGTACGTGCCATGATTGGCTACGTCTTTAATACTAACATCCCTGAGAAACAAGTGAAGAAATTCCATAATGATGACTTGTCACTACCCAGATTTGGGAAGTACTTCGATTCGGTAAAAATTTGCTTCGTTCAGTCAAACTAAGCACTCACTAGATCTGGGTAGTGACGCATCATCAGCGGGGAATTTCTGCGTTCCTTCCTCAGATGTCATTTCGCGGGAGACTGCAGTGGTGGTGTCGCGAGATGACAGGTGTTTTCTCAGGCTAATTCAAAAGTTTACCGTTTTCAATCCCACTATCTAAAATATTGCTTTTCAGGGAATGGGGAAGCGAAAATACCTCCAACCAGGACAAACTCAACATACCAGAAGCACCCAAGACATTATAACTTGGCGAGGTAACGAATGTCCCAATCCATCCACAACTTATCGCTCGGATTTCCCTTCTGGTTCTAGAATGTCGTCGCGTGGCTACAACGAAAGTGAGCCGATTCATGTGAGGTCAAATCTCGAACTTAGACGAAGGCATCTTCGGGCGGCTTCGGCCCCTCCGTCGCAGCGACGAACAGCTCCGTTACTTGCTTGGAATGAGCCAGATGACGCGCTACATGGAAAGCCTGGAGTTGGTCTCAGACAGCCGATTCGGGAACAAGGACCAAGCTACGCCTCAGCGACCCCTTTTGCACATACAGCCCCGGCTGCTCTTCGCTCACAGACTGCACCCAGTTCGAAGAGTTTTACTGTATCAGAAACAATCGTACCTCTTAGCACCACGTGACTATGAATATTAGCTGTGTCCTAAATGAAATGAGACTAAGATTTTAAAATTCGCCACTTGCACATCTCCCATAATGCACCTTATATGCCCCCCAAAATTTTACATAACCTTTGTTTTTCATTTCTCCTGGGTATTATAGTGGTCCCAAGAGAAATTGAAAACAATGCTTATGCAACATTGTGGGGGGCAAATAAGATGCATTATGGGAGATGTGCAAGTGGCGTTTGAGCAATTACAGCAGTGTAATCATAGGGGACCCTCGCTCTTAAAACTACGACCAGATGCTCAGGTAAAAACTCAAGACCTCAGTTAAAAGGGGGGTTTTGTTTTAATCTGTTCTTATCTTGGCCACTTAGAGAGTGTAATTAGAGATATAATTTACCGGTCTCAAGTGGCCTTCATCGGCTGATTACAAATAATAAATCGTTATTGTATTGGGGTTGTTGAAAGTCGAATCGTTTTCACGTACCCGAGGCGTTGGCAGCTTTGACTGGCGCTTAAGGTACATGTAGATCTGAAAGCATGGGCACCCAACGACGGTTTCCTCCTTAATACAAACACTTTTTACTATCCAGAGTACTTACTTACAGATCTCTAGAAATGCATGTGGCGCTATAAAATTTGTATCTGCTCGGTCATCCTAGGGGAACTTGAGTCTTTTCGAAATTGCGAGGGTTTCAGTTTTTTATCCCGAAAAGTTTAGATGCAATTTACCGTTTTACGAAAGTGAGAATTTTTCTCATTCCTCTCTCCATTACATTTTTAAATGCGAAAATATTAGGTTCCCTTTTGGGAAAATATTAGAATATTTAAAAAATATTAGAATATTTAAAATATTAGATACCGTTTTACGAAAGTGAAAATTTTTCTCATTCCTCTCTCCAACACATTTTTAAATGCGAAAATATTGGGTTCCCTTTTGCTACGAAAAATAGCCTAACCTGTGGAGTGAGGTCTGAAAAAGTAGACATAAGAAAAGTGTAGGACATTTATTAGATAAGCTGCGAAACTTGTAAATGAATGGAACGGTTATTTAGAAATTTTTAGCCATCCTCAAGTACTAGAAAATTGTAGACCAAATCCGCTTCTCCGAACAGATATTTTACAGAAAGCAGTCGTTGGGTGCCCTTGTGAAAGGCAGTAGAAAGCCACGATAGAAGCCTCCTATCCAGCGGAAAAAAATGTACATAATGTAAGTAGAATATCTTAGAGATGCAAACAATAAAGAAATGCTATACACATGGTAATTAAGAAGTGTTTCTCTGTCAAAAATGTTTTGACTTTAAATCTCGAATAGATGACCAGAGTCTGCAGAAAACAAAAGCGCATGTTACGTTAGCGCTGCGCGAGAGTGACATGCCCGCGCTAGTAGGAGAGATCTTATCACGCAATAAGCAAAGATAGGGTACGTTAGTCTGACTTTGAAGTAAAACCCTTGATTACCCAGATACTACCGAACCAGTGAGAGGTCCTGCTACATGGCCCGGCTATTATCGCTCTGCTGGGTGCTGCATGGATAAGTTCGAGGCTGACTTACTGATCACAACCAGCTCCTGCCTCAACGCAAGCATATTCAGCTCAAGCTCAGTAACGTGCTAGACGTTAGTGAGTCATGCTGAATAAGTAAGCATTTTGTTCTATCAAGCGCCATATCGGCTTTCTTTAAGGGGCTCGACCCAGAGCTACTCGGATGTGTTTTTACTAGAACAGCGCCACGACCACGTGACTAAAAGAAACGACGGAACCTGTGCACACCAAAACACTGCGTCTGATGAAAACGGAGCTTGCATCAGTGTTGTCGGGGCCTCGATCAGTAGCCTGTTTCAGCAATTGGCGAGGTTCCGCCTTTTTTTGCCTCGGTTCTCTATTTCGCTCCGAACGCTTTACCCACAATTCCTTTCGAAGGAAATCAGCCGTATTCTAGAATCATACAAACGTGACCCCGGCATCTAAATACAAACGCTATAGTTCGATTTAAGATCAGTAGTGGAAGACTTGTTGCTACTGAAAACATTTTCACGCCTTCTGGCTTTTATTTTGAGGAGAGAAACCATACGTAAATGGAATCACAACAAACGTGAAAACCATGCCATTTCCGGGTTTGACAGTCCGCGTGCATAGCCAAGGGAAGCAAATTCGCGGTAGAAAGGAGTGCTTTGGTTTGTCGGGAGACATTTTTTCCATTCTGATATTGGATAATGGAAACTGGAAATGCCCAACAAAAATTAACCGAGAAAGCATCAACAGAAGAGTATCACATAATTGCTAACGTGCGGAGAAACACGACAAGCAGTAGTCGAGATGCGGCGTTTTCGCAAAGCTACGGTGAAGTGGGAACACTGCGAGATGAACTCGAACACGAATATTTGAATATTGTGAATAGCGCAACAAATGACGATAGAAATTCAAACAATGATGTAGCGGATGATAATAAACATGAGCAATCTGATGACGAACTCGACTTCATATTGCCCTCTCCTCCGACAGAGTCTCCAGAACCAAGTAAAGATTCTAACCCGACGAACAACGGACTCGACCAATTCAAGTGTCCTGATCAGGCAAAATCTACCCACGATAAACTAGATGGTCGACTGCCTCACCCACCATCAACTTCGAATTCTGGAAATGATAATCAAGAACAAACTGATGTCTTGGAAAGGCCGAGAATTCGAAATGAATTGTCTAAGGATCAGCTTCGAGCGAATACTTTCAAACAACCAGCCGGATCACTGGGTCCGTGTTACGGACCTTTACCGGACGATCAAACTAATCGCACTACTGAAAATATTAATACAGCCTCATCGAGCCTGTCTGAGAGAGATAGTTATATGTGGAGTTTAGGGAGCACAGGCCTTCCTTCAATGCTGGCTCTTAATGACGGAGGAGAAAGACTTCTCTGGCCAGCGGAGGTATGTTTCCTAATTTAAAACAATCTTAGTTCATTTGATTATTCTGAAAAATGTTTGAAATTCAAATTGATACCTTAATTCACGTTCATTTTGCCTTTTTTCAATATATGTACAGCAATCTCTGATGCTTATAAATATGGCTGTGCCTCGTTTGCGTCATGAAAGTTCCACTGTTATATAGCCAAATATGCCCATCTAATGTTTAAAAAACGAAAGCAGATCCTGAGTCAAAAATCTAATTAATTAGTTAAATAATTATAGCATAATTATTATCGAAATGGTATATGCCGTATAATTTTGTTGTTTCCGTTCATATTTTATATAATTTGTTGGAGTTATAAAAACCTTTATTGTAATTAGACCAAGGCCTCCCTTTGGAGAGTAAGGCGCAATAAAGATATACTATACTATACTGAATGGTTGCAGTCGAGTCAAACGTCAAGGTTGAATGATTTTAAAAATAACGATTATTGTTTTGTTTTGTTTTGTTTTGTTTTTTTAATACAGTCCGCGCGAGTTCGTCGAGAAAGTTGGGACGAGAGCAAAAAAAAAAGAAAGGCTCTACCTTTCGCGCAATAATAACTAGATTGGAAACGCTTGCTAAGCAGGCTACCGCTAGTTTCCACAACGTAGAGTTCGAACTCAGAACGAGTCCGTTTATTATGGGATTATCGACCCAAGAGCCGAGAAAGAGGGATCACATCAACCTTTCCAAAATCCTCAAGCTTGGTTTTTTATAAGGTCAATATTAAATCAGACGATATACAGGCTTACGCGCAGGAGAGAAATATGCGTTTTTTTAAAATAAATCTTCGGTTACCAGAATGAATAACTGCCTCTTGGGTGTGTCAAGCCGAGATATCTGCAAAATGCTATAAGCTGCGTGCGGTTTCAAGCATGCCAAAAACATCATGTTCCAGAAACTGGAAAAACATATATGAATTCACATAAACTGAACTTAATTTTGTTATTATTATTTTTGGATTTTTCGGTTGCATATACAGAAGGAATTCCCTGATCATAATGGATTCGAAGAAAATAGAGATTACGTATTGAGAGCGTCTATAGGAAAGGGTGCTTTCGGAGAATGCTTCGTGGCTTCCGAACTTCCTTATGATAAGGAGAGAGAGTTCTGCGTCAAAAAGGTAACGTTTCGTTTGTTTCGCATTTTGCCCTTGTTGTGTAGTACATATCACAGACTGAACATTGCTTAGTGAATGCTGTAATTTGAGATTTATCAATCATGCGTATTTACAGGCTGTGGATTGAGACCTCTGAATTAAAACTAGGAATGAATTTGCATTGACCTGAGTTGACTCCACTTCGACGTTGTTTTTTTTCGGATAACTGTATGGAGCAGTAGCGAAAGGGAAGGGAGGCAGGAAAGTATTTGTTTTAAGTCCAGAGGAGTACCGAGTAACGCCCAAAAAATGCCGTAGTCGACTTAGCGGACATGGTGATCGGCGTCATATATACATTACCCATTCCCCGGTGTTATGGCAGTAATGTAAACTAGGAAGATCGACTAGGGCCTCGCCGCTCGCAGGATACTAGCTAGAGGGAGGGTTTTGAGTTAGCTAAGTTGAGGAAATGTGATATCTAAACGTTACAATCTGAAAGTCAGTGGCGTTATTTCCTTCTCCCTCCAATATAAATCTGACTGTTATATGTAACTGAACTATAGTCCACAGTAGGTTAAAAAAGTATTACAATACTTGCCTAACTTACAGTTTATTGGTTTTATATTTCTGTTGTTCTTTGTCTTAAAAAAAGTGCCAGCTGAAGGATATAAATGAGCTACTGGTTTTAACACTGGCAAGAAAGGAAGGTGTTGCAGAAATTGTGCAGTTTTATGGTGCGAAGTTAACAGGCAAAAGTGCTTCTATTTTTATGGAGTTAATGGAAGGTGAGAGACTTTTAAAAATTGTTCCAAAGTTGAAATTGTCATTAGTCTCTGTATAAAAGGAGAAAGTCTCCCTTTTTATCAGTTCTTAGAAGGATAAGAAGTATTCCGAAGTTTAAACTACGATTAGTTAACATTAATTGACTATAATATATAATAGCTGAAAAAATTGCTCGCATAGCCAGTAACTGTTCAGGTTCAAAACGAACCTATTTCTGAAGAGGTTTTCCTTGTTTCTGGCATAGTTTTTCACGTTCTCTTTTACTTGATTTTTCCGGATTTTAAATTTTCCTAACATGAAATCCTTTTTCAGGTGGAACCATAGCCGAGCTTGTCGAAGAAAAAAAGGGGGAAAACGCCAAAGCTGTTGGTGTTGTTTCTTCGCCAGTAATTTCAGAGATAAACTGTCTTTGGTACTTAGGAGATGTCCTGAGAGCGTTAGATTTCTTACACAAGAAAGGGATTGTTCATAGGGATGTCAAAGGTAACAATCAATTATAATTAAGGACAGTTTAAGGCTCGTGCGCTTATGACCTGACTCCATGCATGGAGACTGTGTAAATAGAAGCTGAGTTCTTTGTTTGGTGGACTGCTTCTATTTCACAGAACAGATCCGTAGCCGGTTGTTAGGTCATTTGAAACCCTTTGGAAAGTTGACTGACTAACGCTTCTATACTTTGGGGGTAAAATTTGAATCACCCTATTAAAATGAAAGGACAAGCCGCACGCGCACGTAATTTAATTCCATCGTGTTTGTTTTGTTTTTGTTTGTTGTTTTTTGTGTGTTACAATGTAGAACTTTTGAAATTACCCGTTTATGGCTGATCCCACTAAATCTGTCTCACTATATTTAAAGAGAAATATATAGATTTAGCCAAGGCCAAATGCGAAGTTTTCTTGGGATCTTAGTTCAGCAGGGTTCAACTTTTGCCGTAAGCAAGAATCAAACTGAATTCCTCCTGAAAAATTGGATCTACGAGCCTCTGATCAATTAAACCGATAACTGGTTAGCGGATAACTTTAAAAAGACGTCACCTCAATCAGTTGTACATTTAAGCGCGCGATACAGTCATGTGACACTGATCAGCGGATACCCTTTTTTGACCGCTGTCATTTGACCATAAGTTGGATGTTCGCTATGAGGGTGCGGACGTTGGGTACGGACGGGCGATTTTTGTCCAAATTTTCTTGGATGCATAAATAACCAAAAGACCTCTCATTACATAACCGAAAAAGTTGGCAAAGCTTTGTGGAAGGTATCGCTTAGCATTATTCTGACCTGTTCTTGTGATTGTTTAATCTAGGGTCAAATGTACTGTTACCCGAAGACCGCCGCAGTGCCAGACTAGCAGACTTCGGATCAGCTGGAAATCGCAAAGTACGTAAAAAAAGTCGTTCGTGAAATAGCCAAACATCACTCCATGTAAGAGGATCCAACATAGTCCTGGATTCTGGATTCCAGGCTGTGGATTCCGGATTCCAGGTACTGGATTTCAGTCTTTGTCAGTGGAACTTAGATTCCGGATTCCAATCGTTAGTGGGATTCCGGGTTCCTTGCGCTGTATCCCGTATTCCGCAAGAAAAAATTCCTCGGATTCCGGGTTCCACAAGTAAACAGTTTCCAGGAAAAAACAGTTTTACTGGGACGACAAATATGAAACAAGGCAATAAGTGAATACGTGGTTCATCATACAGCGTGAAGCAACGGATCTCATTTATAACCGGCTTTTGACGACGTTTTTAGAACGCTTAACTACCACTATCTCACTTAAAATACCATTGAGTGGTTACAATTATATATTTGCAAGAGAAACACTCGTTTGTGGTCTGTCCTTTTCAATTTGATTGTATTAGTTGAATAAACAATTACCAAATTATTTTTTACCTTTTCTCCCCTTTTGCCCTTAGGATATAGGTACCTTTATTGACATTTGGAAGATTGGCTGCTTTTTCCTAGAAATGTGGAGCGGAGAAAGACCTTCCAGGTTATTGGCTCTTACTGTAAGTGGTAATAGCCTTCTTTAACTGATTCATACTTCCCTGTTCTGCTTACAAGGTTAGCTACTACCAAGAGAATTTTAAAGGAGCTCCGCCAGCTTCAAGATTTTGGGCCAACCGGTATATATGCGCTATTGCGCATGACTAAACTTGAGGCAGCTCATTGTACATGTGCATGTGAGGCCAAGATAGTGCGGTTGGATATCGGCAAAGGTCTAGGTTTTTAAACAAATTGAAAAAAACAACAACAACAACGGAGTCAGCCATTCAAGTTTTTCTCGAGAAAAAAAAAGCAAAGTATAAATCAGACAAATAAAAACCTTTCATACACCGGGAATCTTCCACTTCGCTAGTAGAAAGGTATATACTAGCTAACAGGTTGCTCCAATGGCTAACCCTTTAAATAATGTTTCTTGTTCATAACCTTCAAAAAGACGTTAGAATTTGACGTTTTCTGTGCTGAGGAATAAGGAGGAAGTCTTGAATGTTAATTGCTGATTGACATGTGTTGTATGTTTATACATGTTAAAAAATTGTATAGAGAAATTAAGAGTGAGTTGTTGTTATTTTTTAGGAAGAAGGCAGTGTTCACCCTCAAAGGCAGACTTCATGTAGGCCTGAAGATCACATCCCCTTGTCAGCATCAAACGAAACTAAGGAGTTGTTACGTTTATGCTTCGGAGTAAATAATGAAGAACATGGCAACCTGCCCAGCGCTACTGAACTTTTGAAAAAGCTGGAATCTTTCCCAGCGATACTTTCTAGAACAGTCTAGTGGACGTTACACTCCTCTTTCGGATTCCCTGTTCAGGCCACTGAATATATACTGCAACGTTCTTAAAACAGTTATTTCATGCGAAGTACGAAGTATGTTTTCCCTTGGACACGGGCTATCTGAACCGCGGCTTATAAAAATATTTGTACTTGCTTTTCTGGAAGGAGTAATGCAAAGAATTAATTATGACATGTCCCCCAAAATAAGGATTTTATTTCATTTCTTATAAAGGTGTCGAACGCCTTCTTACGCTCGAGATTAACCACTTATAATTACTATGGCAAAATTTTCAATTTGAATTTTTCAATCTTCTCTCTTTGCATTGGAAATCAGTTTTCCTTGGCAGAGGGCTACACCTAGAGAAACTGCGAGTATACAACTGCCCGTTGCCGGTTTGATATACACGCGAATGTACAGCCTCACAATGACGTTGGCAGGTAAACATCAATCTATTGTCACGTTTGAAATAAAAGAAAGAAAACAAGCGAAAAAAAAAGGTAAATAATAAAATGAGATAGAGGAACGCAAAAGCTAGCTAATCTAAGCTAGAAAGTCTCTTTTAAGCTGCTTTATTATAATCTTAGGCAATGCCCCATGCTAGTCAGTCATTTGTGAGGTCGGCATAATAAAACAATGCAAGCCCCTTATCGCTTCATAAGAATTTATGTTCAGGGATGATCCAAAACGGCCTAAGAACTACCATCTGTTGAGTTTCTACCCGAACTAGCGTCATCAGCCGACGTATTGTATGAACGAGTTCAGTTTCTGTACTTTAGTTTGAAGGTCTAGTTTACTTTAGAAGTTCTAATGAATTTACACAGCACAAAAATGTCAAACTAAAGACATTTGACATGGTACGTTGTTAAGTATTTTATCCCTTTGACATTTTCTAAATAGTATTACGTAAACATCGTTTACATTTATAACGTTCACATCTGTACGGATAACTGCATGTGCAATTCACTCTGCCTGAATATTCCCCAGTTTCGCAATGGAGCCGTTCCCGTTGGTTTTAGTTGTTGTGGCGGGGTTCGCTTTCGTTGCAAGCGAATTTCAGTCAAAGCCAACCCTTGCCTTTCAAGATTCGTTAATAGAGGAGACATCTGATGACTCGAACGCGAGACACGGGTACCATTGTTACACGGTAAGCTTCAAAAGAACCGGTAAACCGTATTACACTCTTGCAGTGCCCTAGTTCCTGTCTCACCGGGCATCACTGACTTAAATCAGTAGGAGTATACAGCTCTCCTGTGTTGGTGGTTAAATTACATGTTCTTTACCTAATTCTGAATCTAAATCACATCAAACGGATCTAGGGTTACATTCGATTATCCTACTGATACAAAGTGGACAATCGAAAGAGCGTTTTTCGATCACGATCAGCTTTGCAGAATTCAATGTGTCTACTTTGTATATTATTGCTGATCGGGTTTTTTTTACAGATCCTACGTTCTGTGGCTTATTCGTTTGCGGTCCAACTCTGTTTAAATGTCAATTTATTACTTATTTTGGGGCTGTAGGTCTTTTATAGATCCGATATGCTGTTCATTTTTGCATGGTTTTGCCCATGGAGACACGTGATGTGGCGTGGTTCTGTTAGTGTTGGAGTTAAATGTCAGGGCTCTAAAACAGAGTGAGCGGGTAATTTTTAGCAGAGCTTCTCTGTTTGTTGCGCCGTAGCGTACCTGATGAGCCACAAGAATGGCGAAACAGCTGTCTACGCGGCTACGACCCCGCTCTGTTTTGTGTTCTTTCAGTGTCGTGTTGATGTCTTGCAAAGTTGATTTTCATGTAGTACGATCAGCTACATGAAAAAAGAAGGGATTTTTTGAAGGGGATGATCAAATTGAGGGATTTTCTAAGTGTTATTACGGTCAATCCGAAAGCGACCACTCCTAGGGCTTTCAAAAATCTGTCTTTAGTTTTTGTTTTTGTTTTGTTTTGTTTTGTTTTTTTTCACACAGTAACCTTCCAATCCTTAATGCAAAATCGTGGAATAATACTGTAAATGTTCTTTTCGCAAAAGATGTATAAAGGACGGACCTTTTTGGCTTCTTTCATTAGTAGGTTACAACTAGAAAACGAATGAGTTATCAGGCGAATAAAAGATCGACTTCAACTTCATTCAAAAGATAACGTATGGATAGGCCAACTCTGCAAAGTGTGCTTAGCCTCTTACTACACACAAAAAGACACTGAAAAAACCTTTTAGTAGTTCGCATGGGAAAATCTGTCATCCAAAGAGCTGCGAATAAATGCCAAATAAAAGAAAAACTAACAATGATTTTGTTGATCAAGGGAACCACAAAACTCTGTATTTACTTTTGGTGAAAATATTACAAAACTAGGTAAATATTTACAATAAACCTATGATTGAAACTCTTGCTACATGTTTGTGTAAACAGATGTTATTTTGCTACTTGACAAATGAAAGTTTAAGACATCAGAGACGCCAAGAAAAAGATAATTTTTTGTATACTGCAGACCCAGGGGCCCCACTCACATATTTTAATGACGGGGGGGTCCGACAGAGGTTCATATTTTATATCCAAAAAAATCCCAACTTCAGAATTTGTCTACCCAAAAAAATCCCTACTTTTTTTAGCATATCCAAAAAAATCCCTCAGTGTTTTTGCATCAGCAAATTTTATTATTTATCTTCTGGAAAGCTAAAACATGCCAACTTCAACTTTGGTTTTGGTCAAAAACAAAACTATAAATTGCGCTTATGCTATTGTTGATTTGAACTTATACTGCAGACTTCTTAGTTGGTTGTCAAAAATCAGGAGAAAAGTTGAGAATACAGTGAAAACACAAGCACAATTTTAAAACGACGACATTGAAATTTGCCTTTGTCTTATTAATTCTGGATCTGTATCATCTATATAATTTTGCAAAGCCAGTTGAATAAATAAATAAATAAGTTTGGCTCGGCCTTAATTCGAATTAGGTTCGGCTCATGAAAAGTTCGGCGTCTGAACCGGGCCTTAGCGACTTTTCCTAAAAATTATCTGAGAACATTTTAAAGTCGTCGTGACGTGTGCGTCAACATTGACGTTACCATGGCAACCGAGTTTTGGCAACCACGTTTCTCAAAATTTGCATTTTTCTCACTAAAATAGGTTTTAATTCCATTTTTACGAATGGAATTATTGTAATACTTATATGAAATTAAATTAAACTAAATTAGCGCTATTTTATCAAAGTTATTGACACTGTCGATGAAATCCAGGCTTTTTGGTGACTAGCTTAAGAAATGAGTTAATATCACCAAATAGCAGACGCGTTTTTAATTTTTAACAGTGTTCATTTCTCCCGTAACTGCATATTTCTCAGATTTTTTTGCCTTGTAAGCATTCTCTTATTCTCAGATCAAGTTTTCTTTTAAAGATGGCGGATGCTTCCAGTTCCTTTTTAGTAATAAAATGACGTCATGATGACATTACTTCAGATATTGTTAAAAGTTATTTATTGTTAGCCAGCTTCTTGATTTTATCAAACAGGCCTTACCCGTTAAGTATATTTTTGCTTAAGTGTACTTGGATTCTGTCGCTGTGGCAGGAGGCAAAAGAGCCGGGTCTGAATAGGGTTAAACCTACTTCAGAACTTATTTAAATGTTACTTTGCTCTTGAAACATACAGAGACGATGCTACTACAACAGCCACTGTCAAACAGGCCAATTCTGTTACTACGGGCGGTGCTGCCAGTATAGTTACCCATCTGGTTACTGCAGATCGCAGAGCGGCTGTAAATCATATCAGTGCTGTTCAAAACAAAACTCGCAGCAGGCTTACGGCATCTGCAGGAATCTCAAGAAACCGGGAGAGTTTTGCCCTTTAAAGGTATTGTTAGTCGATAATAACATTCAGGAATTCATTTATTTTTTCCCAATATGACTTTGGTACAAACTAGAGGCGGATCATTATATCACTTCCAGACTGTTCAAACTCAGATACCGGATAGTTTTTCTTGCCGACACGAAAAGCTACCCGGTATAATATGAACAGCAATCGCACATTAAACTGGAACAAGTTGTCCACACACGTATCGAACATCGCCGGCCGGAGCTATGGATCGAAAGAGTTTGATGAACTAAATCCCAGTCCTCACTCCTAAATATTTACCTAGCCCTCTCCTGAGCCAACATGAACACTTACTTCTCATTTAGTGCAAAATGTTGGCTTAGGGGAGGGGTAGGTTAGTCTGCCACACAGCTGTTTTTAGTGTGGTCACGCAACGCTCAGTGGGGAGGAGCGTTGTGTGACGACACTAAAAACGGCTGTGTAAGCAGACTAGGGGTAGGTGGGCAGTTTTCCAGAAACGTATGGATTGCATTCCTTACGCCTATTTGTTCACTTCTGGTACTAACGGTCCGATTACCTGTTTACACTGTACCAAAGTGTGACACAGAACCTAGGCAATACGTGACGCTCCACTTTTCCAATCGGCGCGGCGCGGCCTCGCTACGTTACAGAAATCGTGCATGCGAAATCACCGTTCTTATGACTTTGTAAAAGGAAGTCCTATACGGTTTTTGTGCCGGCACAAAAGCTACTCAGTATATACGGTGTGAACATAGCGTCAGATAAATTCACCCGGACAATGCTCTTTTCTTATTTTGGGCTTTTCAAGGGGCGCATGAATTCGAATTCGCTGCTTCCACAGTCGAGTTGAGAACTTTAGGCAGTCTCAAAACTTTTATGGCACGGTTAAAAACTCATTATTTTAAATTAGCTTTTAGCTTATAACCTATAATATTTTAACATAGATTTTTTTGCACGCATATATAATATTTTTTTATCTAGTATCCATTTATTAACTATTTAGAAAAGCTGTAATTTTTTTTATCCATTTCATTGTAGTATTATAAGCATTGTAATGTAAAGCGCATTAGATCATATACCCATGTATTTTGCGCTATATAAATAATAAAGTTATGTGATGTTAATAGTAATATTTATCAACTTACCGTTAATCCTCTATTAAGCACCCCTCTCAGCCCCCTCTCTCCAGTGGGCCACCCGTTTTCAGGGGAAGAAAATAAATACTAAGCCACCCTCTCTTTTAAGCCCCTTCCCCTCCCCCTTATTATTCTTCAATAATAAATGATAGACTGTATTACTGATCAATCACGACTGTAAAACTTCATGTGGACTGATCCGGGATGGTTTATTCACCAGCTACAAGTTCGGATTTGAGTTTAATCCTCGGCTGCATGACCTCCAACTTCTCGTACTTGAGCTTTTCCACTGTCTACTTTGGTTGTTTTTGGGGAATTGAAACCATCGTCTCTGCTAAAACAAATAAGCCCGCTCTCACATAAGCCACCGTCTCTATTAAGCAGCCTCCCCCCCCCTCCCGCCCCCATCTCAGGTCCCAAGCCTCCCAGGGGGCTTATTAGAGGACTTACGGTATATTGCTCACATATACATAATAGGGCCATTTATACGAGGAAAAATAAGACGCATCTTAAATAAGACGCGAACTTTCCGTATAAACGGCACATTTCGTCTAAAATAAGACGCGGCTTAGCTAAAACGCGTCTTATTAGATAAGACATGCTCGTATAAATGGTACAGTTCGCGTCTTATTTAAGACGCGACTTATGTAAGACGCGTCTTATTTTTCCTCGTATAAATGGCCCTAATGTATAACCCTCTAACCTATTGATTATCCGTTATATTGTTCTTTAGCCTGACGGATATCACTGTGGTTGTACAAGTGGCTACCAATGCCAACGATACTGGGGAAACTATTACTGGGGAAAGTGTGTAAAGCCAGCGTGCTCCAGCGATTCAAACTGTTACAAAACTCACTGCTGTTCCGGTGGCCAGTGTAAACTGAAAAAGAGGGCTGGCCAATTCTGTCCTGTCAATGGGGTAAAAATGTTCCTATGCGTGTACTAACTATTTTGTTTTGCTTTTTTGTTTGTAAGAACTTCCAAATAAGTTCGAAAAGACCGAGAAACAACGCATGAACAAATCAGTAACCTACTGATTATGTTAGCTTGCGTTGCGGGCCGTTTTTTTGGTGTGTTTTTGGGGATTCGTTCGTGGCCGCCAAGGTTAAACGAGAAAACGAGGGGGAAGAGAAAAGGGAGAGAGGCAAAGAAGAAACTCATTTCACGGCCTTATCTTTTACTTTACGAATTGCGGTTGACGAGAAAAACCGCCTGTTACGCAAGCTATGATTACAGTCAACTCTGGGGCTGGCACTGAGTGACTTCTTAGAGAGATGTCCGTCTTAAAGAGTCAAATAAAAGGAGTAAAGAAAGGCAGGGACCAACTCTAGGTGTCCGTTTTACAGAGGTGTCCGTCTTATAGAGGTGTCCGTTAAGAGAGAGTCGACCGTATTTAAGAACATCACCCAGACGTATTAAAATTTGTCAATTTATTTGTTTTTAAAATTGTCTTATACTATGTACTGGCGAAAATGTCTTTGAAACGTTTCTCTTATTATAAATGGTCAGGCCAATGTTACTGCCACTCAGGTAACTTCTGGACTTTCTAAAACCGTTCAATGACATTAAATTTCCAATGAATTTATTTGTTTATTTTTCTACAGGCCGATAAGTATCATTGTGGTTGTGCAAGTGGTTTTGAATGCAGGAGATACCGGGGAAACCGTTATTGGGGAAAATGTGCATGTTCTGGTGATTCAAGCTGTGCCAAAACACATTGTTGCTCGGGTGGCTTGTGTAAGCCGCGGAAGAAGGCTGGAGAATATTGTCCTCTTAAAGGGGTAAAAACTTATAGTTTATCGAAATACTTTTGTTTTGATCAAAACAGAACTCATTGAAAAAATAAGCCATTTGCACTGATGACGTCAACTTTAGTACTACGACCATAAATGCTCTTCTTCGTTTTTTCTTTTGATATTTTAGTTTGGTAATCGCGGTAAGATTATAAACAAAAACTTAAATTTGCAAAAGAAAGCAAAAAAAAAAAATGAAGGATTCTGATCGTAGTAACATGACGTCACCGTGTAAATGGACGCTGTAAGATTGATTCCCGAAAAGATATGGACCCGATAAACACTGGAAAGCGCTATCCACCGAATAAATCACCATTCAGCGGACAAGTATTACGGGAAACAACTGCGTTGTCTACTGGACGTTTGAACAACGAGGGGTTCATAGAAAGTCTTTATGCGCGGAAAGAGGAGACTGTATTTTTTTAATCATTATTATTGCTTTTGCAAGTTTAGGACCAATACAACTAACTAGAGAAATAACTGAAAAACCTTTTTGCTGGATTTCTACTGGATCACAGATAAAAAATTGTGTATGTTAATTCTTTTCGCAGGCTGATATCTATCACTGTGGTTGTATTCAGGGATACCAGTGCACCGCAGCTAATGTTGGCAACTATTGGGGGAAATGTACAAAGGTTGTACCTCCGACCGAGGAACCTGGGTCGGGACTTGGTGAAATAGAATAACCGCATGATTGAGCCAGCGATACACGAACAAATAAAATTCGTGATACATCATGTGTATTCATTGACACTTAGAGATGGGGGATTCAAATAAAACGAATTAATTAGGGATGATCATGTCGATCTTATTTTGATGCTTTGCTTTTGATTCAACCAGTGTGAACTGTGTTGTTGGGTCCCAGTATTTCTGGGTGATTTTGAAAGTGACGTCACCCGTCAAACTTGCTTGCGACGCCTAGCATAAAATGAACGGTCCAACTGACCCCCCCCCGGGAGAAGAGGTACTCCCTTATAGAAGCCATATAGGTATGTGCCGCCCCAAAGGGTTTGGTTTTTGCACCGTTATAGGGAACCACGGAGGTGTATTAACGTATTTGCCGTTTCAATTCCAGATGAATAAGAAAGAAACGGTAATTTGCGAATTCGAAATGGATTTTAAGAAATCTGTTTGTTGGCGTTCCCTAAGGATTCAAATCTAGAAAAATTCGCCATTATTTGTCGAATTGAACTAGATGGAATAAACGCGAGAAAGTTTGTAGCAGCACGAATTCTCTTTTTAAGTGATGCTCATGTAGCCGTCGCCATTGTTGTTGCTTAAGCTCCCTATGCTGTCCAAAGAACGTTGGGTATTTATACCCCTCAAGCCTTGGAAATTAAAGCAGCACTAGCCGAGGATCTCATGATATTCTCAAGGAAAGAGAACCGCTTGAGGGAGTCCTTTTCAATCAGAGCTTATTATAAAATAACACTCGGGATCGGACGACGTCAGTGTACGAGTAGAATTGGCTCATGTCAGACGAAATATTATGCAAACTGTGCTAGTTCATCGTTAGCGAGCAAAGTTATTAACGTTTGGCTGTCAGTTTGAATCAATTTAAATCTCCTTAACACCCTTGAGCCTTACTTAAGCGTGCTGTGTGAATTGCGGTATAACCAACGAAATAACATTAACAGGTTTCTTCTTGCTGGATCAGTCTAAAATTAAAGTAAATCAGCCATTTGCCGTATTGCCAGCCTTGCATTCAGTTTTAAAATTACATTGGTTGCAGTGAATATGTGGCAATAATCAGTCTAATAAGAATATATACCTCGCCTACCACACAAGAGTTTCATTCTTACAGACTGTCAAAGATTTCTTTTCAATTTCAGTATGTAATAAGCATTCCATAGTTATGGAATTTTTAAAACTTTTGCTTTCTAGAAATAATTCCGAAAAATATAGTAAGATTACTTTAACTTGAAGAAAAATAGTTGCACCTATAGTCCTCTTTGAGAACGAACAAACCCGCTAAGCACAGTTGAAAAGCTGTTAAAACATTTATCGCATTCATGTTCTAAAGATTTCTTTACTCAGCTTTGGTTACTAAAACCATGCAAGCACTAAATGAAACGCTTTTGTTGATGAAAAGTACCGCTTTCAAAGCCTTGAGCATCAAGGCAAACGTCAGCGTAACTCCACAAGAGACAAAATTTGCCAACCAGAGACACCTATCTACAAAGATGTTAAAAACTTAGAGATATCGTAAGTTTACATTGCGCGATTGATACACGACACGTGTGACAGCAAATAATCGACAAAGAGTATAAGTTGAAAGCTATGTCAGTCTTTATTCAGCACGAAAAGACTTGCTGCGATAGAGCTATAACGTTTGCCATAAGGATGCAGTTTTTTGTAGCTACTTTAGCGCTTATCACTTTAGCAGTTGCTGTTCGGGGGGAGCAAGGAGAGAGTGACGGTCAGGCCCAAAGAGACTATGTAAGTATTCCGACTTAGTTTGAGAAATAAAAGGCCTGATGAAATTTTTACTGGTTTCTATTATGAATTACTATTTACTTGATTATATTTTAAAGGAGTTGAGACTCCCAAATCTAAATCAAAGATACTTGATTCTATAAACTAATCTAATTATATCAACGATATATTAAACCCTTTCTCAAGTTTTTTTTAAAGTCGTTGGTATTGTTCCGTGTACAAATCTTTCTCAAATCTACACATTCAAGTATCAACTGTTCTGTTTGCAGTTTTCATGGTACTATGGAACAGTAATTTTCGTTTAAGATTTTAAAACATTTTGTGTTCATTTTCCGACTCTCTTCAAAAATGGATACTGTACTCTCTAATAAGAGGTACATCTAGCGTTGTATTGCCGCTTAAAAGCCATTTTCATAAGGTACGACTCTCTTAAGGCTGCCCACCAATTTTTCGTCCCGTGAAATTTGCCGTTTCTAAGTAGAGTTGACTAATATTTATTATTTTGTCAAGAAAATTTTCTTTCAGAGCAAAAACACTTTGACTGAGATATTTCGACGTTGTCAGAATCAGTGAATCTTCATCAGTCGAATGCTTGGTTCAACTATCGGTCACGTGACGATTGCAAATCACGTGACCATTTTAACCTCCGATAAATAAGTCCAGGCTCCCATCCCTGAAAACAAACACTTTCTTGAAAAACATTATTATTCGAAAAAATTCACTGATAGGTCACGTGACCACCATAAATCAAGTGACCAGTCACACGGTGGGTTCATGCTCCCAACCCTTAAGAACGAACATAAACGTTATGCTTCCGGAGCAAAAAAAATCGATAGAATTTTAACATCTTTTGATTTTTTAGTTTCAATGCGGTGGTCATTACTGCACAGATGGATTCTATTGTCTGCACGGAAACTGCTACCCAAAGAGACGCTGTAGCACACACGGCCACTGTCCAAAGGATCAGTATTGTGACAAGTATCAACAAGTCTGTAGGAAGGGTGTCCGAAGGTGTTCATACCATAACCAGTGTGGATATAGACAAATTTGCAAGGGTGGGAAGTGTAAGCAGCTAGAGTGTCTCGGGCACAGAGACTGTCCTGACAGTGATGCCTGTCACTACCCCCCAGGGATCTGTCTGGCGTACACAGCTTACTGTCATGAGGGATACAACTACTGCAAGAGAGGATATGTTTGTGTCAACAGTACGTAAAATTTTGTCTCCAGCTTTATTAGGCTATTAGTATAGGTAATAGCATGATTAGTAGTGATATTTGGCATAAATACCACGAGTGATATTTCAAAATTGTTATACGTAATTTCACGAGCCGTTAGGCGAGTGAAATTTGAGACAATTTTGAAATATCACCAGTGGTATTTATGCCAAATATCACGTACCCGCAAAAGGTTGTAATTTTCACATGTAGGTATTACATTAAGCTGAAATACCACTACTCTAAGCCAATCAAATTGCAGAAATTTCTCATGTAGTAGTATAAATGTATCTAATAGTGCATGATGCGGTATCGACATACTTTATTATTCGCTGCTTTAGAAACGAGAAGAGCCGACAGGTACCAGAATGCGTCCCGCAGTTGTTACTGGGGATACACCGGTCAGCTATCGGCCAATTTTTTTTTCTGTCTCTAGTGAAAGTGATAAAGAAATTAACTGCAAAAACCGTGGACGAGGATCCTACTGGTTGTCAACGTTGGATCTCTAGAAAAGAGATCTAATCAGCTAAAATATTAAGAACCAAAACACGAGAATTTCAAAGACTACTGCAAAGCTGATCACAACAACGTGTATTGCTTTCTCATGACAATATTGCGGCTGGCCATACCAGCCTTCTTCAGGTTTACAGATGTTGTTATAACAAAGGAATACACGTTGTTATGATCAGCTTTGCAGAAGTACTAAAACAGTCCCACAAATCTTTTCGCAAGTAAACTAGACCCAGTCTCTCTAGCTTCAAATTGAGGCGGTGAATCGTACAAACAGCATCTGACCTAATTCGTAGCTGAAACAGATATTTTGGCCTATATACAGTGTAGTTTACCGCGCCAAAGACAAAAGAGTTAATTGCCTACAATGTTACGTTGATCTCGTAGGAAAATGCGTAAAGATGGAATGCGTTAGTGATTTTGGGTGCAAGATTGGCGATCATTGCGTCGGTTGGTTTTGCAAACCACAGAAAGACTTCTGTAAGACTGATGGCGACTGTTCCAAGGATCAATGCTGTGTTATTAAAGGAAACGGCGAGAGGGGAGGAGTTTGTAAGAGTCTGCGCAAACCGGGAGACTGGTGCCCACTTAAGGTAAGGAATTCCCTGCTTTTTTTAATCCCTGACACACGACAATACCGTTAACAATATTCTCTGCTTGTTCTACCATCTCAAACATTTACTAATCCAAAATATGATGTATACCTTCTCGGGTGCACTTGTACGTTCGATAGATGAAACGCGAGGATTTTTCACGATTTCCATGCCATAAGTGAAATATTTTGTCACATTGTTTACTGACACTTCAGATGTACACGAGGTTGAATTTTTGATTTTCCCTCAATTAAGCTTGAAACCACTTCACTAAAATAATAATGATTATTGCTTACTGTGTAATATGCAGTTATGTATGTGTAATACATTTTCTCCTTTCTATAAATGCCGATGACGATCACGATGACGATCGCAGCAAAAAAAGATTCAAAAGCTCGAGAGGGAACAGGGATGAAACGTCTTTTGAAACTTTTCAGCGTGACTAATTGACGTAATCATCTCACTTGATAAGCCAAATATTATGTTTACTACGAATAGTGTGCCTAAATTATATATTTTTTTTCTTCACCAGCAAAATTTACAAGCCTGTCCTTGCGTCTCCGGCTATGTATGCAACGTTACAAATAATGTTGTATGGGGTAAATGCCAGGCCGTCGACGGGGGATCTGGGTCCGGGTTAGGATCTGACGATTTCTGAGTGACGTCATCAGCAAGGAAACAATTATTCCATGGCTTCAAAACAACAAGTGTTTTACTAAAAAATGGCGGATTTTTTTGAAATTTTTCTCTTGTAAAGATGACTAATTAAAATAAAAAATAAATCAATCACAATGACAGATGCTTGTTATTCTATGGGTGTAATTTTGATTCAGAAACATTGAAACAAACAGACGTACTCATCATAGTTAAAAGAGTGATGTGATGCTTCTTTTGCCCATGGTAATTTACAGTTATGAGATGAGGCGGAGTATGATATGAAGAATTAAATAGATCGAGGAGGGTGCTCTGGGCTCGGAGGATAACAGTGACCCTGTGAGATCTTATAATTCTTCACATCACACGAAAGCCAAACAAATGAAATAGTTGTTCAGTTATTAGGTGATAAAATTATTTCCACCTTCAACAAACATGTGCACCTAGATCTACGTCGTTAAGTTCCGGTCTTCATGGCCTGTTTCTTGGTAGTCGGTTGTGAAGGAATGTTTATTCTAGCAATAGCATTTGTCATCTGATGAGTGGTATTTTTGCTTTGTCTTCTATGCCATAATGATTTTAAGTCGATAGTTCGGGCATTTCTTCTTCGTGAACTTGTGAAATCGTAGGCTATTCTCTGCCAGAACAACTAAGCTACCACCCCTTTCGCTGCCCTTTTCTCGAACAAATGTAAGTTTAAATGACGTCAGTTATACTGATATCGGCAAACATGTTCCAAATTTGGTCAACAGTAGCAACTTTTGCCTGGGGTCTTATCCTAATCAGAAACCGTATTTTTTTTTAATAAATGATAATTCAAGTCAGTTTCTCAATACCTCCTCTCTCTCTCTCCCCTGACCACTGATTCATGTTTCATTAGCTCAGTCTTTCATGAAAGCAGATATTTAAAGCAATAATCTATAAATACAACTTGCTCTGCGAGAGTTTATTGTTAAACTCGTAGAAAACGTTTTGGCGTCTTAAGTCTGACAAAATGAAAAATCGAATAGTAAACATCATTTACATATGCTTCCAGAAAACGATAGGCCTAGTATTTTTTGTTCTACAGTACCCAGGAAACTCCAGACGGTTCACGGCCGTTTCGTCTACGAGTTGTTTCGGCGCCAACGTCCTGTCGTTTCGCTCACGTGTTGGGTCAGTTCCCAAGCTGCTTTCGCCGGATCAGTAGTTGAAAGAACGAAGTATATACATGCTTATCGCACTTTTTTGTATCATGACTGAGAGAACCGCGAAGCTTATACATGCGCAGCGCTCGTTTCACTTCTTAGCGGAACGACATAAGACGTTAGCGAAACGAGTGGTCACCAGTAGCACCCCGCAGAGCGTGGTCCGGTGCCCAATGAACAGAAAGTTATCATGCCACCGCCAAAAGACTGGTTAACCATAGTTAGAAACTTGTTTGCTTCTCTGTCTTAATTTTTGGTCAGCTCTTGAAGCTTACTCGACCTTTACTAACGTTTTATTTGCCCATCCTATTCTTTTCTTCGTCTTTATGAGTAAAAGTCAATTCAACTCACAAAGACTCTAACTAGCTGATAAAATATTCTCACCTAATTATTTAACCAAAAATTCAGTGGCTCTTTTGCTTAAAAGTACCGCACTCAAAGCCTTCAACACCTAGGTAAACTTAACGCGATCCTTTGAAAGAGAATGCTCAAACTATAAATTCAAGTTCACAACTTAAACCTGCGTATATTTGTTCAGAGTACAACCTGTCTCAAGCTCACAATGCGCATAACTGAATGTTTCCACGTGGAAACACAGGAAAGTGTTGTGTTTTTGCCATATAAGAGCGTGGCTGACTATTTTACAGCACAGAAGAAGCTAAACAATTGCTGTAGGGGTCTCCAGTACGCTGCCCAACATGCAGTTTCTTGTCGGTGCTGCAGTGCTTATAAGTTTGTCCGTTGCTGTCTACGGAGAATATGTAAGTATTCATAAAGTTCATTGAAAAGTTTATTATTAGAATTTTTTATTTTTTGATGCTGTAGATATCAAGTTTGATCATTGTATTAGTTGCGACGATTTATAATGTCACTGAAAGAAATGTCTCTTCATTAATGGGGCTGTGGTTTCACGTACACAGCCCACAGTGAGCTCAGTCCTAGCAATATTGTTAGTTTTGCTGTTGTTGTTGTTTAATAAAGTTCTCGAAGAAATTCATTACTTCGAAAAATTAATAACCAGCTAGCAAAAATGAAAGAGAGCAAGAAACAAGGATCGAAATCAAATCCGAAATTTATACATATGTGCAACAAAGAAACGTAATTTCATCCAGTTAACAGGAAAATATGCAAAATATTGCATGAATTCTCATTTTTAGCCATTTCCACGCCAATTGGCGGAAAGATTGAAAGCCATTCCAGAAAGAAAAGGTCGGTAAAAACTGAATGTGTTTTTTTCGTTACTAAAATTCCGTATTCCAAGGTTTAAAAAAATTTTAATAATTTATATACTTCTTCAGATTAAATGTGGTAATCGTTACTGTCACGATGGTTTCTACTGCTACAATGGCGCCTGTTATCCAAGACGGCCTTGCACCCATCACGTACACTGCCTTAAAGATCAATTCTGCGATACCTACCTGCAAGTCTGTAGGAAGGGGGTACGAAGGTGCTCTCACCAACAACAGTGCGGGGCAGGAAGCGTCTGCAAGGTTGGGGTGTGTTCAAAGCGAGAGTGCCGTATGCACAAAGACTGCCCTGGTAACGACTCTTGCGAATCGGGAATCTGTACGAAGTACGAGAGTTACTGTCATGAGGGATACAACAACTATTGCAAATACGGATATGCTTGCCTCAACAGTAGGTGTATTTTTTGTTCAAGTGGCTAATTTTAATTTTTATTTGCGGCGCAAGGGTGTGACGTCGCGGTAGCTCTGGCAGCCCACCGATATGGTCCGAGTTCTTATCACAGGCGTAAGATTGAAACTGATGGTGTCCTACTTTTAGACATTTTTCCGCTCTTGGCAAAAGCTAAATGTACTTGTTCAATTAGGAATAAGACTAATAAAAGCCTTTTGTAAACTTGTATGATTTTGCGGCCGAGTCTGGCTCTGGCTGCATGTAGATGCGTTGCTCTCTGATTGGCTCATAGGACTGTCTGCGCAATTTGTGGCTGGTGACACCTGCCATTGTGATTTAGTTTTGGTTTTGCGACACTAAATAGCAATCACCCTTTTCGATAAAAAAATTCGGCGAACTGGAACTCCGATAATAACCCCCTCATCCCAGCACAGCTCGTACTCAAAACTTTCTATTTCGTTATTTTGGTAGAAAAATGCACGAAGAAAGAATGCTCCAGTAACTATGACTGCAAGATAGGCAACCATTGCGCCAAAGGATTTTGCAAACCTATCAAGGACTTCTGTAGGAGTGACGGCGACTGTGCTGAAGACCAGTGCTGCGCTAAAACGGGTAATGGTGACAGGGGAGGGGTCTGTCGGGCCTTACGAAAACCAGGTTCCTGGTGCCCTCTACAGGTAAGAATCTTTTGATTTACATGCCATGGCTTTGCAAGCTAGTTCATACCACAGAAGTGATTGGTGCATTCGATTAAAATGATAACCACCTTAGATTTTACCAACAAGTAAGAATAGTTTGAACAGTGTTAAAATACAATTTTATTTATGCTTGAGTTCCAAGATAAGTTATGGTCAAACCTTACTGCTTTCTTGACAAGTTTTTGCCAAAAAAAATTAGTTGGGAAAACCAGCATTTTTCTTAAAAATGACTTGTCCACTCGCCGGTCATGATCTAGTTGCCATAGGAACCGTCGTTCACCCACATTTGCTGAAATATGCCTTAGCAATAAATAAATATCCACCGAAGAGAAGAGATACTGAGTCAGATCTCTTTTTGAAAAAAAAAAATGTCTGACTCAGAGAAAAGCATTTAGGCAGAGGAGCATCATATTATGACCTGTAGACCTGGTCATGTCCATATCGTGATAGTCCATTTTCGTGCTATATGAATGATTATTTTAAAATGTACCATGATCGACAAAGTTCCGTATTACGTTTCAATTAACACACCCTCTGCATGGTCGTTCAACAATAATGCTCTAACAGTTTGAGTTTGTACTGTAAGGGTTTTCTAAAACTTCCCGGGAGGGGTAAGAATGTTTACTCACACTATTTATTTCTCCTCAGCAAAATTTGGAGGCCTGTCCATGTGTGACTGGCTACGTGTGCAACATAAAAACAAACATCTACTGGGGACAATGTGAGGCCGTCGATGGCGGGTCGGGGTCTGGATCGGGATCGGAGGAATTCTAAATGACATCATCACTAGGAAAACAGTTACTGTCAAAACTTTTACTTGGATCAACGTTTTGTTAGGAAGAAACTTCCAATAAAGTTTTGAAATTCTTCTAGACCGTGTGTATTTTAATCGACTTTAACGTTTAAGTGCCCTTTATTATTTCAAATAAAACTATTAAAACTTACTCGTCAGTCATGAAAAGTAGCTATCATATTAAACTTACCATAACTTCTTACAGCATTACTGCCAAATCATAAATATACAACTTTGCCAAAAAGAAGATAGTACAGTAAATTAACTGAAGTTATTAATGGAAGAAGTTAAGATATCATTGCAATTTTGTGTTGCTTTATTATTCCTCATCTTTCCCAGGAACTGAAATCAAATTTGCTCTGCCATCAGCATTAACATAGAGCTCTAGTGTCCCCTCGTATTTTCTCATTTTTGACTATTGACCGCTATTATAGCGTACTTTAGGATTCTTGGTCAGTTTGATGGCACGGCTTACCAAAACTTAGAACTGGCTACTGGCTTGGGCATTTTGTCGGAAATTGAAATAGTCTAGCTCGAGAGTCTAGTTTTCGCCACGAAAAAAACTATCACTGCCTTGCAAACTATTTATAGACTGGTCTGACTGGGCTGTCTTGATTAACAGAGTAAACAGTTCTCAGGAAAGGACCAGCCTCGTCAAAGCTGCTCCCATGCAGAGAAAAACGAGGCTCATCGGTGTGGCCTTGAAAGATCCGGAGATGACCATGCCGACCGCCGCGGGGAAGCCATTACACTCATCATTCGAACAGCAATGGACATTGCACTTCTGCACTTCTATTCCAAAGTTCTCGTACCAAATATCCTTACGGCAAATTTTCTCCTTTACAGTGGCGCACTGGGACTGTATAACGAAGAAAAATTTGAGTTAAGCGTTTAAATAGTACTTCAAAGATTTGGTCACGCGCCCAATAAAAAATTAAAACTTGTTAGAAGAGCCATGAAGCCACCTTCCTCGCGGGTTGACGCTTTCACGCGCTCTGCTCTGGAGAAAATAAGGGTGTACTGAGAGTCTATCTCAGGAGGGCGTTGGTATTTCAATTTTTGGCCATTTTTAAGTCGGTTTTTCGGTTTTGCTGTGCGTTACGGTTTGCAGGTTTTCCTTTTTTTAGCATCTGGTTTTCGGCTTTTGGCAAATAACACAAGCGGTTTTTCAAATTTGGTGTCCGATGTGATTTTCTGTTTTTTACGTACTGAGAGTAACATCACAGAGTGCTAGCTGATACTGTAATGATAATAATATGTAGAATGAAGATGATGTGATATTGTTTAGTCCCCGCGTTCAAAATTTCACCAACTTTTAAATTCGATTAAGGTTTTGAAAATTGAGGTGCGTATTATTGAGGCGTGCTAAAATCCTCGGTTTTGAGGGTTTTGTATTCAGTTTTCGGTTTAATTTTGGTCGAAGTCTTTTGCCGTGGTTTTTCTTTTTTGAGTGTTTTTTTGAGTGGTTTTTCGTTTTTTTCATAGACTCCAACGCCCCCTCGTATCTCGTAAAGTTTTTACATACCTTTTTTGCGCAATTCATTATATTCATCAAATGGTTGTCTCCCTCGTAGACGATTTCGAACGACGTTTTGGCGCATACGTCATATTCAGCCCCATTGGTTTTCGATTTCTCGTCACAGTCGGTGGCATTTGAAGTGAATTGGCACCAGTCAACGGGCGGTTCCGGAATACATTCGTAGCAAGTTATTGCCGTCACTATTTAAAAAAAATCAATAAACTTGTTTTAACAACTACGTATTGAAGAATTGTTTCTCGAGTTTATTAAATGTTTATCTCAACGAAGAAAGAGTACCTCTTGACAGATTCCGTTTGTATAGCTGGGTTGAATAAAAAGCGCATAAAAACAACAGAAAACAATGGCATTGGTCATTTGAATACTGGTTCGGTACCTGTTGTGTGAATATTGCACTTTTCTATGAAGCTGTTTTGGGAAACGAAGTTAAAAATTCTCGCATTCGTCAATAAAAGAAGATCTGACCTCCCCAAAACAGACCGACAGCAATTCGACCATTCTTTCTTGATTCGACACGATCGTGACTGCCCCAGTCTAACTATATGGTTCTTTAATATTTGCAAACCAGATTTTCTTGCCCCCTAACTTTAAGTCTCATGCATCAGTCGAAAACTCTATACATGTTGGTGAAAAAAAAAACTTTTTCGGGAAGAAAAAAGAAAGCTGTGTACGTCGCGATTCACGCCAATGTTTAAGTGCTAACAAAATTATTGTATTTAGAACATTGTGTGATGCAAGAAAAAGTTAAAAAGAAAGCCTGAGCATTCGCTCGTCTGAATCTTATGACAATGCGAAAAAAGTAGAAAACGTGCCCATTTGGCTTGACTAACCCCGTGTTTTTGATAAGAGGCCATGCATAATCAAATTCAAAACAAGATCTCAAAGATCTAGAAAAATTGATGATTTAATGGGTCGAGTTCTTCACAAGCAAATTAGTAAATGGACAATCACCCGCCAACGTTCCTTGCTTGTATCGTTTTATAGTTCTTTTGTTCCTTACTGCTTCCTCGGAAAATAGATGCTACAGAAACGTGCGTTTTGCCATTCGTTACTCTCCGGTTTTTTCTGAGTTAACAGAGCATGATGGTTAACCCGTTCGCTCATTCAACATTTTTCTAAATAAATGCCACATTCCTCTCCAAAGTTAACGAAAAAATCAAAAACGCCACAAGTTTTGAACAACAACAACAAAAAGATGAAAATGTGCATGAGATCAGTAGAATCGTTAAGGGTTGATAAGTGCAAACAGATTTTTATTATTATTAAGTATAGTAAGTATTGGAGGTAGCGGTGAAAAGTCGTGCAGCTCGCTGGCTTAGTAGAACTGAGAGTCATTTTTCTCTCTCTCTTTTCGTTTTTATCCTCGACGGTCTTTTAAGGCTTCTCTGACTTCATCCGTTTCTTCATCTCAACTAACTAGTATCATAACGAGCCAGCCGAAGCTACAGGGCTGAACATGGGAGCTTGAACAAAGAAAAAGCAACTTATTTTCGGCGGCCGCGGGTAATGTTTCGGTTTTATATTATTGAAAATAAGTCGTAAAACCAATGAAATGCTTAAAACGTTGGTTAACAAACCCAAACAGGCACTTGAAAGGACTAATAATGACGGTCACCTTAATCGCTCTCAAGAACGACCACCTGTATAGATGACACATCTGACAAGGGCGAGATGACTTCATTCAAAAATAGAAAAAGAAAAAATTCGCCAGCTAAGCACAAACTCAAGAGCAACTAGAATCAAAACATCAAAACAGGAAAACACCTAATGTGGGCGAAACTACTCCAGACTAACTTTCATACACCCAACGAAAGAAATACTCTATTAAAGTGACAACCCATGTAGCACCTAAAGTAGTAATTGATGACACTGTTTGTGGAGGCGGGGAAGCCATTATTCGCGGTCATTCTAGCCCTTGCAAAGCAAAGACATTACCAATTCTTTTTTCGTAGTTATTTTACGACCGTGAGTGTTGTTCCGCCACCGAAGACCTGTTTCCTTGCAAGTAATTAATCAATTATAATTTGTCTCAAGTTTTAGCACGATTGCGTGGCCGACCACTCCTTGGTACACGAGTTTACTTAGTTCTATGGATTACGTTGTTTCGCTCTTTAGTGAATAAGTGTTACAGTTGTTGATAAGTATTTATGACCTGAGAATTATACCAAAATTCTAACGAATAAAGTTACTCTTTTCTGGTGAAATTTGTGAAGGAAAAAAACCGCTCAGCCCACTTAGGATATATGCTGTGAATAGGAATAATTTTAAATCATGATAAAAGTCATGGCATACTGGAAAGTCTAGATGTAAATCCTTCTATCTATTACTTACCGCTTGGCAAAGAAACTAATGGAAAAATAGAAAGAAAAATTAAAATCCGCATCGTGAGCACGTCTTGAGCGAAGGTGCAACAACAGATAAATGGCGCTGAGAACAAAGAACTGGCGTTGATATAAACATAACAATATCATGATATTTTGAATTGTATCTCCTAACGCTCGATCCTGAAAATAATCCCAGGGGCGGGTCTTTGGAAAGAGGCCCAGGGGGCATTCTCTAATATAAGCCTTACAGGCATGTGTCGCCCCAAAGGGTATCGTCTTTGCGCCGTTTTGGTCTGAAAACGAGTATTAGAATTTCCCCATTTTGGTCTGGAATCGGTTATGATTTTCGAGGGACCTACGGCAGTGTATGAACACAATTGTCATTTCAATTCCAAATGAATAAGAAAGAAAAGTTAATATGCGAATTCGAGATGAATTTTAAGAAATCTTTTTGTTTGCGCTCTAATCTAAATGAAGATAACAAAATTTCTTTTAGGCCAGCTCTGGAACGGGGTGTAGATTTAGTGGGCCGCAACTGAAAACGGGTGTAAAAAATTAAATATTTTGGTCTAAAACAGGGTCAGGATTTAGAGAACCGGAGCGGCACACTCCCGCCCACCAAGAATTCCCAGGAGTACCCCCCGGAAAGAGGGGGCCCGGAGAATTTAGGCTCACTTCTGCAGAATTTCGTTGTTTCCCTTATACAATACAAAATTTGTGGAGAAGGTATTACTGTTTACGGCTAACGTAAGGAAAAGATTAAAAAAAATCAAAAAGCACCTGATATCTATCTTTCCATTACGTTTCCAAGTTTTGCTGTCAGTTTTCGACACCAAGTTGGCTGTTTCACTTCCTTTAAATAATCAAACTTGTCATATGTGTAGCTTTGAACACGCAAACCTCAGTCGAAGAGGCTAATATGCAAAAGGACCAGCTGAACGTCTTCACTGAAAAGTGAGGGATGACATTTTTACCCGTAAACACCTCTTTATATAAGCTATGATAATGTAGTCGAAGGCATATAAAGCCGGTAATACTCAAAAGGTTGTCTCTTAACTTAACTTGGTCCACAAAAAAAGAAAAGCTGAATAAACACTGGCCATGAGCATTTTTCACTTAGTTAAAAACGGACAACAACTCAGTGTTAGCTTATCCATAGCTTTTTTTGTTTTTGTTATTTTTGTAAAATCTCATGAGTAGGTAAGTATAAATAAATTATGTTACGTTGAATCTTTATTTAGAAACTGAGGCGGCGAGGACGAGTGATCGTTGAACCTCATCACAATCAGTTTCATTTCCATAGAAAAATTTAAAACCTGCCATAAATGTAAATTTAGTCTTTCGTACGTAATTTAGTTTTCTAATGAATTTTGAAAAGTTTAACTTACTTTTTATCTTGTCTGCGTGACAGTAGACTTTATGCATCATGCTTTCATTTGTTCGAGCCTGGGCTCAGTTGTTCAAAACTGGGTTCTTTATCTCTCTCACTAGATCTCTGCTGCCCTTTTTCTGGTTGAGCTTCGCTGGCCTGCCGCCTACTTTCTCTTTTTCTCTGTCTTTCTCTACCTCTATTTTCCAAATTTGTGGACGTGACAGTTAATCTAAGCTTAATAGTTCAGACAACACGGATACACGGAAACAATTCCCGCTTTCCGTTTTCGACTTTAAGATCCAACGACGCGGACGTGCAACGAGAACGTAAAAAAAAAAGTTTAATAAGCAAAACAACAACTTCGCACGTGCATCACACATTTTTGTACATTTCTTTGCCGTTTTTGCATGACTACGACGTGAAAATACCTAATTTCCTGTTTCATGGAGAACGTAAACAAGCGACGACGGAGTTAGATTTCTCTTTCTGAGCTTGGATATGGTCCCTTGAAATTCAGCTTCGGGAGGGTTTGCCTACATTTTTCAAAGTAAGTGCGTACGAATAATCGCTATGAAGACCGAAAGAACCCAAATTCACTTTTTTAAGCGACGTTCTCGTCGCCGTCGCGTCGTTGGATCATTAAGTCCCCATTGACTCTTTAGTTGTTTCTGCTTTACAAGACGAGGGTGGCTATGCGATTTCCCTCCAAAATAACCTCAAGTTGCATCTGGGTTGCCATACTTCTTGATTGAGTTATTTTACATTGGTATGCCTGTGGTACGGACGTACGGGTTGCGTGATGAGCCTACAAACGACTGCGAAGGAGACTAATTTATATCCGGCTATACGATATATTTGTCTTAGACGAATAGTTTCTCAGGCACGTTCAAAATCCCCTTGACGGGGACCCGTGTTTTTCCCCGCCACTTCGTTGTAAAGTAAGAAAAACCATTCCCTAGGTACCCCCGCAAATGTGGGTTGTATGGGTTGATTTTTCCTCTGTCCCTCCCCGTCGAGGGAATTTTGAACGTGCGGCGAGGCTACTAAGCCAAGAGCAACAGCTGTCGCCAGTACACTGCGAAGATCAGCGGTTCCACGGAAGCGCTAAGTTCAAATTTTTTTCGCTACATTTCTCGTCCTCTTGAGGTTACGACTCGATGTTGGAACTAAAAAAAGAAAGGAAAATCTTCGGTCTATGCTCAAGCGAAGTTTTGGAGCGATTAGAGTAGAATGAACGTAATTTCAGTAATTTTTTTGGAGCTATTTGCTCGGGCGGCGTTGGACAGCCGAGTTTTAATTTCCCTTGTTTTCTTTTTATAGCAGGTGAGAAACTAAAATATCAAAACTTGCTAAAATTTATAGGGCAGGAAACTGTAAGAAAACAACACAGAGACAACCCTTTATAGGGTATGTGCGCTTTAATTAATGCCTGTTTATGCGCATTTTAACCATTTTATCGATCTTACGATAAATTCCCATACAAATCCTTAAAATTTGACCTTTAGAAGGTTGTTGTCAGTCTGGGCTCCCTGTGCTTAGACGGATTATTCGTCTTCAGTATATATTTGAGCAATCTATTTTGATCAATTTAAGACATCCACATCCCTTGGAATTTACAACAACTTTTTATTTATTGTACATTAGATGCTGTTTCATAATTTCCAGCCCAGTAATTAACTGGCAGGATATTTTTTCGTTTTTCAGGAAATGTAAGTTGTATTGTAACGAAGTACTGTTCATCAAGTATATTGATTTTGATCTCAAAACTTGCGTCATCATTATTTGAAAATTGATACTGAGTCAAGTGATCTATTGACTGAGTAAAACAGCATAATGTGATTATTAATAGTACAGTGTGATGCAAACCGATGGAAAGGTATACATGAGCACAACTTTCCAGTTCTTGCGTCGTTTTAAAAATATTTAATACTTTCTGGCTCCTTTACCGCTCCTCACAAGCAAATACATAGATAATACTTGAGAATTCACAATGTTTGTGCTACCGCATAAACTAGAAAAAACAGCGAAACTTAAAATTTTGTGGCCGAACCGTACAGTACAATCTGATGTCACGTGCTACCAATACAAAGAAAATATATTATCATAATACTAGTTGTAGCTATCGCAAAGTGCCAACGAGCAAAGATTTTACCTATACGCGTGTGCTGTTTAATTTGTTTAGAAATGTCATGAATTACCGTAATTTTGAATTTTTTTTTGTTTTTAAGACTAAAAACACTTAAAAATTCCAGCAGGCAAATGCGACAGCTATACGCGTATGTTTCAATTGAATCCACCCGACAATCGGTTGAAGACGGTATGAGCACGGGACTCACAAACGACGCACACGGCTCGTGGATCCTCTGTTTTGTATAACATGTTCGCTCGAAAAAAATGCATTCTCTGTTCTGCACTACTTCATAAAAGTTACCTTACACTACCTTATGTTGCATCGCTTCAAGATTCATTCTGCCTTGGAACTTTTGCGCACAGCTTCATAGCCTGCCGCCTCGCAGCCACGCGTCTTTGCGAGGCTTCTCTTTGGCAAAAGCACGGCGGGAAAAGACACGACAATTAACAAATCGATAACAATTTTCCACGGTCTGTACTCTTATCGACCTTAGAAACGACGTCAAAATGTTCAAAACTCAAGTGCACTTTATATTCTTCTTAACAACTTGTATAATTTCTCATACGACCAGCTGTTTATATCCGTACAAACAAAAATAGTTTAGGAAGTGATGACTAAGAGTGGGTCCATGTCACGAAACGGCCGGTATCATAACAAACCCAAAGAAAACATGAATTATATCTGCCATGGCCGTTTTGCATGAACAAAGATGTCATTCAGATTTACTGAGTTATATCATAAGTTCAGGGCCTTACATCGTATGTCCAGAAGTGTGTTTACAAAGTGGGAAAGTGTGATAAAAAGAAACTCAAGAAAGAGTTAGAAGAGCGAATTGAAAGGAATGTTGTGGTATCTTTTTGGTCAAGGTATACAAGCCCTCAAAGGGTTCGAGATTTTGAGTATTCTCGATGTATTTTTCTCCAATCGTGTTATTTAGAGTTCTTCTTATATTGTTCCCGATCAAGTTCACTGGAGCTACAAGTTTTACTGTAAGGAGGCAATGTTCTCTAACCCATTGCGTCATAATTATTAGTCAGACATGTTATAGTGCTTTACAACTGTTTTAACACTATTACTTTTCCATTTTGAAAATGCTCGAGCGAACTATCTCGACGCCGTTTAAGCAATTTACAGAGGAAAACTGCAGATAATTATTTCGAAATGGAAGAGAAAAACTACGAAGAATTTCTAAAAGTTGTATGCACCGCGTCCCTTTACGGAAACTCCTTTCTGTATTCAGTAGCAGCTTTGAATATTCTTCTATCAGTTACCGCTTCGATGGGGAACACTCTAATTCTTGTTGCTCTTCGCAAGGAAAATTCTCTTCATGCTCCATCAAAACTCTTGTTTCAATGCCTATCAGCCACGGATCTTTTGGTTGGTATCCTGTCGCAACCTCTGTTTGTTATTCAGTTGATTTCCATTGCACATCAGCGAGTGTCACTTTGTTTCATCCTTGTCAGTGTAAATGAAATTGCTGGTTCAAGCCTGATCGGTGTGTCTCTGTTTACGATGACTACAATCAGTGTGAACAGACTTCTTGCTCTGTTATTAGGGCTGAGACACAGCAAAACAGTGTCGCTGAAACGAATTCGTGGAGTTATCATCGGCGGCTGGATTATAAACATTTCCATCTTTACCTTGCAGCGTTTCTGGGAAAAAACACTATACGCTAATCTCTCAACTCGTCTCTGGGATGCTTTACTCATTGCTAGTAATCTCGGGAATTTCATACTCCACGATTTATCTAACACTTCGCCGTCATCAAAATGAGATGCAACGCCAAGCAAACGGAGAAGGAACTACATTCAACATAACGCGATACAGAAAAACAGTGTCCACCGCTTTATGGGTGCAGCTGACATTAATAGCCTGTTATCTTCCTTATGGTGTTGTTAGTACGTTAAGTCACCCATTCGTTCCATCTCATAATCTTTCTGTCAGGCTCACAATAACCCTTATCTACTTAAACTCATCTTTAAACCCTGCTCTCTACTGTTGGAAGATCAGGGGAGTTAGGAAAGTGGTAAAGGATACAGTCACACATCTATATCATGTGGTTTGTCCAGCTAAACCTGTAGCTCCCGCGCGCTAAGCATTTTTGGTGCGATTGGTCTAGCAGCCCGCGTCTTTCGGGCGCGGAATCGATACCTTTTGAGGTGCTGGAAGATCAGGGGACTTTGGCAAGCGGTCAAGGATACAGAGAATAATTTTATATCAACTTGAAACGCGATTATAACAAGAACGTTCAACTTTATCATAGTTTTGTAAGTTTTGCTCTTCTCGGTTTATTCACATTGTGAGAAATAATTCCTAAGCTCATTTATCGTTATGGTTTTTCTTTTTCGGTATCAAAAGCATTTTCATGGATTTTGCAAGACATTTAATATGGACGAACTTGTCCATCATCTCCAAACTGTAAAAACTGTCCGTTTCAGCGATTTTGTGTCTAAACGTTTTGAAAAATAAATTCATCAAAAAACCTGTTATATTAAACGTCTGTTAAATACTGTGCTTGATATCCTTCATTGAGTTTCCAAGTCGTTAAGTTTGAGGGATTGTTCTTTTGTTTACACCCTCAGGATCAGCAAGTGGACTGTTTTTAGAAAAGTCCACCTCGTTGGAAAAGTACGGGAAGTTTTGTTCCAACTCAGTCACTTTCAGCTTATAGAGCTGGATGGCCGGCAAATCGGAAGGTCTCGTGTTGGTTTCGCGGGTCGGGACCAACGCTCGTGATTTGAAAGTAATTACGGAAGAAAGTACACCCTTCACAGCTCTACAAAGGGCTACCCCTCATGGAACTTGGTAGTTCAAGTAGAAATTGCAGTCTCTAGTTACTGCGTTCTAAGCACGTTGGCACTTCAATAAAGTAGAGATTTTTGGAGTTCGAATTTTTGATCCAAAACTAGTCTCTTCTCCCATTTCTGTTTATTGGCATAGAGGAGAGGCTTGTGGGTAACAGTAGATATAATAACAGATCTAAAGTAAATTGAAACAAAATTTAACAAAAATTCCAAATAGTTACAAGTGAACAAAAGCAAATTATTATATATAAGTAAAACCACTGACTTTAAAGATAATGGCCAACTTCCTAGTTATCATTCTTTTTATGAAGCATAATAAAAATGTTATAAGAAGGATGCCAGTAAGTTTACGTAGTTTTCTTCGTACATGAAATAATGTATAGTCAGCTCTCGTTATCCCGATCCCGTACAGCCAACTCCCCTTATATCGTGCCGAGTCCCTCGGGACCGCGAGTCAGTGCCCCCAGTAGCGAGAGTCCCGAGGCACGGGTTCGAGTCCTGTACAAGCCTGACTTTTTTTAAACTTTCTTATCAAACCTGCACCGAAAAGTTGCCACTATAACTTAACCGTAATAATCTTCTTAGAGTAGGTGAACACAACGTAAAACGGAAAAATTTTCTTCTTCTTTTTCTAACCAATGATCTGGGCCTTTCGGATACAACCCCAGAAAATTTCGCCAACACTTGACAAATTAAATGAAATTGAATAAGAACGATGAAGTTTGAAACAGTTTAAAGTGACGTTTTCGACTTTTTTGCCATCCAGAAATTTTGCTACCAAGGCAACATTTTTCCTAGTAGCTTTTGTCACTGACAAAAAAAAAGACCATCAATCTCTTTATTTGGACAGATTGGACGAGCCACAGCAGTGCTAAGAAACAAGGCTATTAAAGATGTCAAGAAAAAAAAAGAAGTTCTTCTACGATCTGTTTCAATTGTTGCTCAAGAAGAGAATTGATAACAATTTTGAAGAAACAATATTTTTCTGTCTTTATATTCAAAGATGCCGCTTGCTGTAGGTTATAACCAAACGCGCAAAAGTTTTTTTGTTTGTTTATTAAGTTTTTTTGACAAGTAACAACTTGATGAAGATGGCGCAACCGACAGTAGACTTGATAATTTAAAAAACGAACCTTGCCGCAGGTAAAAAGTTATTCCTTATCACCCGGTTTTGTCATTTTGCTGGCGATTTCTTAAATACATATTTTGGCGTTTTTGTGAATGAAGAGAAGAAGTGTTTTAAAAAAAAGTAAATAAGGAGTCGCTCTTTTTCTAATTAATACAGCTTTTGATTAATTACAAAATTGGACATGTCTAATATATACATCCGCCGTACAAAATTTACCACAGCGACGAAGTTTTCGATGTACTATATTTATACAAGACAGATATTTCTCACTGAGTTAACTTTTCGCATTTTTTAAGCCGGACTAATAGTCAACAGGGAAATTTAACGCCAAAAAAGCGTAGAATTTTACCAAAAAAAATTAATCAAGTTTTATTTAATTTTCATTGAGAAATATAGAACTCCATTCAAAGCAAACGTCAACAAGTTTGTTAGCTGGAAGCTGATTGGCAAAAAGTTTAAGATAAGGTGGCTTTATTGCATTGTTTTATCACTCTCCTTTCCATCAATCTCTTAGTTGTAATACAAATCAATTGAAAACTAGATGAAGGATTCAACTTGTAATCCATTTAGTTCATTGACTTGAAATACTCAACAAATATTCTCCAAGCTTCAATCTCAGAGTATATATAGGTTGGTAGAATGTAGGTCAGCCCAAAATTCACGAACAGCTGGTTATCACCTGTGTGCTTCTAATAATTTCAACGCATGACTATAACGCCAAAAAATTGTAAAAAAAAAAAAAAGAGAGAGAGAAAAAAGAAAGGAGATTTCGAAGCCAAATTTCTGACTTGTAAATTGAAAATAACTTCTTTCTAAGTCTCTCAGTAGTGATGGATTTTTCTGCAAAGGGTTCGGACTACAAAGAAATTCAACTTGTGTCTTGCTGGAAGTCTCAACATGGAAATTGTTATCTATATCTTCTAGCAGCGTTGAATATTCTTTTATCCATCATCGCAGTGCTTGGGAATATTCTCATTTTACTCGCTCTTCGGGAGGTGCGTTCGCTTCATCCGCCGACAAAACATCTGTTCCGATGCCTAACATTGACAGACCTTCTTGTTGGCGTTTTTTCACAGCCCCTCTTTGCTAGTCAGCTTATTTTCATTGCGCATCAGCAGCAAAGCTTCTGCTTTATGGCTGTGGACTCTAATGAAGTCGCAGGTGTCACTTTTAGCGCCGTTTCTTTATTTACATTGACTACCATCAGCGTGGACAGACTTCTTGCTTTGAGGCTGCGTTTAAGCTACAAACGCAAGGTGACTTTGAGACGAATGCGTGGAACTGTGATTTGCTTCTGGATTGTAAGCATTTCACTCTCTAGTTTAAGGCGATTTTGGCAACATGCTCTTATGTCAAATGTGATGTCCATAGTTATACACTTTTTGTTACTAACATCGGCCTTTTGCTATTGTAAGATCTATCTGAAACTCCGTCGCTTTAGAATAGGCTTAGCAAATCGCGCGTTTCAGGAACAACGACCCAGCGTAAGAGCTTTACAAAACATGGCAAGATACAAAAAGACAGTATCTACAGCACTGTGGGTGCAGTTAGCATTAGTAGCCTGTTATCTCCCGTATGGTATCGTTACAGCCGTAGAATTCATTACAGGATATTCACCATCACATAACCTGGCTGTTAGAGTTGCAGTGACCATGGCTTTGTTAAACTCATCTTTAAATCCCTTTCTTTATAGCTGGAAGATCAGAGGAATGAGAAAAGCACTGAAGGACACAATCAAACATTTGATTTGTTTTGAATAAATTAAAGTGCGGCATTCGTGAAATAGGACAAAAAAAGGAAGGGGCAAGGTACGAATTATATAGAGTAGAAACCAGTTTAATCATACTTTCACGCCCAAACGTCCTGAGCTAAAAGACGGTACAACTTGCTAAGCAGGGGCGTTAGCTACCCTTGCGCAAATATGTACATGTACGTGCGCAATTGAAAAAGACGTCGAAGTTAATCAAAACAAAACAAATTTGACCGAAAAACAGTTTTTAGTTGTTGGTCTAAGTTTTCCTGGATTTAAACAGATAATATTGTAATCAAGTTTAAGATGGCAAGCAAATAAAATAGGCTCTAGATGTACGATATCATTTCATCGCTTATCAGTTCTCACTAACAATTGTTGTGAATCGGATGATTTTTAAAGTCATTAAGGTGATTCCATAGTAAAAGAACCTAACGTAGATTTTAGCTAAAACTTGGTACACTGATGTAACAAGTCAAGAAGATGATAAAAAAGTAATAAAAAGTGGGGGTCACCGTGCTCGTTTTGACGTCACAATGCTGACAAATACGGCTATTTAGGACCCTTTTACAAAAACCGCGGGCAGCGCAAAACTAGACAAAAAGGAGAGATTTTTTCGATGATGCATGTGACATCACACAGAATTTGACTTTATTGTATTGTTAATCCTCTTACGTACTAGAAAAATGCCTTTTAATACCCTTGTTTTTACTTTACGCTCCAAAGTAGAATAAAATTGGACGCGCGCTTTTCGACCCGTGATGGCTCAATCCATACAATTTAGTAAAATTGCCAAAAAACTGAACATAGATTTGTGCCAATTTTTTTCTCATCGAAAGGAAGCACTGTCCTTATCAAAATCATGAAATAAAAAATGGGGGTCACCGTGCTCGTTTTTGCGGTAGAGCTGCAGAAAGTGCGCACCAAACGCATTTTCTCCGATTTTTGAGAGAGGACTGGGGCGAGTTTCAAAATAGAATGTATGTGAAAGGGGGAAGAAAGTATTAAAAAATCCGTTTTGACAGAATTTACATCGAGATATCACATTTAGGACACAATGTGATAAAGAAAGTGTTTAAATGAAAATCAAAGTGAGTAAGCACAAGTTAAACATCCACTATCGAGGTTCTCCGAGAGGAGGTCGAACTCAACAACACGCGTACTGCTTACGTTATGCACATTCCCAACACACTGAGTCTCATCTCGGCAAGAAACAACAGCAAGCAAAAATTCCAATAGCGTTTCTTTTCAGTCAACTCCATTTTAATAATATTACTTCACGTGCTTTTTTTTACGGCGGCCATCTTGTTATGCGCAGTAAGAGATGCGCAGTGCAAAACTAGGGAATCACCTTAAATCGCGCGTCAGATAGCTAACAGGTGTATTTGTCAAAGAAACTGGGCAGTTATGCTTTAGGTCCTAACCATAAAAGAGGTGTTAGACAGTCAAGTACTTCCTTAGAAAATGTGTTCTTTCGACTTACACTGATAAAATAAAAGACATAGCAACTTAAACCGTCGAGCAAAATGTGCCAGCGCATGAAAATCCCCAACCTACTAAAAGAGGCGAGAGGTAAAGAGGGAGGAACGTATTCCCTCTCCTCTCGTGTGGTATGTCTCTTTGGTTTGATGGGCGCGCATGCGCACTTCGTTCGCTCTATTACACTCGCATGTGGAAAGTATCGCATTACTTATGGTCGATTCATTGTCAACTCAAAACTAGTGAAGCATGTAGCCAAACCACGCCAAAACGAAACAATATTTCGCTATAATTTCTAAGTCAATAAGGTTTAACCAATAGGATAGGTGGCCTTTCTGTCTTCCATCTCTCTATCATCATCAGAACCAAACGAAGACCAGCAGAATTTGTCTTGTCAGGTCGAAAACATGAGGCAGGATTATTAAACACCGACAGTTTTAGGCTTCATAATTAAAAAAGAACGGAAAACACATTAGGGCCATTTATACTAGGAAAAATAAGACGCGTCTTAAATAAGACGCGAACTTTCCTTATAAACGGCACATTTCGTCTAAAATAAGACGCGGCTTAGCTAAGACGCGTCTTATTAGATAAGACATGCTCGTATAAATGGTACAGTTCGCGTCTTATTTAAGACGCATCTTATTTTTCCTCGTATAAATGGCCCTATTGTCTCCAGAAGCCACGTTGACCTCGTAAACAAGATAGGCAGTTGCTGACGAACATTTGGAAATGACGTTTTTGGTACTTTCCCTCGCTGCTGTTGAGAAGAATTTTTGATTTCGAACAGTGTCGTCGTGCTTTATGAAGAAAAATAATATTTTAAGTTTAAAATAAATAAGGAGTCACTCTTCTTCGTGACAGTGCTTTTGGTTCAATTACGAAATTTGACATGTCTAATATGTATATGGCGGAAATTTCACAATAAATCAAGTGTCGGCTCTTTAAAAAAGAGCAAGTGTTTCTCAGTAATTTTTTCACAGATTTCATGGTCAATAGTCAACGGTAAAAGTTTTTCATTTTAACGTAATAAAATTGATTAATTTACATTTAATTGTAATAGAGAATTAGGAGTCCATGCAAAGCAACAGAATGTAACCTGAAGAAGCTGATTATAAGCTGTTGAAGATAAGGCAGTTATCTTTGTGTTCTATCTCAATTCAAATATTGTGCACACTCTTTCTTCATGTTTTTTTTCTTTCTCGTACGAACTTGGCAGATCTATTTGTCATGCATCATATAGTTTTTGACATTAGACGGGATTAGGGCTCACGCCCTGTTCTCTTCTCCTGTCAGCGTATTTGTGTTCGTTTAATTTCTTTATCTGACAAAAATCAACAAACTTAAAACTAAGCTAATATCGTTAATCTCATAAAACAAGCCACAGCTGCAATCAACTGTCAGCCCGCAAATCAACGTAGACACTTGGTAAACACCACCTAATAATTTCAAGGCACGTCCACATTGAAGACTTTCACTAGTGAAGGAAAAATCGGAAACGCGATTTCTAAGTTTAATTCTGAGTTAGTTAGAAAGGAAGAATAAGTTAATTTTCTTTCAAGTCATTAATATAGTGATGGGTTTTACGGCAGAAGGCGGGTACGAAGAAATTCAAGTTGTGTCTTGCTGGATGTCCAAACATGGAAATTACTATCTATATTTACTAGCAGCGTTGAATATTCTTCTATCCATGATCGCATCGCTTGGTAATATCCTCATTTTAGTTGCTCTTTGGAAGGTACATTCACTTCATCCTCCGTCAAAACTCTTGTTCCGATGCCTTACAGTGACAGACCTTCTTGTTGGCGTTTTTTCACAACCTCTGTTTGCTAGTCAGCTTATTTTCATAGCCAATCAGCGGCGACGCCTCTGCTTCACGACTGTGAGCTGTAATGAAGTCGCGGGTGGTACTTTTAGCACGGTTTCTTTATTTACATTGACTACCATCAGCGTAGACAGACTTCTTGCTTTGAGGTTGCGTTTAAGCTACAAACGGAAGGTGACTTTGAGACGAATGCGTGGAACTGTGATTTGCTTCTGGATTGTAAGCATTTCACTCTCTAGTTTAAGGCGATTTTGGCAACATGCTCTTATGTCAAATGTGATGTCCATAGTTATACACTTTTTGTTACTGACATCGGCCTTTTGCTATTGTAAGATCTATCTGAAACTCCGTCGCTTTAGAATAGGCTTAGCAAATCGCTCGTTTCAGGAACAACGGCGCAGCGTAAGAGCTTTACAAAACATGGCAAGATACAAAAAGACAGTATCTACAGCACTGTGGGTGCAGTTAGCATTAGTAGCCTGTTATCTCCCGTATGGTATCGTTACAGCCGTAGAATTCATTACAGGATATTCACCATCACATAACCTGGCTGTTAGAGTTGCAGTTACCATGGCTTTGTTAAACTCATCTTTAAATCCCTTTCTTTATAGCTGGAAGATCAGAGGAATAAGAAAAGCACTGAAGGACACAATCAAACATTTGATTTGTTTTGAATAAATTAAAGCGCGGCATTCGTGAAATAGAACAAAAAAAGTTAGGACCAGGGTACGAATTATATAGAGCAGAAACCAGTTTAATAATACTTTCACGCCCAAACCTCCTGATCTAAAAGACAGTACAACTTGCTAAGCAGGGGCGTTAGCTACCCTTGCGCAAACATGTACTTGCGCAATTGAAAAAGACGTCGAAGTTAATCAAAACAAAACAAATTTGACCGAAAAACAGTTTTTTAGTTGTTGGTCTAAGTTTTCCTGGATTTAAACAGATAACATTGCATTCAAGTTTAAATGACAAAATAGGTTCTAGATGTACGATATCATTTCATCGCTTATCAGTTCTCACTAACAATTGTTGTGAATCGGATGATTTTTAAAAGTCAATAAATCGCGCGTCAGATAGCTAACAGGTGTATTTGTCAAAGAAACTGGGCAGTTATGCTTTAGGTCCTAACCATAAAAGAGGTGTTAGAAAGTCAAATACTTCCTTAGAAAATGTGTTCTTTCGACTGATAAAATAAAAGACATAGCAACTTAAACCGTCGCGCATGAAAATCCTCAAACTACTAAAAGAGGCGAGAGGTAAAGAGCGAGGAACGTATTCCCTCTCCTCTCGTGTGGTATGTCTCTTTGGTTTGATGGGTGCGCATGCGTTCTTCGTTCGCTCTATTACACTCGCATGTGGAAAGTATCGCATTACTTATGGTCGATTTGCTTTCCAATATTCATAGCCAACTCAAAATGAAATGGCAAGCCAAACCACGGCAAAACGAAACAATAAGATAGGTGGCCTTTCTGTCTTCCATCTCTCTATCATAATCAGAACCAAACGAAGACCAGCAGAATTTGTTTTGTCAGGTCGAAAACATGAGGCAGGATTATTAAAAACCGACAGTTTTAGGCTTCATAATTAAAAAAGAACGGCAAACACATTGTCTCCAGAACCCACGTTGGCCATCGTAAACAAGATAGGCCGGTTGCTGACGAACATTTGGAAATGACGTTTTTGGTACTTTCCCTCGCTGCTGTTGAGAAGAATTTTTGATTTCGAACAGTGTCGTCGTGCTCTATGAAGAAAAATAATATTTTAAATTTAAAATAAATAAGGAGTGACTCCTCTTCGTGACAGAGTCTTTGGTTCAATTACGAAATTTGACATGTGTAATATGTATATGGTGGAAAATTCACAATAAATCAAGTGTCGGCTCTTTAAAAAAGAGCAAGTATTTCTCAGTAATTTTTTTCACACATTTCATGGTTAATAGTCAACGGTAAAAGTTTTTCATTTTAACGTAATAAAATTGATTAATTTACATTTAATTGTAATAGAGAATTAGGAGTACATACAAAGAACCAGAATGTAACCAAGAAGCTGATTGTAAGCTGTTGAAGATAAGGCAGTTATCTTTGTGTTCAATCTCCATCCAAATATTGTGCACACTCTTTCTTCATGTTTTTTTTCTTTCTCGTACGATGATATGATGTGATGTCATCCATCACATAGTTTTTGACATTATACGGGATCTAATATCGTCAGTCTCATAAAACAAGCCAAATGAAAAATAACTGGAGGATTAACCATCTTATTCATTTCATTTATTAAGCTAATGAACATTCAAAATACTCAACAAATATTAGCCACAGCTGCAATCTACTGTCAGCCCAAAAATCAACGTAAAGACTTATTAAACACCAGCTAATAATTTCAAGGCACGTTCACATTCAAGGCTTTCACTAGTGAAGGAAAACTCGGAAACGCAATCTCTAAGTTTATTTCTTAGTTATTTAGAAAGGAAAAATAAGTTAATTTTATTTCAAGAAATTAATATAGTGATGGGATTTAAGGCAGAAGGCGGGTACGAAGAAATTCAAGTTGTGTCTTGCTGGATGTCCAAACATGGAAATCACTATCTTTATTTACTAGCAGCGTTGAATATTCTTCTATCCATCGTCGCATCGCTTGGTAATATCCTCATTTTAGTTGCTCTTTGGAAGGTACATTCACTTCATCCTCCGTCAAAACTCTTGTTCCGATGCCTTACAGTGACAGACCTTCTTGTTGGCGTTTTTGCACAACCTCTGTTTGCTAGTCAGCTTATTTTCATAGCCCATAAGCAGCGACGCCTCTGCTTCACGACTGTGAGCTGTAATGAAGTCGCGGGTGGTACTTTTAGCACGGTTTCTTTCATAACACTTACTGCTATCAGCGTAGACAGACTTCTCGCTCTCACGCTGGGACTAAGCTACAGGTTCAAGGTGACTTTGAGACGAATGTGTGGAATTGTGTCTTGCTTCTGGATTGTAAGCATTTCACTGTCTAGTTTACGGCGATTTTGGCAACATGCACTTGTGTCAAATGTGATGTCCGCAATTATGTACTTTTTATTACTAACATCGGCGTTTTGCTATTCTAAGATCTACCTAAAACTCCGCAGCCATAAAATTGCCTTCAAGAACCTCTCTAACCAGGCAGAGCAGCACAACGTAGGACCTGTACTTAACATAGCAAGATACAGAAAAATAGTGTGCACAGCAGTTTGGGTGCAGTTAGCATTAATAGCATGTTATCTTCCGTACGGTGTCGTTACAGCCGTAGCACACACCACTGAATATTCACCATCACATAATCTGGCTGTTAGACTTGCAGTTACCATGGTGTTTTTAAATTCAACGTTAAATCCTTTCCTTTATTGTTGGAAGATCAGAGAAATGAGAAAAGCAGTGAAAGGCACAATTAAGCAATTGATTTGTTCAAGTTGACGCCCGGGTATTCGCGAAATCGGATGAAGAAACGAAATGATATAAAACAAAATGGCGGCACATCATAAAGGCTGCTTTAGATAATACTTCCTTTGTAAAATGTAAGTTTTTTAGAGTTAGAAATGGAATAAATGTTCGTCAACTGAGTAAAACATGCGAGCGTGGATGAAAATCCCCAACCTAGAAAAAGAGGCGAGAGCTTAAGGTAGTGAAACTTGCTGCCTCTCCTCTCGGGCGCGTGTTTTCTGTTTTGCCGCGCTTGCGTATTTCTTTCCCCATAACACCTGTATTAACCGGAAAGTACGGTACTACTTTATTGTTGCGCCAACTTGCTGTTCAATATCCACAGTCAACACACATCTAATGAAGGAGGTGAATTTGCATAATGAAATGGGCAGCCGAAAGCCAAAACGAAACAATAGACCTATTACTCGACAATTCCTAAGTCAATATGGTTTTAACCAATGGGTGGCCTTTCTCTCAGTATGAAGTTCTGACGTTACTTCGACGATATTTCTACTTTCACTTGAACGCTTGTAAAAGACCTCCAGGGTAAACAAAAGGTTGAAGGACGCGATTTTCAGGCATATCGGTTGACCGGAATAGCCGTTTCGAAAAAAAAAATGAACAACGAAAGCAAGGAAGGATTCCAAGCTGTTCTAGATGCGGCCTGTACGAAGTCTCCCCCCACAAATGACTATCTGTATATACTAGCAACCTTAAATTTTTTCCTCGCTATCACCGCATCAGTGGGAAATATCCTTATCTTCGCTGCTCTTCTAAAGGTATCTTCCATTCGCCCGCGCTCAAAACTTCTGTTCCGGTGTTTAACAACCACAGATCTCCTCGCTGGTGTGAGCTCGCAGCCACTATTTGCTATTGTATTAATTTCCGTGGCAAGAAGAGCATTTCAAGTTTGTTATACCATCATGAGTTTTAATGATGTTATTGGCAAGAGTTTAGCAGCAGTTTCTTTGTGGACGTTGACTGCGATAAGCGTTGACAGGATTCTCGCTCTGAAGTTGGGTCTAAAATACAAAAGAGTGGTGACGTTGAGGCGAATGCAAGGACTACTGATTTTCTTTTGGATTTTTAGCGTCTCTGTTTCCTGTTTATACCGTTTTTTAAATTTGAAGCAACAGTCTATAATATCAAGAGTTTATTCAGCGCAGATCTACTTGTCGTTGGGAATTTCCGCGTTCTCTTACGGCAACATCTATTTTTGCCTTCGCCATCGTCGTCAATCTCAATTACAAGACGATGTTCACGAAGGCCAGCAGCCCGCGAATGAAAGAAGAAGTCCCCTTAAGATAGAAAAATACAGAAAGACAGTGTCCACTGCTTTGTGGGTGCAGTTAACTCTAGTGGCATGTTATCTTCCCTATGCTATAGTGGCCGCAATAGAGCATCCGTATGCTCCCACTCATAATATTTCTCGTCGAATTGGCATGACGTTTGTCTTGTTAAACTCATCTCTGAATCCATTCCTTTATACCTGGAAGATCAGGGACATAAGACGCGCAGTCAAACTAATACTCAGACAATGGAGCTGCAAAAGTTAAAGGGGAAATGTGTCAAGAGATTTTTTTTTCCATAAGTTGGTTAAAATTACGAGAGCACTTTTTGTCTCGCAGGGGCGGCGCCTGTAATGCCAAAGGGGGACGAAGGTGAAGTGAATCAGTAGAAGGAAAAAAAGAAAAAGAATATTCTTTTATTAATAAGCGGTTATCCTGAGATACGTCAATGACACAACTTGAAAAAGCTGGCCTAACTTTTCTCGCTTTAGTTGCAATCATTTCCCTTGTCTTCGAGTCATGAATTACGAAATACAACCTAAGATTTAATTCCAAGCACGTATAATGTACTTCTTAACAAATCAGGGACATTTTAGCACTAGGGCGAATGAACATGATTGTACCGGAGTATCTTCATTTTCTCGTGTTTGCTAGTGCCCCTTTGACGACCATTTACATGAGTTATTATAATTTTTGTTTGCTACGGTTATTTGTAATAGAAAAACTTGACATTTTTTTTTCTCTTCAGTTTGTTCTTTTTGCCCATTTCCCCCAAATTTGGTGTCATCTCTGGTAAATAATTTAATTTTATCTTTTGATCGGCAGGAAGTATTAAAATTCAAGGATCATTTCGCGTGGTCGTTTATTGAATACTGAATGTCAAAGATTCATATAATTCATTACCGCGATAACATATCTGTTCATCAACGTGACTGTCAGCTCACTGACACAGATCCACAATTATCTACTTCTCTTCACGTGCTTTAACAATGGCTAACAAATATTAGACAGCTGAAAATTCTTAAAATCGTTTGACGTAAGCTTTCCACCCCAGAATAAATGGAAATATTGATCATACAGGAAACGACGAATCGAATAACTTTTGAAATATCAAACCCGCCTTGCGGCGTGATTCAAGGGACACAGTCAGCTGATGCACATGCGCATAAACTACCACTTCTTAGCTGATTTACTAGTATCACAAGATACGCAATTCATACTGTTTTTAGCCAAATATGATAAAATAATATTATAAGATGAGTAAAAGAATACTCGGAAACTACTGTACCTTAATCTTTGAGGCAAGAATGATTTTAGATTTCAAGAATTCAGAACCGTCTTCTCTTCTTCAATGCCTGCCAAAAGTCAGTCCTCTATAAGACGGCCCCACTTCTGTCCGTCATAGATTGAGCTGACTTTCAGTATCAACATTTTTAACTAGGTTCAAGAAACAGGCCAGGTGCACACGGTGAAAAAGGGTTACGTTGATTTCTATGATACTACCAATCTATTACCTTACATTGTTCAGTTTCTAGGTCAGGGCTTAAAATCAGAGTGCGCGGATATTTTTCATCAGAGCTTTCTCTGTTTGTTGCGCCATACTGACGAGCCCCAAGAAGGGCGAAACAGTTGTCTATGGCTACAATCCCTCTCTGTTTTAAGTTCTTTCGGTGTCGTGTTGATGTCTTGCAGAGTTAACGTTCACGTAGTACGATCAGCATTGCAGTATTCTGCTTGCAGAATTTAATTTGTCTACGTTAAATTCCAGTTAAGACTTATTTTCGCAAATCTTGTTGACAGACGGTTTCTATGGTTTCGAGATCTGACATCAAAAATGGAATTATTGTGAAGTTCAGTCGAACTTGTTTTAAGCCGACACCCCTCGCGGACGGTGTTACCAAGGGACTAGTTTCCATCTAAATACAAACAATAATGACCTAACTTCTAGTGACATATTACATTAATTGTGCGCCGTTCTCCTTATTACTAATAGGGACCTTAAGATCAAAGGACGCGATGGCAGCGAAAACGTTGCTTAAAAAGTGAATTTGCGTTCTTTCAGTCTTAATATCGCGATTATTTCTACCCACTTAATTTGTCAAATGTAGGCACAATATCCAAATTTAAATTAAGGAAAATAAAATTTCGTTGTCGCTCCTTCACGTCCACCAAAAACGAAAAAGTAGGCAGTCTAAGCAATTTCACGTCTTAGTTGCGTGCAAAGACGGCAAAGTAGAAAAAGTGCTTCTTTGATGTTCTCGTTGCCGTCGCGTCGTCGGAGCTTAATGTCCCTAATATGCACGTCCTTTTAGTAACTGAGTTTGTATTGTCGCCGACTCAGTCATCCTAAAATGTTCTGCAATAGGTATAGGATCTAATGGAGCAGAGACCAGTTGTAGAATTATTGCACACATATTAGACATATATACTACCGCAGGAGCAATAGCCGCTATAGGTCTCTTCCCTTATAGTAACCCAACTTCAACTACCTCGGTGTTTAAAAATCATCGAAATCAGATTTTTATTCAAAATCAAGTCCTTAAATATCTTCATAATGTTTTAAGATCACTTTTTTGGTTTTGCGGAGGTGGGGGCGCTGGGGTGGGCCGAGATCGTATATCTTGATCCGTAAAATTAGGGTGCAGTCTTCTGATTTAGTTAAACTTGAACCTCACTCAACATTTTTACAAACATAAAATATTATATCAGTTATGTCACGAGTCTTAATTTCAAATTGCAATAAACGCGAACCTTCTTCAACAGCTGATGACCGTATTTGGACATGACTGACAGTGACAGATGTTCTAGATCCCACGGTTGAACAAAATAATGAGAAAAAAATTAAATCTCCGTTACTAATATCTCTTTGACAGAAGTATGAGTTTGATAGTATTTTTACCTGTCTATTATCTTAATATACCACTAAAAATTCTAAAGTCTATAAGTAAGCAAACCGGTGGTTTCGCAACTCCGTGGCAAATACTGCAGCGAGAATATCCCATTTATGCAGTAGGCTTCAACCACTGAATCTTGCTGAATCCTTAGTAATACTAACTAACAGAAAACTTGGTAGTTACTTATGACAAAGCTTATTGGTTTACAACACATTAAATGTCTATATTACACTGAATGACCTAAGATTTTTAAGGAAGGATTGAACGGAAATCGCTCATGCCCAAGTTTTGCATTTTCCTTCAGCAACAATATGCAGTGTCAATTAACTTATAAATTAAAATAAAAATATAAATTAGTCATTAACAAAGCTCATTCGCTTAGACGTAATGATGACTAATACATATTTAAAACACAGGTTGAAGCTTTTTACCAAAAGAAAGAAATCGTCTTCGCTTAAAAAACTTAGTACTAAAAAACAAAGCCAGGAGGAACTATAATTGCAGTTAGATAGACTACGCTTCAAGAATCATGACGAATTTAAGTTTGGACATTTACGCAGTGTCCTGTTCAACGTCTCTACATGAAAACTACGATCTTTACTCTCTTGCAGCTGTTAATATTCTTCTATCAGTCACAGCAGCGTTGGGAAACATTATCATTCTGTTTGCTCTCCGTAAGGAATCCTCTCTCCACCCGCCATCAAAGCTTCTGTATCTAAGTCTAACCATAACGGACCTTTTAGTTGGGCTGCTTTCCCATCCACTCTTCGTCGTTCACTTGTTTTTAATCGTGGATCCTCAGCGAGTACCATATTGCTGCACGTTTGCAATGATCAGCATAAGTGATATGGCTGGGATGAGCATTAGTGGCGTGTCTTTGTGCACACTGACTGTAATCAGCGTAGACAGACTTCTTGCTCTGTTGCTGGGATTAGGATACAAACAAACAGTGACTTTGAGGCGAACTCGATCTATTGTAATTTTTATTTGGATCTTTAGCGTTCTAATTTCGTTTTTGTGGCGCTTCTGGTCACAGGCTGTTATCCAAGGGCTGATATCTGCGTTAATTTGCATCAATTTGGTAGCCTCAGCACTCTGCTACAGCAAGATTTATCTTTCTCTTCGCCATCATACTCAAGACCTTGTTCAGAGAAGACAAGTTAACGGCGAGGGAAGTTTTACGTCTATTGCACGATACAAAAAAACAGTTTCAGCCGCTTTGTGGGTTGAGCTGACATTGGTAGCCTGTTATCTTCCCTTTAGCATAGTCACCGCTGTGGCAGATCCGTTTTCCGTACCAAACCTTCTTTATAAAAGGGTAACCATAACTCTTGTCTTCTTTAACTCATCTTTAAACCCAGTTCTTTACTGCTGGAAGATCAGAGAAGTGAGAAAGGCGGCGATAGAGTCAGTCAGAAGGATGTACAGTATTATTTGGCCATGCAAAACAGCAAGTGTTAATGTAGAACAACCTGGGGAAACACATGGTTCAAGAGGCCTGCGTTTATTTTCAAACCCTCGCTTACCAAATGCCTGGTTGACGGTCAACTATCGTCGTGCGGACAATTCGCTAATGCGGACAGCGACTGTATCTCCGACAAACATTACAGACGCTTCAATGAAATGAACTCCCACTATCACAAACTTGCAGACTTACACACAACATGCCCATGTTATTTTTTTTTAAAAATTCTGGTTATAACGAACAGCGAGCGGCATCTTTATTTCTTCAGTTTTTCATAGATAGTTTTGATTACGATTCTCTTCTTGAGCATCGATTGAAACCTTTTTTTTTTCATCTTTACTAGCCTAGTGCTCTTAATTAGCACTGCTGTGGTTCGTCCAATCTGCCCAAATATTGAGAATAATGTTCTTTTTTTTCCGTGAGTGGCATAGGCTACTTGGAATAAATAGAGTTTCCTCATCAGGATTCGAATCTACCGTTGAGCTACATGTGCATAGGGACCTCGCTTCTAATCTATTAGCTAAATGTTGAACCAATAAATACTCAATATGAAAATTGTATAATTATAAGAACTACGGGGTGAAGAAATAATGTAAAGAAGATGATCGAAGTTATTAATACTGGCAACTTTTCAGTGCAGATGTGAAAAGAAAGTCTCAAAAGGATTCAGACTTGTACGGGATTCGAACCCGTGCCTTTGCGATACCGTTGCAGCAGTCTACCAATTGACCTAACAAGCCTACTGGAAGCTGGTCGGGACTCTCGCTACTGTAGGGACTGACTCGCGGTCCCGCGGGACTCGGCACGATATAAGGGAAGTTGACTGTGCGGGATCGAGAAAAGAGAATTCACTGTACATTAATTCATTTACCAACAAAGAAATGTTTGTTACCCGATAATAGGAAAACTACAAGACGTAATCTTATCATCCGTCTTATAACATTTTTGTTAGGCTTAATAAATAGTGCAAAAATTAGGAAGTTGGCCATTTTTAGAGTGGTTTTCCTTAAAATGATTTTTTTGTTTATAGTATAAAAGGATTTGATTTCACAACAACAACAACAACAACAACAATAATAATCTTTATTCTCCTTATTTAAGTTTTACAAAAGTTCACTGGCCCACTGGTAGCTAGAGCTAATCTTGACGGGTCAGTCAATTTACCTGTAGGGAATAATTTATTCTCTTATGTACGACATGTTTGTCTAATAATAATATAATGCGGAAAGATTATATTCATACTCTGCTCGTTACTGAGTAGACTACGAGTAGTCCCTATTTTTCCTCAGGGATAGTAGAGCGAGCGTGAAAATCACCCCTCGCGAGAAAGGCGAGACGCGGTGGTGAGGAGAGAGAAAAATTTCTCTCTCCCCTCAACGGCGTCTCGCCTTTCTCGCGTGAGGTGATTTTCACGCTCGCTCTACTATCCCTGAGGAAAAATAGGGACTACTCGTAGTCTAATTACTGAGGATAATACCTCAGAAATGACCTGGTGTATATCAATGAACGAATCTACTTCTTCTTTGGGGAGAGAGAAATTTTTCTCTCTCACCGCCGCGTTTCGCCTATCTCGCGTGGGGTGATTTTCACGCGCGCTCACGTTTCGCTCGCTCTACTATCCCTGAGGAAAAATGGGGACTACTCGTAGTCTAGTTACTGAGGATATTACCTCAGAAATGATCTGGTGTATATCAATGAACGAATCTACTTCTTCGAAAATACTCGGTAGCACACTTTGAATTCCTTTTTTGAATTAAGGTTTTGGTAGTTCTTTCAGAAAACGCCGTATCTCATTCCAGAGTTTTGCGCCTATTCTTGGAAAAGCATTTCTTTGTATTTCAAGCCTTGATCGTTTTATGTAAAAATTGTATGAGTCAGCGGAACGAGTGTTGTATGAATGGATGCCGGACGTATTCGTAAATAAATTACTGATCACTGTTGCTAAGGCATTTCTAACGTCGTGCATCAATTCAGATAAAGTTTTACAATATAATTTTTTTCTTTTCTTTTATTCACTTGTAACTATTTGGAAATTTTGGCAGATATTTATTGTTTCAAATCACTATATGTATTATTACCCACAATCTTCTTCTCTATTGAAATAAGAGAAGAACCTATTTTTGGATAAAAAAAATTCGAACCCAAAAAACTTATACTTTATCAAAGTTCCAACGTACTTAGAACGCGGTAACTAGAGACTGATATATGACGTGAACAACCGAGTTCAGTGAGGGGTTGGCTATTCGGAGGACAAAGGCAGTACTTTCTTCCTTTAATACTTGCTTTCAAACTCGCGACCTTCCTATTTACAGCCCACGCAGCTTTACCAGCTGAAAGTGACTCAGCTGGAACAAAACTTCCCGCACTTTTCGACCAAAGTGCACTTTCCACGAACATTTCACTTGCTGACACAGGGTGTAAACAGAAAAAATAATCCCTCAAACTGAAAGATTAAGAAAGGGATATCAAACACAATATTTAACTCAGACGTTTAATTTTAAAGGGTTTTTTTTATGTATTTATTCTGATTCAAAACGTTTAGACACAAAATCGCAAAACCTCGGATACGGACAGTTTTGAGAGAAGTTTGCAAGAAGATGGACAAGTTCGACCATATTAAAATGTCTTGCAAAGTTCAAAAGTTCGTAATAATTCTCGAGCAGATACTTTGATGCCAAAAAAAATTAAACCATTATGATAACATTTTCATTTTGAGAATAAATTACATAGCCTCGAAATTATTTCGGGAGCATAAGCAGCTGTTGTGAAAGAAAAAAAACCGAGAAGAGCAAAACTTACAAACCACGATGAATTAATTTGAACGTTGTTAGAGTCGCGTTTCAAGTTGAGATAACATTATTCCCTGTTATTATGACACAGTGTCTGACTTGAATGTTTGCCGGACTCCCCTGATCTTCCAGCAGATCAACATCCGCTAAACTTACTACACGCTACTTTCTCCTGGAGGTTTAGCTCGGTAAACCACAGAACACAGACGTCGGAGTGTATCCTTTACCGCTTGCCTGACTCCTTTGATCTTCCAACAATAGAGAACAGGGTTTAAAGATGAATTTAAGTGGAGAAGGGTTATTGTAAGCCGGACGGAAAGATTATGGGATGGGGCATATGGATGACTTAACGTACTAACAACACCGTAAGGAAGATAACAGGCTATAAGTGTTAGCTGCACCCACAAAGCGGTGGACACTGTTTTTCTGTACCGTGCGATGTGGAGTGGAGGTCCTTCTCCATTCGCTTGGTCTTGCATCTCAGTTTGATGACGGCGAAGTGTTAGATAAATCGTCGTGTATGAAATTGCTGAGATCACTAGTAATGAGTAAATCATCCCAGAGACGAATTGCGAGATTTGCGTGTAGTGGCGTTCCCAGAAACGCCTCAAGGTGCAGACGAAAATGCTTATAATCCAGCAGACGATGACCACTCCACGAATTCGTTTCAGAGTGACTATTTTCCTGTGTCTCAGCCCTAGTAACAGAGCAAGAAGTCTGTCCACACTGATTGTAGTCATCGTAAACAGAGACACACCGATCAGGCTTGAACCAGCAATTTCATTTACACTGACAAGGATGAAACAAAGTGACACTCGCTGATGTGCAATGGAAATCAACTGAATGGCAAACAAAGGCTGCGACAGGATACCAACCAAAAGATCCGTTGTTGCTAAGCATCGAAACAACAGTTTTGATGGAGCATGAAGAGAATTTTCCTTGCGAAGAGCAACAAGGATAAGAATGTTCCCCATTGACGCGGTAACTGATAGAAGAATATTCAAAGCAGCTGTTGAATACAGAAAGGGGTTTCCGTAAAGGGACGCCGTGCATGCAACTTTTTGTATTGCTTCGTAGTTTTTCTCTTCCATTTTCGAAAATCTATCTGCAGTTTGTGTTGCTCATTAAACAGCTTAAACGGCGTCAAGACAGTTAGCCCAAGTATGTTCAAAATCGAAATACAGTTATAGTGTTAAAATAGTTGTAAAGCACTATTCCATGTCTAATAATGATGACGCACTCAAGCTGACATAATAAACATTTGTCACTGGATCAGAGAACGTTACCTCATTACAATGAAATTTGTAGCTCCTGATAAAAATGGGACTTAATCGGTACAAAATAAGATGAAAACAATATTACAGGATTATTATCAGGGAAACCAACGAGAATGCTTAAAATCTCGAACCTGTAAGGGCTTGAATACCTAAAACTGAGATACCACAAAATCTCTTTTGATTCGCTCTTCCTCTAGCTGACTTGAGTCGCTCTCGCTCTTTGATCGCTGAGAGATTTTCACCTGAATATACTATATATCAAAAGTTTCCAATGTATAAACACACTTCTCGACGTAAGATGTATGGCTCTGAACTTATGATACAAATCATTACAATTAAATAACTCTTCATTCATGCAAAACCGATATGGCTGATATAATTCATATTTTCTTTGGGTTCCGGCCGTATGATACAGTTTCGTGACATAGGCCCAATTTTTTCCTATATCATCATTCCGTTAATTATTTTCGTTTGTATGGATAAACAACTGATCGTTTGAGAAATTTAACGGGTGGTTAAGGCCAATATAAAGTGCATGGAATTCTTTATCAAAAAAAGGTAAAGCAAGCATATTTTCCGTCGATAACTCCTGATTGTAATAACTGATAAACTTGAAGCCGACGGTGCGCTTATTTCACCCCCCTCTCTCCATCAATGCTCCGTTTTAAGGCTATTTAAAGCTGGCCCAAGCTACTCAGAAAGGAGAGAAGTTGAAACAAGGATGTGATGTCACTGGGGATCGAACTTGGAACACCTCGCACCGAAGGCTGGGCACTAACTAACGGTACCACCTTTGCTCCTGAAACAACACAACAATAAACTTGAAACGCCACTTGCGTTTGGGGCAGTTGAAGTTTTCTTCCATTTTTTTGGCTCATTTATTCGAACTTTTGGCCAATAATTTTCCATGCACAAAGTAAACTCTTTTTTTTTGTTGACGTCAAACTCGAACCGGCTGAATCAAGACTTGATTACGTCGCTTTGGACATGGTTACAAGCCGATGACACACGGTTCAATATTTTTGATCAACAAACATAGCAGCTCTTGATTAACAAATCAGGTACACAATATATCATACAATGATGGGGATTGAAAGTGGTCATTCAACCTGTTCAACGAGACCGTCGGGCCTTTGTTCAACGAGACCGTCGGGCCATTATTCAAACAACAACTTGGAACTCTTAAAAGACTATCTCTTTAGAAAACATGGTTGTTTACCATTTAGAAAAAGTTTCCGGAAAACCTGGTTGGGTAGTAAACGGAACACGACTTCTTGGGTCGTTCCAGGGGAAAATTTTGGGGGGCAACCGAAAATCTGAAAAGGTAGACCTGTTTTTCCGGACGGAATTAATGCACCAAACAATCCGTGCTCCATTTCTTCGGCAAAGCCATCTTTGATAACAGTTTCAGGCTTTCTTGGCCGTTTTTAGGTAAAATTTGGAACTGTACTAATGGTAGGCACGATTCCGGGACGCGAGTCCTGAATTTTGCTTCGGTACCTTTTTCCCAAACCGTGAACCAACCGGTTTGCATTTGTAAATTTAAAAAGACCTTTTTTTATGTATTTATTATTCAAAACGTTTGGACACAAAATCGTAAAACCACGGATAGGAACAGTTTTTAGAAAAGCTGGCGAGAAGATGGAGTAGTAACTTGCCGTTAGTCAGCAGTAATTTCACACAGAAATTTTGAAAAAGCTTATTAATATGCAAATGAACTTGGGTTCGCTAAGGCTAAAAGGGACATAAAAGACAACTTCTGATTTCCTTCTTCACTTCGATTTCACGTGATGACCCTCGGTCAAGTTTCCGATATTTGAAGAAATCGGATTGGGCGATATCGTTTCCTGCTGCTGCGTACTCGGTTGCACAACGAGGGAGTACGCCAGATTACGTTTCCCGGAACCGTGGGCTACTTGATCCATAATCGTTCATTATTACCGCCAACTCATATGGTTAAAAACCCAGTTCAAGATTGCTGCAACAGGTACGAAAACGTCCGTTTTGATTGGCAATTCAGGCATATATTCTCAGCATGGGGAAAAACGACTCAGTATTCTTTTAGTCAACCCCTTTCTGCCACATTCCTTTGTCATCCGGTTGTTGATCTTGTTCCAACCCAAAATTTTACACTAAGAATTGTCAAACGATTCGGTGGATTGGTATTGCGGGCAGTGTTCACAAGTCAAGGTTTAGCATGCACTGATACGACAACAACCGAATACAGGACCGTAAAATACGTTTTACGAAATAAGTAAAAACAACTAAGCTTCGACACTGTGGAAAGCATTGCCTTTACCTTGGCATGTTGTATGTTAATGTAGTTTTCAGTTAACTTGAATAATAAAAACTGCGAAGAAGAAATGCCGTGGCTGCTCAGTCTCTCAATAGCTGAGGACAACCTTCCGTGATATTTATGTCTTGTTTAGGTTAAGCGATACACTAATTGACATGTCTGGCGAGAGAACAACTCTGTTAAAGACCGAACGACTTAAATACAGACGGATAAAAGTAGAAGAAGTTGGAGTCGACGCAGAAGTCAGAGATGAAGTACATGCACATGCAAACCATTACATCAAGACAAGCCGACCTTACTTCCCTAATGAACAGCTACCCAAGTATATAGACTGTCCTTACTTCTTGAAGATTGCTCGATTGGTGTGTTTTGCCAGCCTGATTTGTACCATGGTTTTCAGGATTTCTGGAGGTGGATCCAAGGCCATCCCAATCGGCGTCTTCGTCGCCTGTTTGTTGTTCTTCTTTATTTATTGCCAACACGAGAGGGTGAATCAAAAGTCTCTGTTTGTTGTTTTGAAGCAGCCTGTTTTCGACAGTCAGATACCTTTGAACGAATTTTACGAAGTAACTGTAACTGAGCTTGACGGGATTGCTTTGCAGAATTACCAGGCTGGTTTTGGCTTCATTCAGTTGACGCAGGGAAAAATCAAAATCCAGGCCTTTAACAGGAAAGCGATCAAACAAATGTCTAACGCAAAATGCCAATCACGATTGATGCTGGTTCTTTTCCTAGTGTCGGTTATTATTTACGGCTTTTTCATACTGACTAACGATCTTTAAAATCTTAGGATAATAATATCAACTTAAAAACACATGTTCTGTGTGTGACTTTTAAGTAGAGATGACCAAAGAAACACAAAAAAATCGTTTTGGATTATTCTTTAGTATTGTTTGTATTTGCAGTGCATTAGTCCCGAAAGCATCTGAGGCAAATATAATTTGTAAAATTATTTTATTTTTCGTCACAAAAGTTTTTTTCAGGAACCTTTTGGACCCGATGCGGGGCCGATGGTTTTAGTATTACTTACCAGTAAAAACAACAGATCTTACATATATAAAACATGCAATTCATTTTTTAGTATAGAGGACAAATAGAACTAACGAAATTCAATTTGAATGTTGTTTTTTTTTGTCGGTCTTATTTTGAATTTTTTACGGCTTGACTCTACGTATTCCAGTGATTCATAACCTTTTAGAATACACTGTATTGTAACGACTGAGAATACAAATCACTTGAACAAAAAAAAGGAACGTTAAACTAAACAAAGACCTGTGAAATACCACGAATTCAAGTATGGTTGAGTTGCTTGTCAGTTTATTTGAAAACATTTCTCGTAAAAGCTTTCACGTATTAAAAAAACTGATCTAAAGGTCACTTCAATTGATCTCGCTGATCATGTTACTATCTGTAAAAATAGTGAACTACATTTGATTGATCAGGCAAAGTATTTTTTAAGATACAGCTATTGTAATAGAATAAACCAAGAAGTGTTTAAGAGACAGAATTTAATATGCTCGGTAGTTTTTTTGCTCAATACGTTTTCCAAGAAGGACCCCCCCGCCCCCCAAGAAGCAGTTGACGATCTGGGCCCAGTTGCTCGAAGCATGGTTAGCGTTAACCAGCGTTTAATACCAATGGTTAAAGCTAACCATGCTTTGAGCAACTCAGCCCTGATCTGGACCCTCTGGGATCACAACAAACGACATTTCGAGACACTGATACGTATTAATTAGAAAATAGACTTCGAGCACTTCACTTTAGCTAGAGGGGTCAGACAAGGCTGCCCGATGTCCCCTTATTTGTTGATAATAGCGGCCGACGAAATATTAGCCAACTTCATAGTACATCATAAGGAGAGACGAAGACATAAAGGGGTCCCAAATGGAGTAACGTGGCCCAAATGATCTTCTGACGTCGCGGCCATTACGGATGCAAACATCGGTGATCAGATTATCTGGTACAACTCCCTAATTCAAATAAATAACCGGCCCGTATTCCATAAACATTGATCGAGCAACAGTATTAGCAAAATTTCTCACTTACTAGACGAAAATGGTACCCTCCTTGGGTGTGACGATTTGAGGACCAATTTTCAAGAACTAAAATGGTTAGAATTTTAAGGAGTTCTTTCAGGTGTGAAATCGTTTGTGAGGAAGCTGCATAGTACTCGGATGCGGGGCAAGGATATTGTGAAAGGAAGGTCAATAATTTTATCTGAAGAAGAGAACTCCCCCACCCATCCGGAGCCAAGGAAAGTGGCTTAGAGACCTTCATCTTCAGAATGAGTATGATGTAGACGGGAAGGTAGCATACACAATTGCTTTTAATTGTACGTTATCTAACAAATTAAAAACCTTTCATTTAAAGTTCTTACATCGGAAGATTGCCGCGAATGATTTTCTGAAGAGAATCAACCTTGTACAGTCTGATAAATGTTGTTTTCTTGAAAGAAAAACAGAGACTATCACCCATCTTTTCCTGAGCTGTTCCATCACACAAGGTTTTTACATGTTAAACAATTCCTCTTCAAAATGGGCCTTGGGAATGATTTTGTTCTCTCAGATCTTCATTTGATGGGGCTGTCAAACGTTCCTATTTATGCAGCTATTGATCTTGTTCTTCTGCTTGCAAGATATCATCTTCATTCTTGCAAATTAGGTGTTATCAGCCTCAGCCTTAGGCTTCGGTAGATAATTACAGGGTTGTATTGTAAGTTGGCAAGTAAGCATTGTATTGTAAGCATTATAAGTACTGCGTCGTAAGTAGTGTTAGTACCGGGATGTAAATGACGTTAATAATTGTAAGTAGTTTTCTTTATGTCGCAACCAAATAAATAAATTTAAAAGAAAAAAGAAGGAAAAGAAAGAAAAGAAGAAAGAAGAAAGTTGATGAGACACAGTCTGACTGAGTTATGGTAATATCCTAGAAAATGCTACACACGGCAAATTAACACTGTCAAGTGTTCGGCATTGCTTCCTATCCAAGAGAGACGTAACACGTGACGTTATGCCGATGAAGAGGAAGCGTCGTCGAGTGGTTAGGGCGTTGGACTTGTAATCTGGAGGTTCTCGGTTCAAGTCCCTTTCTGACCACTAGCTGGTGTTGTTTCACGGTAGTCCCGAGTTTAACTCCTCGGCCACGCTTGTAAATAGCCAACTGGTTTGCTTCCTGCCAGTTGCGGTTCTTAACCTGCTATGTTATATTTGAAATACTTGTTTCTGTATGATATTTGTATCATTATCCCTGAAAAGCCCCGACGGGGAGAGGATAGTTAAGTAATTATTATTATTATTATTATTATTATTATTATGTAAAATTTAGCACAGGGATTTTCCCTGGGGAGAAATATCCAGTCAAGTCTCATCCCGAGACCTCAGACTTCCAGCACCTTTCTGAGGATATGTGCCGATCCGAGGAGTGCCGACTTTTGCATCGTTCTTGTTCGGTTTTTAATTCCTAGTTGCTCCAAGTGGCCTGCATTGGGTTCAGTGTCAAAGAAGCTGGCACCTACAACCACTGGTACCACTCTTGTCCTTGATTTATTATTATTATTATTATTATTATTAATTAATTAATTAATCTTGTATTTTCAGGGCGTACCATGTCATGTATGTTATGCAATTTTGTTGTTATTAACCTATGTCGTTTCTTGGGGAAGAGCTCAAGTTGTTTGATTCCATAATAAACTCATATTAACGTGCAAGAGAGGACATTAACAGGTTATCGTTGTCTCAGGGAATCTCAACGAGAACCTTTTTAGGACAATATTCTAAACAAATTTACTGTGTTTAAATCGTTTTGCGGCCTTTCATTACAAGCCGGGCCCATAGTGATCTGTTCAGAATATTTTGAGCTGAATATAAGTCACAGGGAATTTTACTGGACAGAATATATTATCCCAAATTTCCGAGCTTTGAATGGCCTTAAAAACGCTAACTGGCCTAAAATCGGAAGTGGCAGTTCCGCTGTGGGGGAGGAACGCGTGACGAGCCCAAAAAACGTATGAGTATAACGTATGAGGCTACAAATCTACGAAGGAAGAACCACTTTCTCGAAAAGGAACGGCAATTTTGGACCGATCGGCTCCACCTACAAACACGGGTCGAATTCAGATTTGAAGCGATCCCATGTATTCGGTTTTTCTACCGAATGATCGTTGAACACGGAAGGAACGCGTTTCATCCGCCTCTCATCGCTCCTGGCCGCTAGGGGCGTTTCGCGCGAGGCGGCTGTTTCATTTCAGTCTAGGGCAAATCAAACGAACCATGTTTTAGCAATCCACGGACCAGTCTTATTTACTGCATTCTTTTGAGATTATTATTTATCTAATTGACGCAAATCAAAATTTTACTTTGCGTTATATTCGAACCAAATGTTCTAAATATTTTTAGGCATTCTGATGAACAGATACACGTAGATATATATTTTTAGCCTAAGATGATTTGCTCTGTCTTTTGAATTAATATTCCCAGCCATTCTTTGACCCACATGCTTTCTTCGATTGTCCTCATTTCACGGAATATTTTGTTTTGTAACGTTATTTTCAGGGGAATTCTATAACTTTTTAGACTCAATTGTTTAGAGTATTTTGAATTCCTGAGAAGTTTTGCCCAATTTTATGCAATTTTTAAGGCCGGCACACACGAGGGGAACATTCGTAGGGAATGGTTACAGGGACCAAAATCTGTTCCCTGCGAATGTTCCCTAGCCTGAATTTCATCCGATTACTTCAAGTCTTTATTACTTGCTGAGAGGAGAAAACGACTCGAAGCAATCGGATGAAATTGAGGCTATGTAACTGTCTTATGGTGAAAATACCTCACAGTTTCATCATAGCCGATACACGACCAAAAACACTCACGAGTACACAGCACTGTATGGTAAATTTTTAATTTCAGCAGTTATAAGGCTTTACTTGAACAATATTTTAATTTCAAACATGCTGCTACCGGACAATAGGAACAGATTACCGTTTAAAGTCTTACATTCAGTTTACTGTTACCCCGTTGGCACGCCCAAAAAAACGCTGGTTGCCAGACAATTTCCCGCCAAAAATTCTTGACGCGTGGGAGCTCCTCTCAGTTACTCCCTGTAATTATAGGCTGCAGGTTAAACAGAACAAACCACATCACACAGATGTCTGACTGAATTCTTCACCACTTGCCTAACTCCCTTGATCTTCCAACAGTAGAGAGCAGGGTTTAAAGATGAGTTTAAGTGGAGAAGGGTTATTGTAAGCCTGACAGAAAGATTATGAGATAGGGCATATGGATGGCTTATTGTACTAACAACACCATAGGGAAAATAACAGGCTATTAATGTAAGCTGTACCCACATAGCCGTGGACACTGTCTTTCTGTATCGCGTTATGTTGAATGTAGTTCCTACTTCGTCCGCTTGCTCTTGCATCTGAGTTTGATGACGGCGAAGAATTAGGTAAATCGTCGTGTATGAAATTCCCGAGATTACTAGCGACGAGTAAATCATTCCAGAGGCAAATTGTGAGAATAGAAAATGGTGTGATTTCCAAAAATGCCTCAAGGTACAGATGGAAATGCTTATAATCCAGCAGACGATGATGACTCCACGAATTCTTTTCAAAGTAACTGTTTTCCTGTGTCTCAGCCCTAGTAAGAGAGCGAGAAGTCTGTCCACACTGATTGTAGCCGTCGTGAACAAGGACACACCGATCAGGCTTGAACCAACAACTGCATTTACACTAACTACGGTGAAACAAAGTGACATTCGCTGATGTGCAATGGAAAGTAACTGGATGACATACAGAGGTTGTGACAGTACACCAACCAACAGATCCGTTGTTGCTAAGCATCGAAACAAGAGTTTCGATGGCGGATGAAGAGAAGTTTCCTTACGAAGAGCGACAAGGATAAGAGTGTTCCCTATCGACGCGGAGATCGACAAAAGGATATTCAAGGTTGTTAGTGCATACAGCACGAGGTTTCCATAGAGGGAGGCCATGCACGCGACAGTTTGAATCGCTTTGTAGTCTGGCACCTCCATTCTGAACCTTCGAATGATACTACTCAGTCAAGAGATCTCTTGACCCAGTAAATTGCACGCGCACTGACTGACAATAACAAGCTTTAAAGGGCCAAATCTATAAGGCACTGGACCATGCCAGAGAAATTATGATGACGCAAGTTTTGACATCAAAATCAATATAATTAACGAACATTAAACACTGGGTCATAAGCATTACCTTCTTGCAATATAACTTATATTTCCTGAAAAATATATTGATCGGGCACAAGATATGAGAACAAGGTTTTCGATAATTAGTTTCCATCGCAAAGAAAAGTCCTTAAAATTTCTGTTGGGTTCACGCTGCCAGTTATTTCTGCACTGGAAATTATGAAACAGTATCTAATATACAATAAGTAAAAGTTGTTGCAAATACCAAGGAATGTGGATGTCTTTAACTGATCAAAATAGATTGGCCGACTTCATACTACAGACGACTAATCCGATGATAAATCTTCTAGATATAAACCCGGTGTTAAGACGAATTTTGGCCCGAAATTTGTCTTCGCTAGATTCGTCTGTCAGCAAGTCTCACAGACGTCCTAAAATCCTTGCATGCGCACTTCGACTCACGAAATTATACCTAGACGAACTAGTCGTCTGACGGATTCAGTATCCGTCTAGACGGATAATCTGTCTTCATATCAGGTATAAATTCGGCCATTGTAACCGACTTTTTCTCTCTCAAATATGAAAAGTTTCGGCAGCGTTTTAAGTGAGCCAAACTGAAAACTAGATTTTTTGAAGATTATAGGAAAGTATCGTTCAAAGGTTTTCAATTGACTGAGCACACTCCTGGCCTTATAATTTATGGTTTGGGAGTTATAATATAATTTACGAAAAGCTGAATAACCTTTTTATCTGATGCAAAGAGGCTATGGTTGATTTAATTCACGTTTTCTTTGGGGTTCCCTATAGTCAGTTCCGTGACATACTCCTACCGTATCCAATATCACCTTTTAATTTCCTTAAGACGGAATCCATCAGGAAATTGCGTAATTTTAAAAATCTTGTACCAGAATAATTTAAAGAATATTGAATTCGTTTTTACATTTTTCAAGGGCTAAAGATGTAATAAATCATCCGTAGTAACACCAAAGAAAATTTCTTGTGGAAGTCCGAGAAAAGGAATGTCAAATTTCACCTGAATTGTGATCATTGTTCATTCAAAATATTTCGCCGTTTCTGGTTAGCTCCAATCCCCAGCTAATTCCTTATAACTAACTGGCGCTTCCCAAAATTGGAAGATGCGAGCAATATACTATCGAGTCGATGGCACCTTTGTTTGGAAATGAGGTTTATAGAAGGTATATTTGCTTGGAAAGGAGGCTGCTTGAGTACTGGTGGCCTGAAAAAATGGCGATAAAGACTCCTATCCGAAAACGAAATAGCTGAATTTCTTAATAAATCTGAACAGAAAAATTGCAAAAATACGCAAAACAAGAATATGTAAGAATAAACAGCTGTTCATATCCTGACACCGTGTCGAGAAATAGGATAATGTTTTGAAGAGGTAACCTTGTTAAAAACTTAGAAATATTTTGTATGAATAACAAAACAATTATTCGGCCTTGGTATGATGTGACGAATTGTGGTGAATTCGGAGGCTTTTGTCCGCCATCTGCATAATTCTTCACATCATACACAGCCTTATTACTAATTGTTAATTATAAATTAAGATAAACAACAGCTCATATGCGAGCTTTTAAGTGCCTTAATAGGAGAATCTCATTCTCGATACATGTACTTGGGATCAAACACTCGCGTTCAGTTTGGTGTTTTCACGTTAATCAAACTTCAGCCCGATTGTTTTTCATGCACAAAATAAACACATTTCTAATGCAACAAAAAAGCATGGTAAACGGTCTGTAAAAACAAAAAAGCAAAGGAGAAAGAAAGCAAAAACCACTAAAACATCTCTCGAAATCTTCTTATCCTTGTTGCACTCTGAGAAACGATTTCGCATGCAGTTCATGCTCCGCTCCTCACCCACATGGTTTCTTCGAGTTTATTGACTTCAACATCGGAACAGCCGAATCAAGTCTTCATAAAATCGCTTTGTTGGTCAGCCTCTTACGAAGGCGCTGTCATGGCTCGTGACGCAACCTTAGGTTGCATGACGAGAAGCGACAGAAAGAACGTCAGCTAAGTCGATTACGGGTCGGTTAACGAAGCCTTTCTCGCCAAAACAGGAAGCTTGGTCCACTGATTCGTACTAATGATACTTTACGAAGACGCTTAAATGACGTTTCACTGTACTGTAGGTCCTTAAGAGGAAGAAGGTGAATTGACAGCCAATACAGTTCTTTTTCTCCTGAATTCTTTTAGGAGAATATTCTGGTTGCATAAAATGCAGGGTTGCGCCTCGATACAAAATCTCTCCTTGTTGAGCCAAATGCTTAAAAGATCCGAAAGTTCAGGAGAAGGAAGGAATCGACAGAACAAAATTCTTTAATTGCAACGATTTTGTTAACAACTTCTTGTATTTATCTCTAAAAGAAACTTATAGGAACGGGGAAGGGCTAATTCAGGTCCCTTTTTTCATAGAGTACTTTCACATGGTACTATTTATTTAGTATGTAGTTTTAACGTTTGAGTCTGTGGATGAAATCCTATGATGTGACCATTCAAATGAAACCTCTCCAGGAGTACTTTCACATGGCACTATTTATTAAGTTTGTGGTTCTAATTTTTGAGTCTCTGGATGAAATCCTATGGTGTGACCATTCAAATGAAACCTCTTCAGCAGTACTTTCACATGGTACTATTTATTTAGTACAAGTTCTAAATTTTGAGTTCGCGGATGAAATCATATAGCGTGACTATTCAAATGAAACCTCTTCAGCAGTACTTTCCTATGCCGGTACTGTTTGCTACGCTGTGCAAGATGGCTTTAAGGTCTTTAACCTTACAGGCTGAAGATGTACAAAATCGTATGATATCACACATGTAACTGATCTACTTCCCGTCCGAAATGCAGTTCTTTATACTAAAAAATGTTGTGACAAGCTATCGTCATTCCAATTTGGGTTGCGAAGCACTTCATACATGTTTCTGTCAGGTGCTTTTCAGAGGAACTATTCAGGCCAGTCAACGTTCAGTACATTTGTCATCAATTCCAAGATGTACCAAGCAGAGCAACCTTTCAAATGAATCCATCATATGAAAGCCAATTCGACGTTTTATCACTCTATTTCTTTACATGCTAGTCCGCTTTGTGTTTCTTTCGCTTTTTCGCTTTTTTGGGTGTTTCTCCGGGTTCACGTTTCACACGTGCTAAATCAAAGTCATTATCACCTTCAAACACATCATCGCTCTCGTCCCTTTCTCGTTTCACCATTACATCACCTACAACGCTTTCCCTATTTTTCTCTCTCTTTTGTTTAGCCGGCACAAGTCCACGCCCATCGTCGTCGCTTCCACCATTTTCATCCCCTTTGCGTTTTCTCGTTTTGTCCAGACCTGGTTCAGTTTTCACTCGCGACAAATCAATCTCTTGTCTCTCCTTGTCTTTTTTCTTCGTTTTCGGAGAATCACGTTTCTTTTTTTCCTCCAATTCATTTTCCACCACTGCAGTTCTTTCCAAATTTGACGATCTTTTGTCTTTGTGCTTTTTTCGCACTCCCGGAGTACCATCTTCGGGATGCTCTGATGATTTTTTAACTCTCTTTTCTTCCAACTTTTGCGGGGGTTTCCCTAGTAACAAGCAATTCCCTACTTTAGAAACCAGAAAAGAACTGAAGCCGAAATGCGTCTCGCAATTGTTTCTGGGATAGTTACAGGGGGCACGCCTGTCAGCTACTGGCCAATTTTTTTCTTGTCCCAGAAGTCTTTGCGAAAGTTAACTCGACTCAGTCTCCCTCTCTTTTCTACAGTTGAGCATACATAACGTTTATAATGGACCCATCAAATAAGAACCTTCTCACCTTTAGTTGAGATTTTTACTCTAACGAAGGGCCAGCGCTTGAGATGACAGCTTGAATGGCCTAGCCTGTGAATAGGCCTTTGGTCGAGCGGGGAACTTCCGTTTGCTCGCTATTTTTTTCCCCAAACAGCGAGCCTGTTCACAGGCTACAGTGGCCAATCAACTATGTTGACAACACCAGATCTCTTTATTTGACTATACCACCAACCCAAACCACAGTTTCTGTAGAAACTGGTAACCCCTTCATTCATCGATTTTCTGTTTACGCAGTTTTATAATCATATGGCACACTTGACTGAGGTACATGCAGTTCATTTGCTACACAATTTATCTATGAACATATACAAATTCTAAACACATACTATATCCAAATGGTTTCCACTTCTTGATATATTCATTGTGAGTCCGTCTTTGGACAGTCAGTGGGTCATCAGGCAGGGTGGATGGTGGCACACACACTGACTGAATAACACTCATCTGGCCATGCAGTGCGCTGACTGAAAACAGAAAGGAGAAGTGACATGAACTCGTAAATTTGCAACAAGGCTCACAAAGATGGAATGCCTAGGAATGCAACCTTCCCCTCACAGTTTCAAAATCAGATATGCACTAACTTCTGAGACTGTGGACAATGGCATTACTTTTTAGTGGTACCATTAATTTAGTTCGTATTTCTAACTTTTCAGTCAGTGGATGAAATCATATGGGGTTAATACCACTTAAATGAAACATCTTCAGCCATACCTCCGTGTGGTACTTATCTATTGGAGGGTCCCCTCAAACGGCCTAAAATTTAACTGTCAACGCTCAAAAAAGGATTTAATTATAGCATAACCATTCCAATGAAACATGTTCAGCAGATTTTTTGTAGTAACAGCATTAATGATGTTGTTATTGTATTACTGTAATGTCTGTTAAGTGACAGTCATTCAAATAATTTCTTACCAGCACGGAGTGACTTTTTGCGTGACGATGGAAGAACAACAGAGAAAGAAGATAACTAAAAAGAGATTTGAAAAAAGCCAGTATACTGTAAGTACTTTGAAAATGAATAATATTAATAATAATAAATTGTACATTGTAATTTGTTTACGCATGGAGCATTTAGGAGTTCATAAGAAATCGTTGAAACCTGTCTGTGCATTCCAGATCGAATTGGAATTTGGAAGTGTTCAGGAGAGGGGAAGACTGGAGTACCCTGGGAAAAACCTCTTGGAGCAAGGGAGAGAACCAAGAAGGCACTTTACCCACATAAGGTGTCAACATCAGGATTTGAACCAGGGCCACATTAGTGGGAGACAAGTGCTCTCACCACTGTGCCACCCTTGCTAATGACCAGTGGCCAAAATGGATCTCAAGACATTTGGGTGGCGGGGTGGAGGAGGAGGGTCACTCATCCAGTCTAAGGGGTAGCCCTTCAGGCCTGTTTGTACTGCTAGTAATAACCAGAGGGCTTATAACTGACTGGTATATTTCAAAACTTCAGAAGAAAGGGGAACATGGTATTCATCTAAGGGACAGTATAGCTAAAAATTGACCACATAGCAAAGTGCTGGAATATATAAGTAATTTTATAGCAGTTGCAGGAAGGATTGATGAAAAGTTGATCATTGTTCTTACCTCAGCACCAGAATCTTCTTTTGACTGGATTTCATATCTCTTGTCTTTATTCTATAAATAAAAAAAAAGAAAGAAATACAAGGACTTCATTATTTTTTATCCATAAAGGCTTAGCAGTGATCATCAGCAAATTTCACTTCATAATACCAACACCACAAGGAGTTCAAAGAATGAGAAATATTATTTTGGAAAGAAACATTTTCTAACCTGATGTTAACCAAGGTGTTTATTGGAGGCAGAATCTTATTTACCTTTTCACTAACATAGAGCAAATCTTGTGAGCCATTTAAAATAACATTTTGGCCAGACAAACTTGAGACATCAAACTGAATAAAAGCAAATAAATAAATAAAATAAGTAAATAAATAAATAAAGTAGAATAAGATGGCTTTCTTACTACAATTTTCAATGCTATAACACAATCTTTCAAATCCATGCCACTTTCAAAGAGACTCCCCTCAATCAAACAGTTCAAACAAAGGCGTATAGAATAGTACCTCAAGAAACATGGCTCTCACACCATTATCTCAAAATTAGAGTCTTGGGCTTGGATTTTTTAGAAGTAAAGTCTCGGGCTTGG